CTAACTAACAGCTTTTCAAAGATTATTTCCATCGTTTGTAACTTTCAATAATAAAACTTGCAAAACATATTTGCTTGTCACGAAGCTCTAATTCTGTCGTATATATTTATGTCTTCGTAAAAGGTTTAGTTTCGTACTGACGTGAATAATTATGCGTTTCACTCAGTCTGTCTTCTCACTGGCTGAGAGCGTACATTTAATTGTCGGAATCAGGGCAACCTACAGATTAGTTAGTTGTCTATTAACAGGTAGCCCGACTTCTTTGATCGGGTTCGCGCAATACATGATTTTAAAGAGTAACATCAAACTGTGTGTTTCGAGCTAAGGTGTGTTTGTGGTAATTTTCTCCAAAACAATGTATAACAAAACAATTAATAGAACTAGTTTTCTGTGATATCCAGAAATGTAAAGGTTTCAGTAAATGTCATCAGCAGAGGCCTCCGCAAGTTCGGCTGTCTTAAAAGATGGTGACCTTTTCCTGAATAGCTCTGTATAAAAATCCACTGTCTGTTGATGTAGAGAAAGCCGATTGAATTGAAGGTTTGTTGACCTACGAAAAACAAACCCCATTACAGTATCATCTATTGGGACAAGCGAGAAGCTTTATTAGAAGGCTTTGGGATTGAAGTGCCAATTACAGTCCAATTCGACTAATTACTCCGTAACCTAACGCTTCTCTCCCTTCCCCCCCACCCCTCACCGCTTCAACCCCTTAAAAATACTTGATACTCAGGTTAAAATCATCCCGTCGTTATTCAGACATCAGAGTTCTAATCAGTTATTAATATTTTCCAAGCAGTATTAAACCTGTTTTACTGTTATTTAAATTCATTTATTTTCTAGCACTTAACGGTTCCCAAGTTGCGCTTATGCTTAGAGTCGAGATCGGTCGGATTCAGTGTGTTTAACAGGGTTAAAACGAACGAATATAAAGAGCAGCATTAAACTGGAAGTGGTTTCCAAGTTACCTATGAAAGGGTCTCTAGTTGATGCTATGAGAATGATAGAGAACATTAAAGCCTGGTTTTCACTAGCGCATAAGCATAGGGACATACGCAAGCGCAGAATGGCATATTTGGCTCAATTCTCGATACCAGCTCTCCACAACCCGATGATAAGGCGGACGAAGCGTCCACCATATTGCTTTTGATATGTTCGCATGAGGTGTTGGTCAATGTGACCTATGATTGGTCCACGGCCGCGTGCTTATGCTTGTGCTTATGTCGACCCCGTTCTCACTTGCTTACACATTAAACATGAACTGAGGCAAAGATTGTTACATAAATTTCTTGATCCCGCGAGCATTTTGTAGGCTTTAACTTTTTATTGTATCATAGGAACTTTAAAAAGGGAAACTTACGTAATTTTGTTTTCTTTAATCTTTCTTAGGTAGATATTTTTTATCTACACTTGCTAATGAGTTATAGCTCTGTCTTGTATCACTGAAAAGCCCCCCAGGGGAGTGTACTTACTTTACTCTTAATCCATGTGCTTGAGCTTACGCTTATGTTTATGCTTATGCGCCAGTGAAAACAAGGCTTAATGCCAGTGAATATGTCAAGGTCTTTTTTTTAACTAGACAAGGGTATACCGCGGTAGAGCTAGGACCCCTTATTTCTTTTACTGGGGCAGTGGTTCCTTGAAAGGAGCTTCGTCATTTTGGAAAAGGACAGATTCAGGAAACTGTTATCACTCAATAAGCAAACGCAAAGCGGGTGTTCCAGCGGAAAAAAGAAATCGAATACTTCGATCGTTCCAACACATTAATTCAAAAATAAACATGCTAATAAGGTCAAGGACTGTCTTATGGAGGATTACAGACGGACAAGTCGATAACCCCCTTATGTAATTCAATTCTGAAACAATCTTATATAAAACTCTGCAGGATTATAGAGTAAACTGTTTTTTTATTAAATGACTCTGAAGGCCTCAGAAGGTGATGCCCCAACTGAACACTCAGTTAAAATTCTTAGGGTGGAGATTTTGAATATTTTACAACATTATTAAACATCTTATTTTGTTGAAAGAGGCTGGGTCGCACTACAACTCTGAGTTTCAACGCTAATCATCTAGTATTATTAAAATTAAATGAAATATCAATTAAATAACCCGCTGGGAGAGAAAGACGGAACAAAAAATAAAAACAGAAGGGTCAAGAAGCACATGGATGGCAAACTGAAGAAGATAACAACGGCCGGGATTACCTTCGGAAAAACTTTAAAAAAGGCCCAACCTTTTCTGAGCAAGTATTAAGTATCTTGATACATAATCCTAAAACACTTTAAATTTGTTGTTGTTGTTGTTGTTCTTGTCGTCTTCGTCGTCGTCGATGCGTGGTCGTTATATCGATGGCCATTATATTATTATTCCAATTCAGTGAGTGTATTGCTCGTAATGAACGAAAAAATACGATACCGACTAAAACCTAAACAGACCTAACACCTTAAGAATTGTCCATGCCTAAGAAAGAAAGTACCATTACAAAGATCATTGTTTAATCATCAGGGTTTGTTTTTGTTTTATTTTACCAGAATTTCTGGGCTAGTAAAAGTCTATAATCAGTTAGCATTTCGCTCTCTAAGAAAGCTACCCTAAGATTCTGGTAAGACATAATGAAAATAGACTTCCGTAGTCTTTGTGAATGGCATCGACAAAACTGCCATACACACCCGGGGGGGGGTGTACTGTCATATATAGGCTATATAGGTATGTGCCTCTAGAAGGGTATGGTTTTCAAGCAGTTTACTCTAGGATAGGGTATATAAATCAGAGCGCTTGGGTCTAGAATAGGGTATCATTTTTCAGGAAACTGATCAGTTGGTTGAAGATTTTATCTAGACTAGGGAAACAGCTACTCTAGGATAGGGGGGATTTGGGGAGTTTACTCTAGTATAGGGTAGCAAAATTTAGCTGAACTACGTAGCTCTGGTATAGGTTAAGGGTTCCAGGGTCCCAGCGGCAAATCCCCACCCAGAAATTCCTAAAGTACCCCCCACCCCCACCATGGGCATACACATTGTGTCGAAGACAACAGATGATGATTGCAGAACAGGTAAACAAGCACGTCGATATATTTGCAGGATCAACGAATATCTGTAGTCTGTCCTCTTAAAATACCCCGAGGGCATGGGAGAGGTCAAGCTCTATTCGAATGAATAAAACAGAAGACTCAAAATTTAATACTAACTTAGTACTTACTGCGTAGGTAAGCCAACAAAGTTAATCCACTCGAATATGTTTATTGGCAGTTCTAGAGACTTCGAGACAAAAACAGATGAATAAATGCCGCTTTAAACTTAATTCATTCGCTTATGACTGATACGAAGGGAAATCCTAGAATATTTTAGTGTTGGTGCGCGGCACACAAAAAATGCGAATTTCCCTACCCTATTTTACAACTGAGCCTTTGCTCTGAAGATACGTATAAATCAAATACGCTTATTAACCAATTCAGGACCCTGGTTTCAGAAAAGGGAGGATCCCTTGCTCAGGGTGAGTTGCTTTCGTCAAATTGCCTTCATGCGCGCTAAATATAAAATGTATAATTGACAAAGCCGTCTTAAGGTTGTAACTTGATCGTTTATACTTAAGCAGGTTAAACGCAGAAGTTCAGGAACTTTGAGGTTCCTTTTAACTCGTCTAATAGATTAAAATCAGCTATCAAGTGATAAAGTGCTTGGGCGGGGAAGTTTAAAGCACGAAAGACTACAGTGGGTTGATACGTAAACAATCGTATTTATTTTATTCAAACATTATTCTTTTTCCTGCTGTTTCTAAGCAAAAGGGGATGTAATATGCCATTTTGAGATCTGGCTTTTTCTAGAACATTTGTTGTAAACTTTCTTCATGTATCGGATTTTCGAACATCTAAAAATGGTATAATCGACCATTTTAACGGAAAAAGACGTAATTTTCGGGATGTCAAAAAAGTTTGGATCCGATATCCATCACAACCAGAAAATCCGAACAGATGAAAAATTGAGATCAAAAATGTATTGGATGAAACACTGTATCAATTTAAGTGTTTTCCACAACCAGAAGCGAGTTTGAGAAATGAAAATAATTGTTTTATAGCGAATGAAAATAATTGTCGAAGAAAATCAAAGTTAAGGACGTAAAAAAATATATGGTAGTTAGATCTGCATTCCTCAACAGTAGTGCACAATTGTCAAATGAATGTGCGTCGTTGTTAACTTCACTCTTAGTTTTTTTTATTGGAAGATTTTAATCAATAATTATACAAGTTGTTTATTACCCAAGAAATCTTAAGATTTTCCAGATTCTACACGGACATCAATCATTGCCTAAGTGATAGACTGTAAGCTTCATATTGCTCTGCCAAGAGAGAACGTTCTCTCTTGCTATGGCTTAGCCTTTTTATTTTAGCGTAAAGGCTTTGGCAACAAAAAACGTTTAATCACGTCCACGGCAACCACTACAGCGATCAAAAAACAATTTAACGATGTCGATTATCACTGATGCGACCGCAGATTATGAAGCTATTGCCCTTCATCAGCATGGGGTGATACCGATATCAATGAAGTTTAGCGAAGTATGTTTTTTTTGTTTGTTTTTGTTTGTTTGTTTTTTTTCTTTCAAGTTCATAGCAAATCGACAACGACTGTCTCAAGCTTTGAAACATTGCTTCATGACGATAACAGTTATTTTTTGTGTTTTGCGCGCACGCCAGAAAAGATAACAGGTTGATACATTTGCATTGTGACTGTCAACAGCTTAATTGAGACCTCATTGTGCTATTTGTTGACTAATACCAAATCGCGTTCTGTGCGTGATTAAGGAAAGCGGGGCTGTTCGTTTTCCGTCAGCATGAAAAGTGTTGTCACGAGAATCAGCCGATGAAATGTAGGAATTACTTAAAGTTTTCTCAGGCGCAAAACCAAGTCAAATGGAAATCTGCCATAACTGATTCCGACTGGAAAACTAAGAAGCTTGTAGGTTCAATTATTTTCGTACTTATTTCGTTCTCTTTACGACTGTAGATGGACTGTGGAGTGCAATCCTGAAACGGATATCCTGTTAGCAGTTTGTAACGCGCACGTTGGAAAAGTCAGGGATGAAGAACGACGGTAAAGTGCTCTTTATGGATGTAACACTGCTTGTGTTTTTGGCCACTGTATTTGGACAGTTTGCAGTTGGACAAGGTTAGTTTGTTACATTAACCCTTTCAGTACTTGATGGAGTTTTGTAAGGTGACTCTTTTTGAGTCTTCGAACGAAATCCTATGATGTGACCATTCAAATGAAAGCTCTTTGCCTGTACTTACACATGGAGCTGTTTGTTTTTCAAAATTTCACAAAATGAAATTTGGTCGAAATTTGCTTTAGGCTAAATTTGGCAGGACAGGGTTAACCGACCGGTGAAAATTTTATTAAATCGTACGGTGTTCCATGTTAGTCGTAAATACACGTCTAGTGTCCCATTGTTCATAAGAGAGCACATTGTTAAATCTCATAATTTACACTAAGATTGGATAATATCAGTTGACTGGAAACGATTTTCTGGACTAGTTTTTTTATCATGAATGTTACTGTTTCTGGTTTGATTTTGTTAATATATTTTTAGTTTTTCTCTCCCACTCAATTTGGCACCCTTAAAGTAACGTTTTCCAAAAACAACAAATCGAAACCTGTATTTATTTTGACAACCTCTTAGTTTATGTTTTTATAACACAGCAAAATTAGTGATACTTCAAGAACACATAAGCGACAGTATATCCAACACTTTTATCGTCCATCTCGCCCGATGGTAAAAATGTAATAATTACGTAATAGCGGGACCTCATCAAGAACACGCCATATAACGAAAAAATTACATAAATTATACAAATAAAGACTGGAAAAAGACATTATGATCGGTGATGTCGGGTGGTCAGTATTTGATCATAAGTATCACGCAAGCTTTATATTCTGGCAATCATGAGAAGCACAAAAATGTGTATAAAGTACATCTACCCTGACTGTTACGTTTCTTTGATGTGTCCGATGAATGTACCTAAAAGCGATACAACGTGATTTGGCTGTATTTCAATGCAATCTGTGGAAAGACGTTGACAACAGTCATTTCACTTCACTGTATACACAGACTTCAACCACAGCGATTTATTGTTTCCGGGGACATGTATTGCCCAAAGGCATAATCATAATCCGAGCATTTCAGCTAGAAAAGTGGCTGAAAGGTCGAACCAAACTACGTAAAAAATGTTGAAAAAATAATATTGGTAATTAAACAAACTTTTAAATTGGACATTTTTTCTAAGATCATGACCAAACTTGGGTTGAAGGTCGCTAAGGATATTTCAAAATTTCTAATACCTGTCGTTACTTTTAAAAAAATACTATTCAAAAAATTGGTAACGCGCAAAGACCTATACAGATATAATAAGCTGGGTCTTCAAAAACTACATGAGAAGAGTAGAAACTGAAGGAAAAACGAAAGAAAAACAACACAAGATATAACCCTAACCGAGTTTCTTTTGTAAAAATTATGGCGCAAAGCAAGTCACTAGGTGCTTGTTTAACCTTGACCAACTGAAACGTTTTAGTCCTTTTTTTTTTCCTTTTTTCTGTAACGCGTTTCAAAACACGGATGTGTCAGCTTAGCAATTTTTTGTTAGTTTACAAAATTCCATTCGAAGATAAATTTACAGAGGGAAATTTTGTACATGGCGAGCGCTTCCGTAGGTTTGATCTCTTTGTTAATTTAATATTTCACCTCCCAACTCTAGATACACTAGCCTTGAACCATCCTAATTAGAGGTTAAATTCCATTAAGGCAAAGCTATAGGTTTACTTCGATTTAGTTTATGTCTTTTCACTGACTGTTATTCAGAAAATATACTACGAGTATAAAATCCTATAAAAAGGCATCTAACACCAGCACCTCATAAGGACAAGGTAAATTGGCCACCGTAAAGAGGACACAAGGAAAAGTTTGTCAGAGCGTTTTGACTCTCATGATGGCCTTATTGGCGGGGTACGGATCTGATAAAAGAATTATACAGATAATTTTTTTGCCCAATGTAGAAAAGAAGTGTTTTCTAAAAATCTCTATTACCTAATAGAGATATCCCTTACTCTCTAAGAGTGAATGGTCAAGTTTCCTTGTTCTTCCAGACCTTAAGACTCTCGATTGTAGTGTTCATTGGGGTCTCGCACCAGACCTTCAAAAAAGCATCTCACGCATGAAAAAGGCGCAAAAGGGAAATACACATCAAATGCTGAAAAAGTAATGTGGGAAACTTAAATACATTTTTAAGGAGGTTACAATGTTTATTATTATTATTATTTTTGTTATTATTATTATTATTATTATTATTATTATTATTATTATTATTATTATTATCATTGTTATTATTATTATCATCATTGAAGTACTTGACCCAACTAGGTCAATTTGGGTTGAGAGTTGAGTTTGGTCGACATCTATGGATTAAATTACATGAGGCTTAAAACAAAACTACTTAAAGCGGCGGCTGAGAGGTTCATGGAAATAAAATAAAACAACAACAACGTACAAGAAATGGACTTTAATTAATTCTTAAACTTATGGTGCAAAACAAGTTCTGAAGTTTAAACAAGCAGTAGGAGCCTAATGAGTGAGGAAATGTTGCGCAAAGAATTTGCCTTCAAGGCTCATTTGAAAAGAACCATTTGAACTTAAGATCTGTTACGCGCAGAATCTTGTTTGGAAAATCAGGAAAATGTTAGTATAATTCAAAAGAGCCAGTCTTCATCTGGTAATCTCACAGCGCAAAAGTCACTAAAGTGTCTTGAACTGGATACACTGCACACAGATGTAATATATTCTCTATAATATAATTAGAACATATTGTCAGGGAGCAATTGTTAATGTAGCCGTTAACAGCTCTTAGAGACTGGAATTATGAGGCGGTGCAGGTGAGACTTCACTGTTGCAAAGGCAACTGATCTTTGTGCACAATAAATTAATATATAGATTTACCCAAGGCCAAAAGCGAAGCTCTCGAGGGATGTTTTAAGAAACGTCTTTCTCAAGTAATTCAACTTTTGCCGTAAGCAGAAAGCAAACTAAATCCCACCTTTAAAAAATGGGCGTGTGCCTGCGATCAATTGAAAACTAAAAACTGAAAACCATGAGTTGTATAACTGAGCCCGCGATACAGTCATGTGACACTGGCCAGCGGATACTCTTTTTTGACAGCTGTCAATTGACCATAACATGGATGTCCAATACCAAGTCAAACACAGACTGTATATGCCTTGGATACAAAGTATTATAGTATTCCTAGCTTGTATTAAAGTGTGCCATTCCACATCCGCTAACATGAAGCGGTGGACGTACGTACGGACGTACGCATACGGACGATTTTATCAGAACCAAAATTTCTTGGATGCATCAGATAACCTGATTTTCTTACCCATGGTGCTCCGCTGCGCGAGTTGTGCGAGAGAGAGCTCCTCTATAAACTATTTGAGCACCAATATAGCCACATCTTAAGTAGATAACTAATATACAAGAACCGTTTAGGCTAAGTTGGAAATATGTCAAGGTTGTTATACTGGGCACCAAAGCTAAAATATCAACCATCACCTGACCCCGAATATGCACGCACTAGACAGACCAAAACCTTTTTGGCTGATGTATTTGAGCTCCAGGGAATGAATTGTTACAGGAATGTTGAAGTAAAGCAGCTAAAGATCACGTTTGTTTTGAAATCAACCTTAACCTGTAAAAGTCTTCTTCTCCTTTGTCTGTGCACTGTCTTGTTCCTTGCTGTTAACGTTGTGAACACTACTGTTCTCTTTAACCATTGTGTTGTGATGTAGGTATTGTTCAGTGCCTTTTTCAAGTTTTTTATTAGGTCGTTTGGGGCCAGTTGCATAAACTTTACGTCGGACGTGGCAGCTAGCCTAACCACTGCCACCCAAGTCTATTTTTTACTATTTAACACCAGACGTTAATAGCTACGTCTGACGTTATGCCTTATGCAACCACAGGCAGCTTAAGCTAAGTATGAGAGTTTTATTTGGCATAATACTTACACACTCGTACGTACTTTTGCCGTAAGTATAGTGTATTTGTATGAGAATCCTGGTGATAGATTCAAGGAGATATTTATTCGCACGTGTTTACTCGCTTACTCGAAAAAAAGTCGCCCACGAACAAATGCTGGCGAAAGAAGAATATTTACTTATAAACGCCACCCTCGAATAAACGCCGCATTGTTGTTGTTATCTCAGCCAATAAAAAGAGAGACATTGGAACTTAAAACGCTGTTTTACATAATATTTACAAATGAATTACCGTAATTGTTTTCAAGGATTTAAGAAGCCAATGAATAAATACCCGGCTTTCTAGTCTCTCAAAAGGGAGTTAAAGAACGGCAGAGAAAAATAACGCGAAAGTCAAAAAGTCAGTACGTTTTAACAAACAAAGCAGTAACTCTACAAATTATGGCAGAACGACCTTTCTCTTTCGTGGGGCGAATTTATATATGTTTAATAGAGCCCCGTTAAACATTGGAATCACTGAAAGAATGCTGACTTTTCCTTGATTTTTTTGGTATTATTTTAGGCTTTTAAAATTGTATTGTATTTTATTGTACTTTTATATTGCATTTTTATTGTATCGTTTTAAATGTAATTTTTATTTCTTAAAGTAAAGCAATTTTTAAGATGCCGGGCCCCCAAGGAGACCAGCCCTTAAACTGAAATAAAGTCTTACTTTACTTAATTTTCTTTACCGCCCTCGAACTCGGTTAGTAAAAGAAATATATTGACGTTTTTTCCCCACATTTGTTTGTTTTGTTTCTAGAACAAGAGAAATGTGCTCCGGTTGTGGACGTCGCATTCTTAGTAGATTCTTCAGGTAGCATCAGATTCAGAGATTACAGAAAAATGAAAACATTCGTATCCAAAATGGTGGAGAAATTTAACATATCACCAGCGGGATCACGCGTGGCAGTCGTTCAATACAGTACGAGAGCAACCACTGTTATTAGGTTTGGAGTTTACACTAACTCACAGGCCTTTGAAACGGCTGTACAAGGCCTAAGGCATGAGCGGGGCTACACCAGAATAGACCTTGCCCTCATAAGGGCCTATAATGATTTGTTCAGGGCTCGTGTCAACACTCGCTTTCTGGTACCCAAAATTGCCTTTGTGCTCACTGACGGAGAGCAGACAAAACGGTTTTCTTACACACCATTAGATGAAGCATCACAGCTCTTGAAGGATGTAGGTGTGCTAGTCATTACAATAGGAATTGGAAAATCAGTGAAGAGGGAAGAGCTAGAACAGATCGCTAGCAGCAAGAAGGAAGTCATAATTGCAAAGTCATTTGATGATTTGTTACCGGCTGTGGAGTCTCTGACCCAGACTGCGTGCGAAGATATTGAAGGTAAATCACAGCCACAGCAAGCAGTTTGCGTTCTTTATAAACTGATCACAGTTAATACTGAAATGTTACGCAAACATTCGCGCGAGGCCTGCTAATTATCACATTTTTCGCTATCACTCACCGAGCTTAAAATTTTTCACCTTTATTTCATACAGCACGCATTCGACATTACAGATCCCAGCAGAACGCTGCAAGCGCGTTAAATACATGTATCAACCTAGGATATTGTATCCATGTTCTCCATTAGCCTATCCGAAAATCTCAGTGGATTAAAGCGACCGCCCTGTCTCGGGAGTTTATATATAGGTTCGAATCTCCTCGGGAACTTAGAATTTTTCACGTTCCTTTATCGACTTTGAAATGAAAGATTCAAAATCTTTCTATATTTCATACAAACGTTCTAAAAGCCACACATCTTTTTGTCAATGCGGAACAATTAGCAACAGCCTCAACATAAACGAACTGTGTGTTGAACATGATGATATAGTCAGTAGTCAGGAAGGGGATGTTTCTAATGAGTAAACTTCTGGGTCGTTACACACTAAATACAGCCTCTGGTTTACTTCACTTTTTTCTTTATCTTCTTCCCAGTTTACATGTAGTTCTTTCTTCTGAATAACAGGGACACGCTTCTGGTCCGTGTTACTTAAAAATAATTTTGTATCCTCAGAAATCCCCACTTGTGACTCTCCTGTGGATATCACATTTATTGTGGATTCGTCGGGAAGCATTTCAAGAACGAACTACAAAAGGGAGAAAGCCTTCATAAATGCCATCGCCCAAAGTTTTGGAATATCCAGAACTCAATCCCGCGCTGCTGTAGTGCTGTTCAGCAATTCTGCCTCCGTAAAAATAAGGTTCACGGATTATGCAAGTACAGGGGCTTTCCAGGTAAATAACTATATTTTTTTCCATTGTGGTTTAAGAAGATTGTTTCACGTACTTAGTCTAATTCCTAACACAATAGCCCACGTTCAATATGTGACCCTCCACAGGAATTTGATGCTAAAGGTGAAAGCACGCGCACGACACGCTTGCACGACACGCTTAGCGTGCCGTAGATCACGGATATGCGCATATTAAATTGAAAAAACAAAGACGGACACACTTGCCTTAGTTTTGGCAAATTTAACACGCTAGACCTTTTGTTTTTTTGTAGCGTGCCATATGTCACGGTAAGTGTGCGAATTGTAGCATGGTTAGCGTGCAATTTGGGTAAGACACGCTGAACACGCTTGATTACTAAAACCGCTAAGATGATAAAAATGGCTTGGGTTTTCAGCGGATTTAATCAGCATTGATAACTGGTCGAAGTGAATCAAATCTACCAATTGAGACTGTTTTGGAATTTGATAGTAACCGTGTCCATTTGAAAATCACGACTTAATGGTGGTCTAGCCTGGAATTAACGCGAGATCAGTGTAAACCAGTTCCTCCGGCTGTCGGCTGTTGACCGGAATCGCAAAGAGGCCTGCTATCGCATGCGAGGCACTGAAGTTATGTCGCCTGAAAATTATACTTATGCCACCGGAATATTTATTAGCAGTAATGCACAGAGAAATGAAGTTGAATAAATTAGTTTAATATATTTCTTTAAGCCATGCTGAGACGAACGAAGGTAATTAAATCGGAGAACCAAAAACTGCCTAGAATTTTCTATAGGTTGAGGAAGGCTAAACATTTCTAGATGACCGTTCCATGCATGTACAATTTTTGTGTTATTGTCGGCTGGATCAATTAAGCAACGTTGGAAACGTTTTGGAATTTTGGTACATCTAGAAAAGCAGGCTGGTTTTTATTTGATCACTACGATCCTTGCAATCGCTAAAAAATAAATAGAATCTAGTGATCCTGGCACTTGATGATTTCTATTATATTTGATCGCGATTGCTGCGATCGGCAAGAAAGTGTCTTAAGTCCGAAAGATCACTGTTTCTGAAAAAATTGCAAATGTGTTTTAAATTAAGGAAAGTTAAGATAACCTTTGCACAGCTTCGTCACTAAACATTTCCGGAAAGAACTTTGATTTTGCAATGCTAATATAGTTCTACCCATAAATCCAGTAGGTCACACCGTTCACTGTTTAGTGCTTTCACCTTTAGCATTAAAATTCTTACATGACTATATTAAAATTCTGTCATTTTTGTCTATTTTCTATATTTAGTTAACATGTTTGGTTTGGTTTTCTTTCAATGTTCTCAAGTTCTTTTGGGAATTGCAAGACAATGGGGTCGTGCAATTTTGTCCCACAAGCCTAGGAGTCATGTTAGAATTTTAATATATCGAACGTGCGCTACACCGGGTGTCCCAAAAGTGCGTTCCTGTACTTTATAAGTCTGTATTTCAATACGAGTGGACTTGGTAAGCAACTCATTTAAAGAAAAGTTGTGTCTTTCAATCTAATTCACTATTTTCATACTTGTTGTGCCATCGTTTAACTCGAATATTCGATTTGTGTTTTTCCGCGCCAAAGTTGAACGTGCGAGAGTATATTTTCCAGCCACATTTTTTTTTGTATTTTGTAGCCGTAATTGCTCGAATTGCTTCCTTGTTTTTGTGAATATCACTAAAATTAAACCCCCTTAACGCAAAGACGTTTAGCCACGTGAGAGCATAAGCATGTGTACTTCGATTTACTGGCTTATCTGTTGTAGAAACTGCTAAAAAACGGAAAAATCCGAATGTTGGGTGATAAAATGATCATGGAGAAATGAAGCTATTGAAGGCAAGAGAAACGAACGGGAAGACCAAAAGTCCTGAATAAAAAAATAAACAACAACAACAACAACAACAAATTTCATTGAAAATTGGAAAATAACTAATTACATTACTTTCCCACCCGCAAATAGCTTACGATTACAAAGAAGGGCTAACCTAAAGTATTAAATAACTTAATAAGACGGGAGACTTCGACATAATCATCTTCTGACCGCAAGAAATTTAGTAATAATTCCTTTATTTTTTTACAAAAGGACGAACGTTTAAGTATTTTAATCGAATAAGGAATAGAGTTCCAAATTTGGGCACCGATTCTCGTGAAAAAGGCATACATTTTATCGGTTCTAGAGAACTTAACATAAAACGAGTCGCTAGAGACAGATCTTGTTCTGTAGTTATGAATCTGACTTGTTTTAACGAACTGATTGAGTATACTAACTGGTGCTGTCTGTCTGTTGATATCATACAATAAATAGCTGCAATCTCTGAAAAATAGGCTAGGCGGGGGAAGGCAATTTGATTTGAGAAAGAAGGGTACGGGGTGTTCCTCAGACTTACTGAAATAAATGAGACGTAAGGCCCGTTTTTGTAGAGTTACGATCTTTCTTTGAAGTGTCAAGGCGCAGTTTCCCCAACCACAAATACCATAAGTCAAGTAAGGGACAATTAATGAGTTGTAAACTGAAAGTAAAACACGACGCGGGACATAATGTCGAATCTTAGCTATAATTCCTATCGACTTGCTGATTTTGTGACAGATAGATTCGATGTGGTATTTCCATGAAAGATTTGAATCAATCATTAAGCCAAGATATTTTACATAATCTTTCATTTCAAGGTTTACGTAGGTGTTAGTCACGGAGTCAAGAATTCTAATCCTAGGTATGAAGGGCATATTCTTTTGCCGGGGACGAAAGATTACAAAATTTGATTTTTTTATGTTCAAAGACAGTTTGTTGGCCTTTAGCCATTCGTTGACATTGCCAAGCTCGCGATTAACAAGTGTTTCAAGTTCCTTTAGGTTGTTATTTGCAAGTATTATACTAGTATCGTCAGCAAATAGATAAAAGGCAAATAACGAAGAGGACTTGTAAATATCATTGATGTACAGTAGGAATAAGAGTGGACCGAGGACTGAGCCTTGTGGCACCCCGCACAAGGTCGTCTCAGCCTCAGACACAACATTATTAACTTCCGTAGTTTGCTTCCGATCAGTCAGGTATGATCTGAACCAGGAGTTGATTACACCTCTAATACCATAATTTTCAAGTTTAGCTAACAAAATCTCATGGTTAACAGTATCAAATGCCTTCTTGAGATCGATGAAAACACCGCACGAAAATTTACCGTTGTCCATATTTTGGAGAATTGTGTTAACAATATCAAGTATAGCATGCTGAGTACTGTGCTTACTGCGAAAACCGTATTGCTGATCATAGAGAATGTTGCAATCTTTGACAAACTTGGTATAACTCTGGAGTACATAAGTTTTTCAAGAATCCTGTTATAAATCGAGAGCAGAGAAATACGTCAGTAGTTTTCGGGCAGCGTGTCATCTTCGTCCTTAAATATCGGGATAATCTTAGCACACTTTAGTTTAGATGGAAAAATTCCTGAGCAAATAGACCGATTAAAAATCGTGGCTAGAGGTACTGTTATGACCCTTTTTGCCAATTTCAGCAGCCTTACTGGAGATGAGTAGAGACCATGGGCCTTGTTGTCTTGCAAAATTGAAATTTCTAAATTGATATCTTCCGGAATAATAGGATCAAAGAAGAAAGTGCGATTAAGTGGCGGATCTAAATAATCAAAGAATGTATTTATGGTCTGAGGAATTTTAGAAGCCAGTTTGCTCCCAACAGTGGCGAAATATTTATTAAGAATATTGCTTATTTCCCTCGGGTCACTAGTTGGAACCTCATCCGGGTTTGAGCGAATAGAGTTAGCTGAGTTGCGCTTGTTTTTCTTTTTACAGTTTCCAATTAGCTCGTTAATTCCTTTCCAAGTTTGACGCATATTACATATGTTGAGATCAAAGAAACTTTGGTAGTAGTTCGCTTTACTTAATCTCGTAAGATACATGATTTTATTTCTGTAAAATTTGTATTTGTCCGGGTCTGAGGTATAGAAGAGGTTATTCTTTACCCTGATTGATTTTCTTAAACCCGCGGTCAGCCATGGTTTAGCAAGGAATTTTTGTTTACGATTGGATATACTTCTTAAAGGGGCGTGTTTGTTAATTGTCTCGTGAACGCATTTGTAAAACCTGGAGAACGATTGATTGGCATCGGCATGTTTGCAAATATTATTCCAATTAATATTCTGCAAGTCATCAATGAAAGATTTTGCATTGAAAGTAGAATAGTCACGAACCTTAGTTTTGTTGTTTAGAAAGAATGGTTTACAGTGCGACGTTAATATGCACATCTGAGAGACGTGATCTGTTGTATCGGACACGACATTGCCGCTGACTATATCATTCTCAGGATTATTTATGAAAATATTGTCAATTAAAGTTGCTGAATTACCATAGACTCTGGTCGGCTTATCAACCACTGGGAACATTGAAAAACTTTGCATTGTTTGCAGCAAGGTTTGTGTGTAACTACAAGTTGAATTGTTGAAGTCTCCCATGAGATAAATATTTTGATTTTGACGGCATTGGCGTTCAAGAAAATCTGTCAAGTATTCTAGAAACTCATTAGCGTTATTGTGTTGCCTATAAGTAACAGCACATACAGATTTCTTATTGTTAGGCAGATGAAGTTCAATCCATAGAGCTTGATAGCAAGAATTGGAGACTCGTTCAAGGACGCGGTATTTACAATTTTGATCAATGAACAGGCCAAGACCACCGGCAGATAAAGGTGTCGGGACCGATTCAAAACAGTATCCTGGTAATTCTGGTACAAAATTAAAATTACATTCACGATCGCATATACGAGTTTCTGTTACACCAATAATAGTAAAAACGGAAATTCATTTCACTTAAGACATGATCTTGAAATTCTTCAAAATTTTTCTTTAAGCTACGTATATTTGTATGTAAACGGGAGATTTTTGATTGCAATTGTTTGCTGTCAATAAACTGCGCAAAGCTGTGTGGGGAATAATATTTTGAGCGTATTTTGTTTGAGGTGAGATTTATATCAGGATCAATATGTTAAACAACACAGTTTAGCTGGAATACACTAAGGTCGTAGAGACTACTGAGAGAATCTAGCAACTTTCTAGAAGGTCGATTATCATCAATTAAAGTATTAAACTGTGGGTGGGCAGAAGTCAGGACTTTACAGTTATAATAAGGTAATTGCGCGAGTAAGGTCTTATTTTCGATCGTGCACTGTTTCTTTGTTTTGTGAGAAGCCAATTTACGTTTAAGTTCGTCGACGTCCGCCAAGCTCTTGAGCTTGATTATCCGCGATGTGGAGTCTTTTCGTAGACAAATAATAAATAATAAATAATAGTTTTAATAAATATAATAAATAATAGTTTTAAAGAAGGATAGATACAAAATAGGAGACTCGACGACTCACATAGTTACCAAGCCAAGTCCAGAAAGGGTCATGAAAAGCTGTTTAAAGTGTTTAAAATTAGAGGTCCCTGAGGTCGCAAAAATCCTCTGCTTAGTCTGCCAAGTAACGCGCAGCTCGTCTCAAATTTGTAAAGAAGTACAGAAGCCTTCCTGTGGAGGGGGCCGGGATTATTGTCTTTTTTGGATGAATGCCCAAAAGATATTTTTTCTTCAGCTGCCTAAACTAAACAAATATTGTTTGGGGGTTGAACTGGCTACTGCCCACCAAGAGATAAAAAAGCTCAAAATGGATCATCTGTGGGTCTACACGCTGTATCCCACTCCATGCCGCGACGGCTACAGAATGTGATAAAAAAAAAACCAAAAGGGCATGCCAGTTACTGAAATTCTTCTGTATAAAAGTACCCGATAGAGAGATAAACATCTCCAAATGTCATGTAAAAATATAGTTTTGATCAAAAGTTATAGTGCATGAAATTAGAGAAACGAACTTTTGGGACACCCGGTATATTGTGAAAAACTTAAAAATTACTTATGTGGCGTACACAACAACCGAAGCTTTATTTGCATGACCATACAAATACATAAAGTATTGCAAAAGCTATTTTAAGAAGGATAATTTGTGGAGAAAATCCAAGCAAGCTGAAATATATTTCAAGAATTGCACATTAATCAAGTAATTAGATGACTTCATCAGTTCATTGAAGACCAAAACGTTTATGGGTAAATGGGTAATGTTTGGAATCAATCTTGACTGTATTCAAAAATTACAAAATGATAGATAAAATAGTTTGACTTGGACGTCTTTATACGACTTATAGTTCAGTGAAATACATTTCAGGTTGAAAAAGATTCGAGAGCCAGTCTTGGATTCTGGATTCTACGCTGTGGATTCCAGATTCCAGGTACTTGATCCGGACTCTTTGCAATTGGAACTTGGATTCCGAATTCCAATCATTAATGAGATTCGAATTCCTTGCGTTATTTTCCGGATTTCAAAGCCCAGGATTCCGGATTCTACAAGAAAAAAAATTTCCCGGATCAGTGGAATCCGGATTCCCTAACATGGGGCCTTGTTGTTCCATTTGTAATTGTAGAGGGCTGTTGATCTTCTTCCACACGAGAGAGGCAAAACACGTATCGACAGAGCACTTGAAGTTGCCAGTAGATATGTCTTGCCGTCTGCCCGTAAAGATGTACACCAAATTGTTATGGTTATCACTGACGGAGAGCAAACGCAAGAAGACGACACCAAGGACCTTAAGGAAGTTTCTAAACCTTTAAGAAAGGCAGGGGTCCAGTTATTGGTTTTGGGAGTGGGTAAGGGCGTCAATCCAGATGAGCTGCGTTTGATGGTGGAGAGAGATGAGGATGTTTTACTGGCGAGAAGCTTTCAGGATTTGGTGGCAAACATTAATAATTTGGTCAAATCTACATGTTCTCTCACAGGTAAAAGTCTTTTCTAGATACTCTAGAAACTTAATAACACGACTCTTGTGCATTTATCACTAACAAACTTCATAAACGTTTCATGTACGTTTTGCAGAACCAGTGCCTTGCGATATACCTGCAGATTTGGCGTTCATCTTCAGTTCTGGAGGAATAGGACAGAACAGTTTCCTAAGAATAAAAGCTACCGTAAAAACCATTGCAAAAGGCTTCCAGATCTCCACAAGAGGTAGCCGTGCCTCCGTTGTGACCTACGGGGCGTTTTCTGCTGTGGTAGACGTATCTTTAGGTATTGATTCCATTTCATCCACCGATATGTTTCTAAGAGCTGTTGATTCCTTGCGATATGGCAGAGATCGAGGTGATTTAAGAGAAGCACTGAGACTTGCAGAAAAACAGGTAAGGAAAAAGTCCATTAAACATGAGTATTGTTCAATAAACTAGCAGGAATTATTTAATATACAGTATCAACCAAGGCCAATCTAAGCAAGAAGCAAACTGAATTCCTCCAACAAAAATAGACCTGAGCCTGCGATCAATTGAAACCAATAATTGGTCGGCGGATGACTTAAAAAGAACACATCACTTAAGTAAGTGGTAAAATTGAGTCCGCGATACAGTCATGTGACACTGGTCATCGGATACCCTTATTTGATTGCTGTAAATTGACCATAACATGGATGTCCACTATCAAGTCAAACACAGACTGTATATGCCTTGGACACCATGCTAGTAAGGGTGACATGTTAAATCCGCTAACGTGATAGAGCGGACGTAGAGACGAACGATTTACCAAAATTTCTTGGATGCGTAAATATCCAAGCTATAAAGGTTTTGAAACCGGAGCGCAGCTGAATAACCGTCCTGTTTTAAAATTTTCTTTTTAACTTTAGGCAATGAATTGATCATGAAATACAATAAATATTATGTTTATGCCCTGTTCACAATGACATTTTGCTTAACCGTCTCGGATAATTTACACTCAAACAATCAGAAAAAATATATTATATTCCAACTCTGAGAAAAAAACTTAGTTGAAAACCCCCAAACCAGCCTACTTCTATCATGCCGGCATTGGCGGGAGGCTGAACTTCTAGATCTTACTGACTTATTTAATTGTTTCAAATATATTCCAGGTATTTTCAAAGGCGAGAGGTGGAATTGCACACGTAGCCGTTGTCTTTTTTGATGAGCAGGAATGGAAAAATTCAAGGTGGACAACCTCTCTTTTGTCGCTGAGGAAGGCGGGTGTTCGCGTTCTTCTTGTGGGCGTTGGTCCTAGTTTTAACTACACATCTTTACGGTCCTTAGTGGAAAATGACAGAGGTGTAATAATAATAGACTCCTATTTTGAACTGCTGAGAAATTCGGTCGAATTAGCCAACACTACATGCGTCGCTACAGGTTAGTTCTGGCCTCTCATTCTTCCTCATTTTCAGAAGAAGCAGAAAGAGAAACTATTTACTCACAAGCAATTTACATGTATGGTAGGACGAATTCCAAGCCTTAACTTATCTATTTATATTTTCCTTCAAACTAGACGTATCACGAAAGATAAATAACAATAAAAATACATTCTAGACAGTGCCGGATCCAGACCTTGAGATAAAGGGGGGGAGGGGCGGTCATCCAGACCCTTAGATAAGTGGGGAGCTCGGTCTGGCTCTTCAGGCCTCAGTTTAGTCCAAAAATAAGGGGGGCGGGTCCCCCGGGCCCCTCCCCTCGATCCGCCACTGATAGTAATCATATCTCCAATCAATATAAATCTGCCTTAAGTTCTTGCAATTTTTCCCTCCTTATCTGTCCCACTGTAATTTCGTATGAGCGCGTGATTCATTTAGCAGAGTTATTATAATCAAAGGCAAAAAAATTCGACCTCACTGTACTGCAACTAATAGCCTTTAAAATATTTGGCAAAAGACAATTTACATGGTGATCTAAACGTACGGGTTCAGTAATTGTGTCATCCTCAATAGTATATACAATCTTTCCCTTGAAAAAGAGCAAAAACGATATAATAACAAAAAGTAGAAAAACAGATGTTAGTTATTTCACCTCTTTTGCCCAAGAGGTGTAGTTTGAATGCTGCCAACGAAGGATTTGGCGCCTTAGACACCTAGCCACACAGGCGTATTTCCGGTCGTCCGGCGTATTTCCGGTCGTCGTTTCTCTGCATCGGAAATACGTCCTTGAACGCAGGCTATTAGACGCCAGGGTCACATTTAGGAGGAAAAGATAATCCCTTAAGTCGAGTTTAGTACATTTTCTTGTTTAATTCGTAATAAAGGGTTCTTGATTCGCTATATACCGCCCACTAATACCATGAAAACCTGATTTCTTGCAGTTCCTCCTCCATGTAAGTATTCAGCGGACGTTGCATTTTTCATCCAGGTCTCTGGAAATATGGGAAGTAGTGACTTTGCCAAGCAAAAGACATTCGTTAAACTCATGAAGAAGAGCTTTGCAACGAACTGGCGTTTCGCAGTTGTCACCTACGGAGAAAGGGCGTCGGTTGAAACCAACTTAACTCAAAATGTAAATATCAGTGAGTTTGAAAAAGCTGTAGACAGAATAGAAAAGGACGGGGATAGTAAGACAGGGGTACAATTGGGCATGGCCATGGACTTAGCTACCACTGAAATATTTTCAAAAACACGACCAGGGATAACAAAACTAGCTGTAGTTCTTACCGATGGAACTCCAATGGCTGGTTTAGACAGTAGTGAGGTCAAGCGAACCCTCCAAGATTCAAGGAAAGCGGACGTCCGTGTGGTCACTTTAGGAACTGGTAAAAGTGTCGATCCTAAGGAATGGCGTAGTGCGCTCCAACGAAACCAAGACTTGATTCAGTTACAAGATTCGCACGACCTGATGTTTAAAATTCGTGACAACGCAGCAGCCATATGCGCCGCAGCCGGTGAGTATCGTTGCTTCTGTTGAAGTATGTAATTGCTGCAGCGTTGCGCTACAAGTATAGTCGCTGCCATTGAAGGCGTAGCTAGAAATTTTTTAGAGGTACGCCGGTTTTCAGACCATCCCTTATCCATTTCCAAAGTTATTTTCACACGCTGGTGACTTGTCTTGTTTTTAATCGGTACGGTGAGATAATCCTCAGTCTTGAAATTGGTCCTAGTGGGCTAGTAGCACCAGAGAAACACGTGTACACCACATTTTAAAGACGAGTCAGTTTATGACAAAGGTTTAGAGCATCGCTTTTAAATATCCCTTGTTTATCTTCTGTTCTTTTGCCTTGCTTTACTTTTCTATTTTGTTTTTTGTTTTTGTTTTTTCTCTTATACTGGTTAACTACGTATCCTTTGTATAGCACTTTTTAACCTTCTGAACACCGGGGGCCGGGTCAGGAGCCCATACCTATGGTACCTGGGGTCAATTAAATAAAACTTTTACAAGTGTAATTGTAGCTATTGTTTCCTGACCCTAAAACAATGGCTACACTTGTAAATTACACTTGTAAAAGTTTTATTAAAGTGACCCCTGGCCAGGCTTTATATCAAAAACTGAATACATATAAGTTGCCACATATTTACACGCAGAACTGCTAGAGAAACCCACATGTGTGCATGCCGTGGACATCACTTTTTTGATGGATTCATCGGATAACATCGACGCAGAAAACTTTGAAAAACAAAAGTCGCTGGTGATATCTATCGCAAGGAGCTTTGGAATCTCACCAAACACTAGCCGAGCGGCTGTGGTACTTTACAGCGACAAGGCTTCAGTTCGTTTCCGATTTGGAGATTCAATGAGCACTAAGTTGTTTGAAAATACTGTTCGAGATTTACCACATATAAGGGGAGAAAGCAGAATGGACAAGGCCTTTGAGGTCGCTGCCAATGACATTTTTCCCAGTGGCCGAGTTGGAATACCTAAAATAGCTTTTGTGGTTGCAAATGGTCAGCAAGCGTCTGACGCGAACTTGTTGGATGTAGCTTCGAAAACGCTGACAAAGGCAGGAGTAAATGTTGTAGCTCTTGGCGTTGGGACCGAAATTGACTCACAAGAATTGCGTTCAGTGGTGAAAGAGAAAGACCATGTTCTACAGGCTGATTCCTACGATCAACTTCTTCTAGAAAAGAGAAATATTAGCCAGAAGATATGCAAAATGGCAGGTAAATCGTTAAAGTGTTTTCCCTGAAGTTTTTATACTATTCATCTGACACCTTAATTGATGTATATATGTTTTTTTATTCACAAAACTGAGTTAAACTCACCTCTGAAACAAAACGGAATTCAGGGCCAGTACTTCGGCCAGCCTTCCTTGGGGCCCTGCAGAGCTAAACTGAAAGAGACGTACCAGCAATGCTAGGGGCTTATACGGCTACTTTTTCGAGCACAATCTATCAGACCCTAACGGGATCTCGTGTGGTTCAAGACCTCAATTTTAAAAGGTACCAATTCGAAAACAAACAAATACCGACTTTTTTGGGTAACAAAATCATAGTTTCCGTCATTTCTTGGCTCGAACGGCGTGTAATAAACAAAACAGGTATTTACATTGACTGCGCAAAGAGAAAGAACCTGGCAAGATTGAAACAACTTTGTCCTCGTACATGCGAAGAAATGGAGGTGTTTGTTGAAATCGAAGCCCGTTTTTTGTACAACTTCCGTTTCCGTTTGCAAGTGTCACTCAAGACGAGGCGTCACGCAACAAAGTAGTTACATGTAAGTTGTTGGACTTCGTGTTACAAACCGTGTGGTATTTGGTGCTGTAGATCGACGAAATGATCAATCTATTTAAAATACAGCTATCTCTTGTGCCATTTTTGGCGTTCTTCGGCCTCGGAAGCTCAATGTGGAATTTGCTACTTCCCGACATCGTTGAAAGCACGCGATTAATCGTTCGTCTTCAGATACATCCCAAGCTTCAAGCTGGGAGCGAAATCATCTCAAGAGTTTCATCCTCCTCCAGGTTAGCATTCAATACAACTGTGTTAAACGAAATGGAAACGTTTTCCGGTGAGACAGTCGGTAATTTGAAGAAAGCAATTTATACTACATTATGTAAGATTCCAATTATATATACCATACTTTCAACAAGATTTTTGTAGCACGCATAAGAAGCGAAGTTAGTAAACAGTCCTTGGCCTCGGAAGCTCAATGTGGAATTTCTACTTCCCGACATCGTTGAAAGCACGCCGATTACTCGTTCGTCTTCAGATAATCCCAAGCTTCAAGCTGGGAGCGAAATCATCTCAAAAGTTTCATCCTCCTCCAGGTTAGCATTCAATATAACTGTGTTAAACGAAATGGAAAAGTTTTCCAGTGAGACAGTCGGTAATTTGAACAAAGCAATATATACTGTAAGACATTATGTAGGATTCCAATTATATATACCATACTTTCAACAAGATTTTTGTAGCACGCATAAGAAGCGAAGTTAGTAAACAGTCCTTGGGGAAGAAGGGTACCAAAACTTATGCGGTATAAATGTAAGAGCCTCAGTGTTTTGTCAAAGGTACGGTTTTCAAGTAGTTTTAATAGTTTCTTGTTCAGCGTAAACCGGTCAGTATAAAACATGGACTACGGACCACGGACTGCGCACTGGGTATAATCACGGTCTCTACGGACTGAGTATAAAACACGGACTAGGTATAAAACGCGGACTACGGACTATGTATATAACAACAGCCTTTGAACGGTAAAACTGAGAGCAACGGATAGCGGACTAGCATAAAACAGTAGTCCCAGTTCCTTGCCTCACACCCAAACATAATTCGATCCGTTGGCTGATCACCCAGTCTATTCTCCCCAACGTCGGCGAGGAGAAGGAAAGAATAACTGGATGAGCAAGGAAGGTTATGTCGCTGCTGAAGGCAACTGAAAATGAAACTCTGCATTTTATAAAATGCAGGAGTTAGAAGAAATTCGCTTTATTGTTTTAAACCAGTAGAAGATATGAAACTGAGGGGCACCGAATAAAAAAATGGTATTGACGTTAGTGAGAGTGACATTCTTATAGATGCCAAAACTCCATTTCAAAGCCCTGTGGATATGAGGCAATGAAGAACCCAGACGAGAAGGTCAATATAGGGGCAGTTGGGTGAAGGAGGAGGGGTTTACTCACCTATACATGAATAATAACCGAAATTAAATATATCATCCATCGTTATATTCTAAGATGATTTACACCTATGTAAACATGTACATCGCGTTTGTGACCCCTGTCATGGATGTTAGAGACCGAAATTATTGTAGGTCTGAAAACAGGTGTAGAAAATAGCATTTTGGTCAGGCTCAGATTTGGAGAACCGAGCCGTACACATCCACCAAGAATTTCTAGGAGTATTTATAACTGAAACTGACGTGTTGTGCTATTTAGTGATCTTTTGACCTTAATTTACCTCACCTAAGATCAGTTAGCACAGTTTTTAACAACGTGGTCTGTCGTCCGCATTTATACTTAGTCCGTGTTGTATTCCTAGTCCGCAGTCCATGTTTTATACTGACCACACATGATGTTACCAAAAGGCCAATTCCTAGTTCCCCCCCTGGCCTCTGTATCATCGAGGTTAAATGCTCAGTCGTTGATATGGAAATTATCTTCATTCTCATGCAAATAAAACTCATTTTCGCATGAAAGGTTGCGCACTTGGCCTCATTTTGAAAGTTCGGGTTTCTGGGACTTGGAAGTGGCCTATTGTCGATCCTTCTACATTTTTGCTTTCATGAGGTGTTAGAGCAGCTTTAAGCTTATATTTTTTTAGATATTTTTATTTGGAAAGCGTTCTTCAGTTTGTGATAACGTATGCTTCAATTTCTAACCTTTTAAGTGAAATGGCATTTACGTGGCCGTCTGAGATAGCTATCATGTCGGTTAAATAGAGTGAAACTGAATAGGCAAAAATGCAGCAATAATCGAAATAGACAAGGACCTAGTGGGTCTGAAGCCAAATTTCAGTTTAAACAGCTATTATTTCGAGATATGGGAACTTTTTTAGTTTACGTTTGAAGAATGCCAAAGGTAGAGAGTTAAGTGATAACAGAACTAATAGTATTGAAAAACGCCGCTCCTTGTTTAAGAGACCGAGGACTATTAAATATTTGCTCCACATTATAGTAACAAAAATAAAAGTGTATGCAAAGGTCTTAAAACTATAAGTGCTTCCCATTATACAAGCAGATTGCTAAGTAATAATTATAAACGCATTTTGTTTTCATTATTAACTTCTCCTAAGGGTTAAACAGTTCATAAATAATTAAACAGTGTCTTACACAGGCATATTCAGTTAAAAAAGATCATTACCAAAGTAATGAAGCAAAACTACATTTTAAATAAGGTCTCACAAAACATTTTTCAATTTACAGTAACAGCTATTAAATGAAAATAACCTTTAGAAACAAAAATGACTTAAAGAAAATAAGTTGTGAACGGCTGGATGAATGCGATTGAGCAGTGAGCTAGACAGCCAAGTAAATGTGACAAGAAAGACAGGAAACCAAAACCCAAACCGTCAAAAGAAGTTAAATGTGGAAGAAACAAAAGTGTGACGTCACGGAACATTTTGTGTTTCCAGGCAACACCGAAGAGTGTCTTGCTTTGGTCTTGGTTTTTATAGCGGCCGTTTTAGGGGTCAATAAGTGCTTTTTGCACTGAATTTCGAATGCAAAAGTACTTTTAAGAGCAAATGTGACCCCCCACAGCATTTTGATGCTAAATGTGAAAGCACGCTCTCGAAACGCCTAGCGTGTCTTAGATCACGAATATGCAATATTAAATTGCTACAACAAAAAAGGACACACTTGGCTTTGTTTAGGTAAACTTAGTACACCGAATCTTTTGTTTTCTGTAGCGTGCTACGAGCATTTCGAGAAACGTTCTGTAGGCGGAACTTTACGAAGGTGAGATTTTTTAGATCATTGTTGTTCGCTTGTTGTTGTTAGTATTGGCGAGCGCAATGGACAAAGTATTCGATCAATTCCTCTCTGTATAAATTAAAATTTACAAGTGAGTTCGACAAAAGATAATCAGAGGAATAAAATGTCCCGCATATTTCGATGAAACACTTTGTGGGAGTCCTCAATGAAACATTTTGTCTGGTAGCCTGGTGTAAATTTATTGAATTGAATCGAAGAATGCTGAATTTAGCACTTTCAACTTAATAACCCGCTGAAGGAATAGCACTTTACTGAGTGCGTCTATTGGTTATTCAAATGAATCAATGTAGCGCGGCAGGTACAAAACGCAGGTCACAGGTCACAAGGGCAGGATAGACTGCAGGTCACTGTGCTATGGTAAGTAAACGACACCTCAAGTGTCTCCTACCCCTAATCACAATCCAAAAAAGAATTTTAGCTTAAGGGCAAACTGCTTATCTCAGTTATTTATCAATACAGCAGTGACTTGTACTTGAGACCTGTGTTTTGTACCTGCCAAATGTAGCGGAAGATTTGGAAGATGAATTTAAACACTTGCAAAAACACCACTGTGAAGTACGAAAAACTAAACGCACTAAGTCTTTTGCATGTGGACGGCAATTGTAGAAACAATATTCGCAAAGGACCTTAAAAACCTTTACCATGGTGTAACCGAACCGATAAGGTGACATTCAGTATTCTTGACCCTCTGCCCCTAAGTAAGTTTCGCTTCGAGGCAAATGTAACTCTTACTCTCCCCCGAGGAATATTGTTCATTACTTCACACTCGCCGAAGTTTCAAATTTGCCGCCTTGTTAGTCATCGGAATTTTGCATGTGTAAAGATGCCATTGTTTAAGCCATTTCAAAAATGACCAAATATGGCAGATTCTTCAAAAGAAAACAATACCTATTGTTTTTTTTAATTTGATCCTCTTTTCTCGATACGTACTCACACTTAATTATCACAGGCGTGTCCTTTGAAACAAAAGAATTTTCTAATGAGGTAAGATGGCTAGTGTGCTAAAACGTGTTAGAATTTAACTACTTTGTTTTAAAGTAGAAGCGTTTCGTGAGCATGCTTTCACCTTTGGCATCAAATCCTGTAGAGGGCCACAAATGGGAGCGATCTGGATCACTAGCCTTAAGATATGAGCAAAAATGGAGGTACCAAAAGACATGTTTTGCTCGTAGACAAGTTTTAACCGTATGGGCTTAGAAAGGGCATCTGTTCTTTAAATGCGATGAAATGCTTTTAAGTTGAATTTTTACCTTCAAGATGGCAGTCATTCTCCTGAAATATCTCTTTGAGTTCGGGTTTAATAGGGCTCGATCAGCTTTTTACAGAGTGCGCTGGCGGAAGTTCTAAGGGAAAGGCTTTAAAATGTCATCACCTCCTTCCATATTTGTCCTCACGTGGCGTAGTGGTTACGAAACGGCGCAGAGCATAAAAGCTCCCGAGGTCGAGGTCGGGCAGAAACTATTTTTCTTTTTCTCTTCTATTGATGTCTTTTTTTCCGTTTCGTTCAGCCTTCTTTAGTTATTGTAGATTTGTTTCTTTAAAGAGCGTAACTTTCTTAAATTTGTATCTGTTCTTCCCTATTACCTTATTTCCTTTTCTTCCTACATCTTGGACCCACGTGCTACCCAAGGTCCTCCAATTTACGTATTTCTAGTATATGGACCAGAAAAAAGAGCCCGCTAAGTAAAAGTGTAGTCCATGTAATAGCTGCCGTTATTATCACGCTTTAAGCGCGCCAGTACTTCAAACCTTGCAAAGGCTATGAGGCGGTGCTGGGATCAATGCTGAGTTTTTACAGGCTGCCCAGGCGCACTTGACCTGAGCGTGACTGACTTGCCTTTCCTTCTCACCAGCACCACCGCCATGTAGCTCTCCCGTGGATGTGGCTTTCATCCTGGACTCTTCGGGCAGCATTGGAAGAACAAACTACCTTAAGCAGAAGGAATTTGTCAAGCAGGTAGCCAGGAGTTTTGGCGTAGCACCAGGTCAGAGTCAAGCAGCGATGGTCCTATACAGTAGCACAGCTTCCGTACAGGCTCGATTCGGACAGTATGCAACCGCGGAGGAGTTCGCCAAAGCTGTAGACGCTCTACCTTACGAGAGGGGCCTGACACGAATCGACATGGCCTTGGAACTAGCAAGCACGGACATCTTCCCTGCAGCGAGGCCGGGCGTGCCTAAGATTGCCATACTAATAACCGACGGCAAGCAGACGCAAGCAAAGGACGCCAAAGACTTGAAAGTGGCCTCTGATCCCTTGCGGAAGGCAGGCGTTCGCGTCCTAGCCGTGGGTATTGGCTCCGGTGTGGACGCAGATGAACTGCGATCGATAACAGAGACTGACGAGGATGTGGTGGTGGCCGCAGACTTTACAGACCTCATGCTGAAACTGGCCAACCTAACCAGCAGAGCTTGCGAACTGGCCGGTAAGTATCATTTGTCTTGTCCTTAGCTCTAATGCCCAGGGCCTTAGTAGCAGTGAGATGCATGAGGCAAGCGCCATAGATATGATGTGGTTGCGCTGTCAGCTAGCCCGCCAAGTGAGTGTACATGTGCCTTGACAGACTGGTGGCCGGCAACCAAAGTGTGGTCGGTCTGATAGCTGGCGCTGTTTTCAGGCCTTGAGCGCGGCAGCAATTGGCACCTTGCGAGGCTATGAGGCGGGGCTGGGATCAATGCTGAGTTTTTACAGGCTGCCAAGGCGCACTTGACCTGAGCGTGACTGACTTGCCTTTCCTTCTCACCAGCACCACCGCCATGTAGCTCTCCCGTGGATGTGGCTTTCATCCTGGACTCTTCGGGCAGCATTGGAAGAACAAACTACCTTAAGCAGAAGGAATTTGTCAAGCAGGTAGCCAGGAGTTTTGGCGTAGCACCAGGTCAGAGTCAAGCAGCGATGGTCCTATACAGTAGCACAGCTTCCGTACAGGCTCGATTCGGACAGTATGCAACCGCGGAGGAGTTCGCCAAAGCTGTAGACGCTCTACCTTACGAGAGGGGCCTGACACGAATCGACATGGCCTTGGATCTAGCAAGCACGGACATCTTCCCTGCAGCGAGGCCGGGCGTGCCTAAGATTGCCATACTAATAACCGACGGCAAGCAGACGCAAGCAAAGGACGCCAAGGACTTGAAAGTGGCCTCTGATCCCTTGCGGAAGGCAGGCGTTCGCGTCCCAGCCGTGGGTATTGGCTCCGGTGTGGACGCAGATGAACTGCGATCCATAACAGAGACTGACGAGGATGTGGTGGTGGCCGCAGACTTTACAGACCTCATGCTGAAACTGGCCAACCTAACCAGCAGAGCTTGCGAACTGGCCGGTAAGTATCATTTGTCTTGTCCTTAGCTCTAATGCCCAGGGCCTTAGTAGCAGTGAGATGCATGTGGCAAGCGCCATAGATATGATGTGGTTGCGCTGTCAGCTAGCCCGCCAAGTGAATGTGCCTTGACAGACTGGTGGCCGGCAACCAAAGTGTGGTCGGTATGATAGCTGGCGCTGTTTTCAGGCCTTGAGCGCGTCAGCAATTGGCACCTTGCGAGGCTATGAGGCGGGGCTGGGATCAATGCTGAGTTTTTACAGGCTGCCCAGGCGCACTTGACCTGAGCGTGACTGACTTGCCTTTCCTTCTCACCAGCACCACCGCCATGTAGCTCTCCCGTGGATGTGGCTTTCATCCTGGACTCTTCGGGCAGCATTGGAAGAACAAACTACCTTAAGCAGAAGGAATTTGTCAAGCAGGTAGCCAGGAGTTTTGGCGTAGCACCAGGTCAGAGTCAAGCAGCGATGGTCCTATACAGTAGCACAGCTTCCGTACAGGCTCGATTCGGACAGTATGCAACCGCGGAGGAGTTCGCCAAAGCTGTAGACGCTCTACCTTACGAGAGGGGCCTGACACGAATCGACATGGCCTTGGATCTAGCAAGCACGGACATCTTCCCTGCAGCGAGGCCGGGCGTGCCTAAGATTGCCATACTAATAACCGACGGCAAGCAGACGCAAGCAAAGGACGCCAAGGACTTGAAAGTGGCCTCTGATCCCTTGCGGAAGGCAGGCGTTCGCGTCCTAGCCGTGGGTATTGGCTCCGGTGTGGACGCAGATGAACTGCGATCCATAACAGAGACTGACGAGGATGTGGTGGTGGCCGCAGACTTTACAGACCTCATGCTGAAACTGGCCAACCTAACCAGCAGAGCTTGCGAACTGGCCGGTAAGTATCATTTGTCTTGTCCTTAGCTCTAATGCCCAGGGCCTTAGTAGCAGTGAGATGCATGTGGCAAGCGCCATAGATATGATGTGGTTGCGCTGTCAGCTAGCCCGCCAAGTGAATGTGCCTTGACAGACTGGTGGCCGGCAACCAAAGTGTGGTCGGTATGATAGCTGGCGCTGTTTTCAGGCCTTGAGCGCGTCAGCAATTGGCACCTTGCGAGGCTATGAGGCGGGGCTGGGATCAATGCTGAGTTTTTACAGGCTGCCCAGGCGCACTTGACCTGAGCGTGACTGACTTGCCTTTCCTTCTCACCAGCACCACCGCCATGTAGCTCTCCCGTGGATGTGGCTTTCATCCTGGACTCTTCGGGCAGCATTGGAAGAACAAACTACCTTAAGCAGAAGGAATTTGTCAAGCAGGTAGCCAGGAGTTTTGGCGTAGCACCAGGTCAGAGTCAAGCAGCGATGGTCCTATACAGTAGCACAGCTTCCGTACAGGCTCGATTCGGACAGTATGCAACCGCGGAGGAGTTCGCCAAAGCTGTAGACGCTCTACCTTACGAGAGGGGCCTGACACGAATCGACATGGCCTTGGATCTAGCAAGCACGGACATCTTCCCTGCAGCGAGGCCGGGCGTGCCTAAGATTGCCATACTAATAACCGACGGCAAGCAGACGCAAGCAAAGGACGCCAAGGACTTGAAAGTGGCCTCTGATCCCTTGCGGAAGGCAGGCGTTCGCGTCCTAGCCGTGGGTATTGGCTCCGGTGTGGACGCAGATGAACTGCGATCCATAACAGAGACTGACGAGGATGTGGTGGTGGCCGCAGACTTTACAGACCTCATGCTGAAACTGGCCAACCTAACCAGCAGAGCTTGCGAACTGGCCGGTAAGTATCATTTGTCTTGTCCTTAGCTCTAATGCCCAGGGCCTTAGTAGCAGTGAGATGCATGTGGCAAGCGCCATAGATATGATGTGGTTGCGCTGTCAGCTAGCCCGCCAAGTGAATGTGCCCTTGACAGACTGGTGGCCGGCAACCAAAGTGTGGTCGGTATGATAGCTGGCGCTGTTTTCAGGCCTTGAGCGCGGCAGCAATTGGCACCTTGCGAGGCTATGAGGCGGGGCTGGGATCAATGCTGAGTTTTTACAGGCTGCCCAGGCGCACTTGACCTGAGCGTGACTGACTTGCCTTTCCTTCTCACCAGCACCACCGCCATGTAGCTCTCCCGTGGATGTGGCTTTCATCCTGGACTCTTCGGGCAGCATTGGAAGAACAAACTACCTTAAGCAGAAGGAATTTGTCAAGCAGGTAGCCAGGAGTTTTGGCGTAGCACCAGGTCAGAGTCAAGCAGCGATGGTCCTATACAGTAGCACAGCTTCCGTACAGGCTCGATTCGGACAGTATGCAACCGCGGAGGAGTTCGCCAAAGCTGTAGACGCTCTACCTTACGAGAGGGGCCTGACACGAATCGACATGGCCTTGGATCTAGCAAGCACGGACATCTTCCCTGCAGCGAGGCCGGGCGTGCCTAAGATTGCCATACTAATAACCGACGGCAAGCAGACGCAAGCAAAGGACGCCAAGGACTTGAAAGTGGCCTCTGATCCCTTGCGGAAGGCAGGCGTTCGCGTCCCAGCCGTGGGTATTGGCTCCGGTGTGGACGCAGATGAACTGCGATCCATAACAGAGACTGACGAGGATGTGGTGGTGGCCGCAGACTTTACAGACCTCATGCTGAAACTGGCCAACCTAACCAGCAGAGCTTGCGAACTGGCCGGTAAGTATCATTTGTCTTGTCCTTAGCTCTAATGCCCAGGGCCTTAGTAGCAGTGAGATGCATGTGGCAAGCGCCATAGATATGATGTGGTTGCGCTGTCAGCTAGCCCGCCAAGTGAATGTGCCTTGACAGACTGGTGGCCGGCAACCAAAGTGTGGTCGGTATGATAGCTGGCGCTGTTTTCAGGCCATGAGCGCGTCAGCAATTGGCACCTTGCGAGGCTATGAGGCGGGGCTGGGATCAATGCTGAGTTTTTACAGGCTGCCCAGGCGCACTTGACCTGAGCGTGACTGACTTGCCTTTCCTTCTCACCAGCACCACCGCCATGTAGCTCTCCCGTGGATGTGGCTTTCATCCTGGACTCTTCGGGCAGCATTGGAAGAACAAACTACCTTAAGCAGAAGGAATTTGTCAAGCAGGTAGCCAGGAGTTTTGGCGTAGCACCAGGTCAGAGTCAAGCAGCGATGGTCCTATACAGTAGCACAGCTTCCGTACAGGCTCGATTCGGACAGTATGCAACCGCGGAGGAGTTCGCCAAAGCTGTAGACGCTCTACCTTACGAGAGGGGCCTGACACGAATCGACATGGCCTTGGATCTAGCAAGCACGGACATCTTCCCTGCAGCGAGGCCGGGCGTGCCTAAGATTGCCATACTAATAACCGACGGCAAGCAGACGCAAGCAAAGGACGCCAAGGACTTGAAAGTGGCCTCTGATCCCTTGCGGAAGGCAGGCGTTCGCGTCCCAGCCGTGGGTATTGGCTCCGGTGTGGACGCAGATGAACTGCGATCCATAACAGAGACTGACGAGGATGTGGTGGTGGCCGCAGACTTTACAGACCTCATGCTGAAACTGGCCAACCTAACCAGCAGAGCTTGCCAACTGGCCGGTAAGTATCATTTGTCTTGTCCTTAGCTCTAATGCCCAGGGCCTTAGTAGCAGTGAGATGCATGTGGCAAGCGCCATAGATATGATGTGGTTGCGCTGTCAGCTAGCCCGCCAAGTGAATGTGCCTTGACAGACTGGTGGCCGGCAACCAAAGTGTGGTCGGTATGATAGCTGGCGCTGTTTTCAGGCCTTGAGCGCGTCAGCAATTGGCACCTTGCGAGGCTATGAGGCGGGGCTGGGATCAATGCTGAGTTTTTACAGGCTGCCCAGGCGCACTTGACCTGAGCGTGACTGACTTGCCTTTCCTTCTCACCAGCACCACCGCCATGTAGCTCTCCCGTGGATGTGGCTTTCATCCTGGACTCTTCGGGCAGCATTGGAAGAACAAACTACCTTAAGCAGAAGGAATTTGTCAAGCAGGTAGCCAGGAGTTTTGGCGTAGCACCAGGTCAGAGTCAAGCAGCGATGGTCCTATACAGTAGCACAGCTTCCGTACAGGCTCGATTCGGACAGTATGCAACCGCGGAGGAGTTCGCCAAAGCTGTAGACGCTCTACCTTACGAGAGGGGCCTGACACGAATCGACATGGCCTTGGATCTAGCAAGCACGGACATCTTCCCTGCAGCGAGGCCGGGCGTGCCTAAGATTGCCATACTAATAACCGACGGCAAGCAGACGCAAGCAAAGGACGCCAAGGACTTGAAAGTGGCCTCTGATCCCTTGCGGAAGGCAGGCGTTCGCGTCCCAGCCGTGGGTATTGGCTCCGGTGTGGACGCAGATGAACTGCGATCGATAACAGAGACTGACGAGGATGTGGTGGTGGCCGCAGACTTTACAGACCTCATGCTGAAACTGGCCAACCTAACCAGCAGAGCTTGCGAACTGGCCGGTAAGTATCATTTGTCTTGTCCTTAGCTCTAATGCCCAGGGCCTTAGTAGCAGTGAGATGCATGTGGCAAGCGCCATAGATATGATGTGGTTGCGCTGTCAGCTAGCCCGCCAAGTGAGTGTACATGTGCCTTGACAGACTGGTGGCCGGCAACCAAAGTGTGGTCGGTATGATAGCTGGCGCTGTTTTCAGGCCTTGAGCGCGGCAGCAATTGGCACCTTGCGAGGCTATGAGGCGGGGCTGGGATCAATGCTGAGTTTTTACAGGCTGCCCAGGCGCACTTGACCTGAGCGTGACTGACTTGCCTTTCCTTCTCACCAGCACCACCGCCATGTAGCTCTCCCGTGGATGTGGCTTTCATCCTGGACTCTTCGGGCAGCATTGGAAGAACAAACTACCTTAAGCAGAAGGAATTTGTCAAGCAGGTAGCCAGGAGTTTTGGCGTAGCACCAGGTCAGAGTCAAGCAGCGATGGTCCTATACAGTAGCACAGCTTCCGTACAGGCTCGATTCGGACAGTATGCAACCGCGGAGGAGTTCGCCAAAGCTGTAGACGCTCTACCTTACGAGAGGGGCCTGACACGAATCGACATGGCCTTGGATCTAGCAAGCACGGACATCTTCCCTGCAGCGAGGCCGGGCGTGCCTAAGATTGCCATACTAATAACCGACGGCAAGCAGACGCAAGCAAAGGACGCCAAGGACTTGAAAGTGGCCTCTGATCCCTTGCGGAAGGCAGGCGTTCGCGTCCTAGCCGTGGGTATTGGCTCCGGTGTGGACGCAGATGAACTGCGATCGATAACAGAGACTGACGAGGATGTGGTGGTGGCCGCAGACTTTACAGACCTCATGCTGAAACTGGCCAACCTAACCAGCAGAGCTTGCGAACTGGCCGGTAAGTATCATTTGTCTTGTCCTTAGCTCTAATGCCCAGGGCCTTAGTAGCAGTGAGATGCATGTGGCAAGCGCCATAGATATGATGTGGTTGCGCTGTCAGCTAGCCCGCCAAGTGAATGTGCCTTGACAGACTGGTGGCCGGCAACCAAAGTGTGGTCGGTATGATAGCTGGCGCTGTTTTCAGGCCTTGAGCGCGTCAGCAATTGGCACCTTGCGAGGCTATGAGGCGGGGCTGGGATCAATGCTGAGTTTTTACAGGCTGCCCAGGCGCACTTGACCTGAGCGTGACTGACTTGCCTTTCCTTCTCACCAGCACCACCGCCATGTAGCTCTCCCGTGGATGTGGCTTTCATCCTGGACTCTTCGGGCAGCATTGGAAGAACAAACTACCTTAAGCAGAAGGAATTTGTCAAGCAGGTAGCCAGGAGTTTTGGCGTAGCACCAGGTCAGAGTCAAGCAGCGATGGTCCTATACAGTAGCACAGCTTCCGTACAGGCTCGATTCGGACAGTATGCAACCGCGGAGGAGTTCGCCAAAGCTGTAGACGCTCTACCTTACGAGAGGGGCCTGACACGAATCGACATGGCCTTGGATCTAGCAAGCACGGACATCTTCCCTGCAGCGAGGCCGGGCGTGCCTAAGATTGCCATACTAATAACCGACGGCAAGCAGACGCAAGCAAAGGACGCCAAGGACTTGAAAGTGGCCTCTGATCCCTTGCGGAAGGCAGGCGTTCGCGTCCCAGCCGTGGGTATTGGCTCCGGTGTGGACGCAGATGAACTGCGATCGATAACAGAGACTGACGAGGATGTGGTGGTGGCCGCAGACTTTACAGACCTCATGCTGAAACTGGCCAACCTAACCAGCAGAGCTTGCGAACTGGCCGGTAAGTATCATTTGTCTTGTCCTTAGCTCTAATGCCCAGGGCCTTAGTAGCAGTGAGATGCATGTGGCAAGCGCCATAGACATGATGTGGTTGCGCTGTCAGCTAGCCCGCCAAGTGAGTGTACATGTGCCTTGACAGACTGGTGGCCGGCAACCAAAGTGTGGTCGGTATGATAGCTGGCGCTGTTTTCAGGCCTTGAGCGCGGCAGCAATTGGCACCTTGCGAGGCTATGAGGCGGGGCTGGGATCAATGCTGAGTTTTTACAGGCTGCCCAGGCGCACTTGACCTGAGCGTGACTGACTTGCCTTTCCTTCTCACCAGCACCACCGCCATGTAGCTCTCCCGTGGATGTGGCTTTCATCCTGGACTCTTCGGGCAGCATTGGAAGAACAAACTACCTTAAGCAGAAGGAATTTGTCAAGCAGGTAGCCAGGAGTTTTGGCGTAGCACCAGGTCAGAGTCAAGCAGCGATGGTCCTATACAGTAGCACAGCTTCCGTACAGGCTCGATTCGGACAGTATGCAACCGCGGAGGAGTTCGCCAAAGCTGTAGACGCTCTACCTTACGAGAGGGGCCTGACACGAATCGACATGGCCTTGGATCTAGCAAGCACGGACATCTTCCCTGCAGCGAGGCCGGGCGTGCCTAAGATTGCCATACTAATAACCGACGGCAAGCAGACGCAAGCAAAGGACGCCAAGGACTTGAAAGTGGCCTCTGATCCCTTGCGGAAGGCAGGCGTTCGCGTCCTAGCCGTGGGTATTGGCTCCGGTGTGGACGCAGATGAACTGCGATCGATAACAGAGACTGACGAGGATGTGGTGGTGGCCGCAGACTTTACAGACCTCATGCTGAAACTGGCCAACCTAACCAGCAGAGCTTGCGAACTGGCCGGTAAGTATCATTTGTCTTGTCCTTAGCTCTAATGCCCAGGGCCTTAGTAGCAGTGAGATGCATGTGGCAAGCGCCATAGATATGATGTGGTTGCGCTGTCAGCTAGCCCGCCAAGTGAATGTGCCTTGACAGACTGGTGGCCGGCAACCAAAGTGTGGTCGGTATGATAGCTGGCGCTGTTTTCAGGCCTTGAGCGCGGCAGCAATTGGCACCTTGCGAGGCTATGAGGCGGGGCTGGGATCAATGCTGAGTTTTTACAGGCTGCCCAGGCGCACTTGACCTGAGCGTGACTGACTTGCCTTTCCTTCTCACCAGCACCACCGCCATGTAGCTCTCCCGTGGATGTGGCTTTCATCCTGGACTCTTCGGGCAGCATTGGAAGAACAAACTACCTTAAGCAGAAGGAATTTGTCAAGCAGGTAGCCAGGAGTTTTGGCGTAGCACCAGGTCAGAGTCAAGCAGCGATGGTCCTATACAGTAGCACAGCTTCCGTACAGGCTCGATTCGGACAGTATGCAACCGCGGAGGAGTTCGCCAAAGCTGTAGACGCTCTACCTTACGAGAGGGGCCTGACACGAATCGACATGGCCTTGGATCTAGCAAGCACGGACATCTTCCCTGCAGCGAGGCCGGGCGTGCCTAAGATTGCCATACTAATAACCGACGGCAAGCAGACGCAAGCAAAGGACGCCAAGGACTTGAAAGTGGCCTCTGATCCCTTGCGGAAGGCAGGCGTTCGCGTCCCAGCCGTGGGTATTGGCTCCGGTGTGGACGCAGATGAACTGCGATCGATAACAGAGACTGACGAGGATGTGGTGGTGGCCGCAGACTTTACAGACCTCATGCTGAAACTGGCCAACCTAACCAGCAGAGCTTGCGAACTGGCCGGTAAGTATCATTTGTCTTGTCCTTAGCTCTAATGCCCAGGGCCTTAGTAGCAGTGAGATGCATGTGGCAAGCGCCATAGATATGATGTGGTTGCGCTGTCAGCTAGCCCGCCAAGTGAGTGTACATGTGCCTTGACAGACTGGTGGCCGGCAACCAAAGTGTGGTCGGTATGATAGCTGGCGCTGTTTTCAGGCCTTGAGCGCGGCAGCAATTGGCACCTTGCGAGGCTATGAGGCGGGGCTGGGATCAATGCTGAGTTTTTACAGGCTGCCCAGGCGCACTTGACCTGAGCGTGACTGACTTGCCTTTCCTTCTCACCAGCACCACCGCCATGTAGCTCTCCCGTGGATGTGGCTTTCATCCTGGACTCTTCGGGCAGCATTGGAAGAACAAACTACCTTAAGCAGAAGGAATTTGTCAAGCAGGTAGCCAGGAGTTTTGGCGTAGCACCAGGTCAGAGTCAAGCAGCGATGGTCCTATACAGTAGCACAGCTTCCGTACAGGCTCGATTCGGACAGTATGCAACCGCGGAGGAGTTCGCCAAAGCTGTAGACGCTCTACCTTACGAGAGGGGCCTGACACGAATCGACATGGCCTTGGATCTAGCAAGCACGGACATCTTCCCTGCAGCGAGGCCGGGCGTGCCTAAGATTGCCATACTAATAACCGACGGCAAGCAGACGCAAGCAAAGGACGCCAAGGACTTGAAAGTGGCCTCTGATCCCTTGCGGAAGGCAGGCGTTCGCGTCCTAGCCGTGGGTATTGGCTCCGGTGTGGACGCAGATGAACTGCGATCGATAACAGAGACTGACGAGGATGTGGTGGTGGCCGCAGACTTTACAGACCTCATGCTGAAACTGGCCAACCTAACCAGCAGAGCTTGCGAACTGGCCGGTAAGTATCATTTGTCTTGTCCTTAGCTCTAATGCCCAGGGCCTTAGTAGCAGTGAGATGCATGTGGCAAGCGCCATAGATATGATGTGGTTGCGCTGTCAGCTAGCCCGCCAAGTGAGTGTGCCTTGACAGACTGGTGGCCGGCAACCAAAGTGTGGTCGGTATGATAGCTGGCGCTGTTTTCAGGCCTTGAGCGCGGCAGCAATTGGCACCTTGCGAGGCTATGAGGCGGGGCTGGGATCAATGCTGAGTTTTTACAGGCTGCCCAGGCGCACTTGACCTGAGCGTGACTGACTTGCCTTTCCTTCTCACCAGCACCACCGCCATGTAGCTCTCCCGTGGATGTGGCTTTCATCCTGGACTCTTCGGGCAGCATTGGAAGAACAAACTACCTTAAGCAGAAGGAATTTGTCAAGCAGGTAGCCAGGAGTTTTGGCGTAGCACCAGGTCAGAGTCAAGCAGCGATGGTCCTATACAGTAGCACAGCTTCCGTACAGGCTCGATTCGGACAGTATGCAACCGCGGAGGAGTTCGCCAAAGCTGTAGACGCTCTACCTTACGAGAGGGGCCTGACACGAATCGACATGGCCTTGGATCTAGCAAGCACGGACATCTTCCCTGCAGCGAGGCCGGGCGTGCCTAAGATTGCCATACTAATAACCGACGGCAAGCAGACGCAAGCAAAGGACGCCAAGGACTTGAAAGTGGCCTCTGATCCCTTGCGGAAGGCAGGCGTTCGCGTCCTAGCCGTGGGTATTGGCTCCGGTGTGGACGCAGATGAACTGCGATCGATAACAGAGACTGACGAGGATGTGGTGGTGGCCGCAGACTTTACAGACCTCATGCTGAAACTGGCCAACCTAACCAGCAGAGCTTGCGAACTGGCCGGTAAGTATCATTTGTCTTGTCCTTAGCTCTAATGCCCAGGGCCTTAGTAGCAGTGAGATGCATGTGGCAAGCGCCATAGATATGATGTGGTTGCGCTGTCAGCTAGCCCGCCAAGTGAGTGTGCCTTGACAGACTGGTGGCCGGCAACCAAAGTGTGGTCGGTATGATAGCTGGCGCTGTTTTCAGGCCTTGAGCGCGGCAGCAATTGACACCTTGCGAGGCTATGAGGCGGGGCTAGGATCAATGCTGAGTTTTTACAGGCTGCCCAGGCGCACTTGACCTGAGCGTGACTGACTTGCCTTTCCTTCTCACCAGCACCACCGCCATGTAGCTCTCCCGTGGATGTGGCTTTCATCCTGGACTCTTCGGGCAGCATTGGAAGAACAAACTACCTTAAGCAGAAGGAATTTGTCAAGCAGGTAGCCAGGAGTTTTGGCGTAGCACCAGGTCAGAGTCAAGCAGCGATGGTCCTATACAGTAGCACAGCTTCCGTACAGGCTCGATTCGGACAGTATGCAACCGCGGAGGAGTTCGCCAAAGCTGTAGACGCTCTACCTTACGAGAGGGGCCTGACACGAATCGACATGGCCTTGGATCTAGCAAGCACGGACATCTTCCCTGCAGCGAGGCCGGGCGTGCCTAAGATTGCCATACTAATAACCGACGGCAAGCAGACGCAAGCAAAGGACGCCAAGGACTTGAAAGTGGCCTCTGATCCCTTGCGGAAGGCAGGCGTTCGCGTCCTAGCCGTGGGTATTGGCTCCGGTGTGGACGCAGATGAACTGCGATCGATAACAGAGACTGACGAGGATGTGGTGGTGGCCGCAGACTTTACAGACCTCATGCTGAAACTGGCCAACCTAACCAGCAGAGCTTGCCAACTGGCCGGTAAGTATCATTTGTCTTGTCCTTAGCTCTAATGCCCAGGGCCTTAGTAGCAGTGAGATGCATGTGGCAAGCGCCATAGATATGATGTGGTTGCGCTGTCAGCTAGCCCGCCAAGTGAGTGTACATGTGCCTTGACAGACTGGTGGCCGGCAACCAAAGTGTGGTCGGTATGATAGCTGGCGCTGTTTTCAGGCCTTGAGCGCGGCAGCAATTGGCACCTTGCGAGGCTATGAGGCGGGGCTGGGATCAATGCTGAGTTTTTACAGGCTGCCCAGGCGCACTTGACCTGAGCGTGACTGACTTGCCTTTCCTTCTCACCAGCACCACCGCCATGTAGCTCTCCCGTGGATGTGGCTTTCATCCTGGACTCTTCGGGCAGCATTGGAAGAACAAACTACCTTAAGCAGAAGGAATTTGTCAAGCAGGTAGCCAGGAGTTTTGGCGTAGCACCAGGTCAGAGTCAAGCAGCGATGGTCCTATACAGTAGCACAGCTTCCGTACAGGCTCGATTCGGACAGTATGCAACCGCGGAGGAGTTCGCCAAAGCTGTAGACGCTCTACCTTACGAGAGGGGCCTGACACGAATCGACATGGCCTTGGATCTAGCAAGCACGGACATCTTCCCTGCAGCGAGGCCGGGCGTGCCTAAGATTGCCATACTAATAACCGACGGCAAGCAGACGCAAGCAAAGGACGCCAAGGACTTGAAAGTGGCCTCTGATCCCTTGCGGAAGGCAGGCGTTCGCGTCCCAGCCGTGGGTATTGGCTCCGGTGTGGACGCAGATGAACTGCGATCGATAACAGAGACTGACGAGGATGTGGTGGTGGCCGCAGACTTTACAGACCTCATGCTGAAACTGGCCAACCTAACCAGCAGAGCTTGCGAACTGGCCGGTAAGTATCATTTGTCTTGTCCTTAGCTCTAATGCCCAGGGCCTTAGTAGCAGTGAGATGCATGTGGCAAGCGCCATAGATATGATGTGGTTGCGCTGTCAGCTAGCCCGCCAAGTGAATGTGCCTTGACAGACTGGTGGCCGGCAACCAAAGTGTGGTCGGTATGATAGCTGGCGCTGTTTTCAGGCCTTGAGCGCGGCAGCAATTGGCACCTTGCGAGGCTATGAGGCGGGGGGCTGGGATCAATGCTGAGTTTTTACAGGCTGCCCAGGCGCACTTGACCTGAGCGTGACTGACTTGCCTTTCCTTCTCACCAGCACCACCGCCATGTAGCTCTCCCCGTGGATGTGGCTTTCATCCTGGACTCTTCGGGCAGCATTGGAAGAACAAACTACCTTAAGCAGAAGGAATTTGTCAAGCAGGTAGCCAGGAGTTTTGGCGTAGCACCAGGTCAGAGTCAAGCAGCGATGGTCCTATACAGTAGCACAGCTTCCGTACAGGCTCGATTCGGACAGTATGCAACCGCGGAGGAGTTCGCCAAAGCTGTAGACGCTCTACCTTACGAGAGGGGCCTGACACGAATCGACATGGCCTTGGATCTAGCAAGCACGGACATCTTCCCTGCAGCGAGACCGGGCGTGCCTAAGATTGCCATACTAATAACCGACGGCAAGCAGACGCAAGCAAAGGACGCCAAGGACTTGAAAGTGGCCTCTGATCCCTTGCGGAAGGCAGGCGTTCGCGTCCTAGCCGTGGGTATTGGCTCCGGTGTGGACGCAGATGAACTGCGATCGATAACAGAGACTGACGAGGATGTGGTGGTGGCCGCAGACTTTACAGACCTCATGCTGAAACTGGCCAACCTAACCAGCAGAGCTTGCGAACTGGCCGGTAAGTATCATTTGTCTTGTCCTTAGCTCTAATGCCCAGGGCCTTAGTAGCAGTGAGATGCATGTGGCAAGCGCCATAGATATGATGTGGTTGCGCTGTCAGCTAGCCCGCCAAGTGAGCGTGCCTTGACAGACTGGTGGCCGGCAACCAAAGTGTGGTCGGTATGATAGCTGGCGCTGTTTTCAGGCCTTGAGCGCGGCAGCAATTGGCACCTTGCGAGGCTATGAGGCGGGGCTGGGATCAATGCTGAGTTTTTACAGGCTGCCCAGGCGCACTTGACCTGAGCGTGACTGACTTGCCTTTCCTTCTCACCAGCACCACCGCCATGTAGGTCTCCCGTGGATGTGGCTTTCATCCTGGACTCTTCGGGCAGCATTGGAAGAACAAACTACCTTAAGCAGAAGGAATTTGTCAAGCAGGTAGCCAGGAGTTTTGGCGTAGCACCAGGTCAGAGTCAAGCAGCGATGGTCCTATACAGTAGCACAGCTTCCGTACAGGCTCGATTCGGACAGTATGCAACCGCGGAGGAGTTCGCCAAAGCTGTAGACGCTCTACCTTACGAGAGGGGCCTGACACGAATCGACATGGCCTTGGATCTAGCAAGCACGGACATCTTCCCCGCAGCGAGGCCGGGCGTGCCTAAGATTGCCATACTAATAACCGACGGCAAGCAGACGCAAGCAAAGGACGCCAAGGACTTGAAAGTGGCCTCTGATCCCTTGCGGAAGGCAGGCGTTCGCGTCCCAGCCGTGGGTATTGGCTCCGGTGTGGACGCAGATGAACTGCGATCGATAACAGAGACTGACGAGGATGTGGTGGTGGCCGCAGACTTTACAGACCTCATGCTGAAACTGACCAACCTAACCAGCAGAGCTTGCCAACTCGCCGGTAAGTATCATTTGTCTTGTCCTTAGCTCTAATGCCCAGGGCCTTAGTAGCAGTGAGATGCATGTGGCAAGCGCCATAGATATGATGTGGTTGCGCTGTCAGCTAGCCCGCCAAGTGAGTGTACATGTGCCTTGACAGACTGGTGGCCGGCAACCAAAGTGTGGTCGGTATGATAGCTGGCGCTGTTTTCAGGCCTTGAGCGCGGCAGCAATTGGCACCTTGCGAGGCTATGAGGCGGGGCTGGGATCAATGCTGAGTTTTTACAGGCTGCCCAGGCGCACTTGACCTGAGCGTGACTGACTTGCCTTTCCTTCTCACCAGCACCACCGCCATGTAGCTCTCCCGTGGATGTGGCTTTCATCCTGGACTCTTCGGGCAGCATTGGAAGAACAAACTACCTTAAGCAGAAGGAATTTGTCAAGCAGGTAGCCAGGAGTTTTGGCGTAGCACCAGGTCAGAGTCAAGCAGCGATGGTCCTATACAGTAGCACAGCTTCCGTACAGGCTCGATTCGGACAGTATGCAACCGCGGAGGAGTTCGCCAAAGCTGTAGACGCTCTACCTTACGAGAGGGGCCTGACACGAATCGACATGGCCTTGGATCTAGCAAGCACGGACATCTTCCCTGCAGCGAGGCCGGGCGTGCCTAAGATTGCCATACTAATAACCGACGGCAAGCAGACGCAAGCAAAGGACGCCAAGGACTTGAAAGTGGCCTCTGATCCCTTGCGGAAGGCAGGCGTTCGCGTCCTAGCCGTGGGTATTGGCTCCGGTGTGGACGCAGATGAACTGCGATCGATAACAGAGACTGACGAGGATGTGGTGGTGGCCGCAGACTTTACAGACCTCATGCTGAAACTGGCCAACCTAACCAGCAGAGCTTGCGAACTGGCCGGTAAGTATCATTTGTCTTGTCCTTAGCTCTAATGCCCAGGGCCTTAGTAGCAGTGAGATACATGAGGCAAGCGCCATAGATATGATGTGGTTGCGCTGTCAGCTAGCCCGCCAAGTGAGTGTACATGTGCCTTGACAGACTGGTGGCCTCAACCAAAGTGTGGTCGGTATGATAGCTGGCGCTGTTTTCAGGCCTTGAGCGCGGCAGCAATTGGCACCTTGCGAGGCTATGAGGCGGGGCGGGGATCAATGCTGAGTTTTTACAGGCTGCCCAGGCGCACTTGACCTGAGCGTGACTGACTTGCCTTTCCTTCTCACTAGCACCACCGCCATGTAGCTCTCCCGTGGATGTGGCTTTCATCCTGGACTCTTCGGGCAGCATTGGAAGAACAAACTACCTTAAGCAGAAGGAATTTGTCAAGCAGGTAGCCAGGAGTTTTGGCGTAGCACCAGGTCAGAGTCAAGCAGCGATGGTCCTATACAGTAGCACAGCTTCCGTACAGGCTCGATTCGGACAGTATGCAACCGCGGAGGAGTTCGCCAAAGCTGTAGACGCTCTACCTTACGAGAGGGGCCTGACACGAATCGACATGGCCTTGGATCTAGCAAGCACGGACATCTTCCCTGCAGCGAGGCCGGGCGTGCCTAAGATTGCCATACTAATAACCGACGGCAAGCAGACGCAAGCAAAGGACGCCAAGGACTTGAAAGTGGCCTCTGATCCCTTGCGGAAGGCAGGCGTTCGCGTCCTAGCCGTGGGTATTGGCTCCGGTGTGGACGCAGATGAACTGCGATCCATAACAGAGACTGACGAGGATGTGGTGGTGGCCGCAGACTTTACAGACCTCATGCTGAAACTGGCCAACCTAACCAGCAGAGCTTGCGAACTGGCCGGTAAGTATCATTTGTCTTGTCCTTAGCTCTAATGCCCAGGGCCTTAGTAGCAGTGAGATGCATGTGGCGTGCGCCATAGATATGATGTGGTTGCGCTGTCAGCTAGCCCGCCAAGTGAATGTGCCTTGACAGACTGGTGGCCGGCAACCAAAGTGTGGTCGGTATGATAGCTGGCGCTGTTTTCAGGACTTGAGCGCGTCAGCAATTGGCACCTTGCGAGGCTATGAGGCGGGGCTGGGATCAATGCTGAGTTTTTACAGGCTGCCCAGGCGCACTTGACCTGAGCGTGACTGACTTGCCTTTCCTTCTCACCAGCACCACCGCCATGTAGCTCTCCCGTGGATGTGGCTTTCATCCTGGACTCTTCGGGCAGCATTGGAAGAACAAACTACCTTAAGCAGAAGGAATTTGTCAAGCAGGTAGCCAGGAGTTTTGGCGTAGCACCAGGTCAGAGTCAAGCAGCGATGGTCCTATACAGTAGCACAGCTTCCGTACAGGCTCGATTCGGACAGTATGCAACCGCGGAGGAGTTCGCCAAAGCTGTAGACGCTCTACCTTACGAGAGGGGCCTGACACGAATCGACATGGCCTTGGATCTAGCAAGCACGGACATCTTCCCTGCAGCGAGGCCGGGCGTGCCTAAGATTGCCATACTAATAACCGACGGCAAGCAGACGCAAGCAAAGGACGCCAAGGACTTGAAAGTGGCCTCTGATCCCTTGCGGAAGGCAGGCGTTCGCGTCCCAGCTGCCGTGGGTATTGGCTCCGGTGTGGACGCAGATGAACTGCGATCCATAACAGAGACTGACGAGGATGTGGTGGTGGCCGCAGACTTTACAGACCTCATGCTGAAACTGGCCAACCTAACCAGCAGAGCTTGCGAACTGGCCGGTAAGTATCATTTGTCTTGTCCTTAGCTCTAATGCCCAGGGCCTTAGTAGCAGTGAGATGCATGTGGCAAGCGCCATAGATATGATGTGGTTGCGCTGTCAGCTAGCCCGCCAAGTGAATGTGCCTTGACAGACTGGTGGCCGGCAACCAAAGTGTGGTCGGTATGATAGCTGGCGCTGTTTTCAGGCCTTGAGCGCGTCAGCAATTGGCACCTTGCGAGACTATGTGGTGGGGCTAGTATTAATGGTAGATTTGGTTGAGCTGCAAGGTAGCGTGGAAATCCGCCGTTGATAATAGTTTCTAAATCTTTATGAGCTATCTTTGAAGAACTTTTTTTCTCAGTCTTTTTGTTTGTTTTTATTTGGTTTGAAATGTTTCAATTCGTCGTTTCTTTCTCTTTTTTTTGTTATTGCCGGTTTTTTAGTAATTACCGCTGAGTTTTTGAAACGATTGATGTTATCTTTTTTGATATTAAATAGGAGAACAGAAGCCCTCATGCCTTATACCGATGGATTTGGCTTTTCTTTTGGATTCTTCAAGGTCTGTGGGAAGAATTGGCTACCAGAAGCAAATAGAATTTGTCGGTCTTGTAGCTCGCATGATTGATGTGTCTTATTTTGGGAGCCACATTGGTATAGTATCTTATAGTTCTCAGGCTCGTTTGGATATTCCCTTTTCAGAAAGTAACAATTCTCATGACCTGCTATTCATAATGAAAGATCTTAAATTTCTTGGAGGTTCCGCAAGGATTGGCCATGCCCTTGATCTCGCTTTTAATGACCTCTTTACTGTCAGTTCTGGATCAAGACTCGGTGTCCCTAAGGTCGTTGTAGTTGTTTCTTATGGACATGAACCAAATACCACGGACTTTGAATCTTTAAGCACTTCTGTTGAACCTTACAAAGCAGAGGGTATTTCAGTTATTGCAGTGGGCATTGGGCCTAATGCTGGTTTGCAGCGATTGCGTGTACTAGTAGAGAACGATAAGCTGGTCTTAGCAGCCTATTCTTTCAAAGAACTCAGTGACCTGGCGGTTCCTATCACATCATTGGCGTGTAGAGTTGCAGGTAAACAAGCAGTGAATTTCTAAATACAACTAGGATCATTGCTATTAATAATTGCAAAGTCTTACCTCAGTGCTGTTGCGAAACTAAAGCATGTATATATTTAACCTTCTTGTTATTTTTACTTCTTATCAGGTTTTAGCTTCTAACAATAAGTAGCTAGCCGCTTGTCGCCTAATTAAATTGATGTTTTTGTTTCTCCGCTACTATCAACAATTTTGCATGTTCACTCAAAAAAACTGTAAGGCAAATCTATGCTTTTTAAATTTTTGAGACAAATATTTGTGGTTATAAGAAGCGCCCCGTCTAACTATAAAATTGTCGTGAGTTCCAAAATCATAAAATCAATCAAATGACGCCAAATGAAAAATCTTGGCATTAGAATTCATCTTTTGCTAAACTTTAGTTAAAGTTATATTATGAATAAGGCAAAACGCGGGCTGTAATAGAGTATTTACATGTTAACTATTTCGGGAGCTATGGTTTCCCCTCTCATCAAAAATCATCCTATTCAATTCGATCAAGAAGGATAGGCGAAGAATTGAGATATGAATGTGCTACCTCCAAATTAGGTAATTACAAAATGCCCACGAGACACGTAAAAATAACCGCTTAAAACAGTAAAGGCAGGTTAAAATAACACAACAGATGCAACAGATGCCACGGATGGGCCCAACTGAAGAAGATTCAATTGGATTGAAATTAGGCTTTTTCAAAACTGTTCAGCCTAACAGTTTTTCAAAGTTGATCTCTGCTGTTTGCAACTTCAAAAATAATGCTGAGGAGACATATTTGTTTGTCTCGAATCTCTGCTTGTGTCATTTACAAGTAATTTCATTGCTTACTTTAAGTTCCATAGCGAGTAACTGGCAAAATTAAACAAAATGAACTGGACTGCCGTGACACAGCCCCTTTAATTAACTCATATTACTTCCTTGGTCAAAGTTAGTGGTGCGGATCAATTTATACGCGAAAGAGTAGCTGTTGTGGTAGGAATCTAATGATTTCTACCTGAACGTTGCTAATCGATGGGCAAAATTTATGCTCAATAACAACAAAAGTAGAGTAAACAATCCACAAAATGGACGGAAAAACTCATCCAGGAGAGCAAATTTTTTAGCAAGTCTAGGAAAGAAGATTTGCACACGCCATAGCTTGCTCTCCCATAGGATAAAACACTCATACCCCTAGCTGTAACATTTGAAACAGACCTCAGACTTGAGGTCGAATTATGAAGAAAAAGAGCAAAGCCCGCTTTAAACAAAAGCTCGGGATGCTAATTCGGGTATTTTCTTTAATTGCAACAGCTAACGAAGCTCCACGTCGATTCGTACGCGCCTTTCGTATTTAACAACCACCTACCTGTTTTTCAACTCTCAATAAGACGTTTACCTCTTGTTAATTAAACAGTAATCTTTAGTTGCGCCTTTTTTTGTGATCAATTTTTACTGGAGTAGTGATCCTTACGAATTCTTAGTTCTAAAAACCCTTTCAGTACTATTCTACCAAGAAGAATGTTACTGCCCATAGTGTGAAAGTTTGACTGATAATCCATTTTTTGCAGATGGTCTTGCACTAGGTTAATAATGTATTGTTCTATTTCATAGAACCTAAAAAGGTCATTCATCCCATGGATGTACTCTTCCTAATTGACACGTCTGAAGGCGTCAGCGACCTTGACTTCCAGAGAGAAAAGAATTTCATTAAGACCGTTGTTCGAAGTTTCAAGATATCTTCCGACCATAGCCGTGTAGGCTTAATGTCATACAGCAATGAAACTGAAATCACTGTCAATTTTTCCGACGAACAGTCACATGATAGCCTTCTAGAACGTGTTGAATCTCTTCCATTTCTTGGAGGACAACGTCAGTTTAACAATGCCCTCGAAAAGGCAGCCGCGCAGTTTTTTTCTCCCTCTGGATCTTCCCGATCTGTTGTGCAGAAAGCCGCTGTTATAATTACAAACTGTGACCAGGTTTCCACCAAGGGTACAGACCATTTGGAGGAGTCTTCTCTCTTGCAAGAAAATGATGTTAAGGTCCTCATTATAGCTGTTGGTTGTGATGGTGCTGATCAGGAGAACAATTTGCAGAAGCTTGTTCAGGATGCAGACCAAATATTTACCCCAGATTCCTTTGAGAATCTGGCGGCAGCAGCTGTCGTAGCAAAATTGCATTGACTGTCGTGCTTCCGTGAACCATGCAGATATTGCAGGGTAAACCCTTTTGGCAGGTTTAGTCTTGTTTTTTATATATGGACAGTGAACTTTCTATGAGCCGGTGTCCTTTTAAAAAATTAGAAGCCTCTTCCAGGGAAGAACGAACAAAATGCGTTTTTGCATGTTATTTCAATAAAACAAAATCAACGCTAGTCAAATTCATTTTAAAAAAAATTGAATGCCCGCTCAACGTGGATGTGTTTTTTAAACCTCTGAGAGAGGAAACTCGTTGAAACTTTGCGGCATTTGCATATGAACCCTTTTCAAATCATTGTAAAAGCCTCTTCAGTTTTTGATGCCGTTCCTCCATAGAAGCGTAGGTATCTAGACGTTGCAGGCTTTTACTTTTATGTATTCTGTGTTGGTTCCCCTAAAACCAGGGAAGAACGAACAAAATTCGACCATCAGCATTGAATCCCATCTAAATAAGTTTTTTAAAAAAGCTTTTTATGCCTCCTCCATTTACCATCCAAAAGACCATCAACCCATCTAAATAGAAATCCATCAACTGAAAGGCTTTGGGGTTGATTGTTTGCAAAACGAATCTATGAAATCTAATTGACGAACGAATTTAACGTGCAGGTAGTTAGGGTTAAAATTCACAAACATGCTCTTTAATAACCTGGTGTGACTATGCTCATTGAAGTTAATTCAGTCTTTATGTTTTTTATTTCCTAGGAGAGATTTTTAGTGGACATCGTTGCTCGGTAATCTATTTTTAAATTTTGTTTCCCTGCTGTTTCAGCTCCAGATGAATGCACTAAATCCGCCGATGTCGCCTTTATATTGGATTCCTCAGATAGCGTCGGTATGGAAGATTATCAGTTACAAAAAGATTTTGTCAAAGCTATCGCTGAAAGTTTTGGCATTCGCCCCACGGGAAGCCGTGTAGGAATCATTATTGCGAACAAAGATGCAGCTGTAAATATCAAATTAAGTGACCACTTACATGTAGAGGATTTGAAGGAGTCAGTTGATAAGCTTCCTTACATAGGAGGAACAGCAAGGATCGATAAAGCTTTAAACCTGGCCACATCTAAATTGTTCGTATCTCAAGGCGGGGCTAGGCCTGGACTGTCAAAGATACTGATCATAGTGACCACCGGAAAACAAAATGCAACACTGAACGGCGAACTGATGGGTGTCGTTGCTCAGAAACTTCTTCGTATGGGAGTAACGGTGTACGTCATTGTTGTCGGTAAAGAGGTAGACGATAAGGTGCTTGGTTCTTTGGTCACCGAAGAAGAGAATTTGTTTCTTGAGGATTCATTTAAAAGCCTAATGTTGAAAACACGGCAACTTGCGAAGATGGCTTGTGATAACGCAGGTTTGTTTCTACGTTTTTTATCTTTGCCTTGTAGTCTTCATTAAAAGGGCGATCCGCCTACAAAACCTCAGCGCGGGTCTTCATGAGTTGCCTATTGCTATTGCTTCTTCTCTTGTCGTTTCTTTGTTTTTAAGGATTTTCTAGATGCATCAATCCAGTTGACGTCGCTTTCCTAGTGGACTCCTCTGGTAGCCTCGAAGAAGAAGGTTTCAATAAGCAAAAGGAATTTATAAAAGCAGTAGCAGCGACTCTGGACATATCTCCTTTTCACAGCCAGATTGGTGTAATAACCTACAGTGACAGAGCCTCAGTGGAGATAAAACTGTCAGATCATCAACACCAAGAAGACTTGATCAACGCTGTCGAATCACTGAAATACATTGGTAGAACCACCCGGATTGACAAAGCAATTGCCATTGCAACAAAAGAGCTCATGACTCCAGGAGCTGGGAGAAGAGAAGACATTCCTGGCGTCTTGGTAATTCTGACAGACGGAAGACAAACACCTGACTCAGACACCACACCCTTAGACGAGTCTTCTTCAAGTTTGGAAAAGTTAGGTGTCAAGACAATAGTGGTTGGAATTGGTAAACTGGCAGATGAGAAAGGTCTCCAGAAGCTGGCAGGCCGAAATAAAGACGTTTTTCACGCTCCTTCTCTGGAACTGTTACCAAATGTTGCGCAGTCAGTGGCTACAAGTATATGCGAAGAAGCAGGTATTTACAGAATAGATTTTATGATAAAGAATCATAAAAATTAGAACACTATCAAAAATCATGTGTTTGAGAAGGCTGCTATCCTAGGGGGTAGTGGGGCAACATTATATTTTGAACTCTTATTACGGAATTTCTGGTTTCTTGCATATCCACCTAGGTTTTTTTTTTTTTGAGGAGGTACTTTTTTGATTACGATATCACCCTTTATCCTAAATGTCCTTATTTATAGCGAAAGACCAAACCAGGGGGAACACTAGGATTGAGTGGCATTGCATCCAGCGCGTGGGAAAACTAATCGCAAGTTGTCGCAACGCCATTTTGCAATTTTTGAAACAGAGAACATGTCAGGGCCCGCGGAGCAGTTTTGAGATCCGGCGATCCACCTCTTTTGAAGTGTAGTTGGACGGGAGGGGTTGTGGACTTTAAAGATGGTTTACCTGGTGCCGATTCAATATTTTTTAATACAGTTACAACTCATCAAGCATTTTTTTAATAGTTTAGCAAACGAAAAAGGAGTTAGTAACAAACAAAGGGCAACCATGCACAGCAGCACCATAATTTGCCCGTGTTTCATTTACTTCAAAAGTTTGTCCGTTTTCTCCTTGCGCGTGTCTAGAAGCTTTCTTTAATCATCGTTGAACGAAGCCGTGTTTTTAACCTTCGAGCTGCCGAAAAGGACCTTTTCCTGCTGTGATGGTTGCAGAATTTACCACCAGAAGCTTTCAGATCCAGACAATTTCATTTATCATGCTCTGCTGAATGTAATTCTTGAAAATTCTTCATGCTGTCTACAGTGTCATCGAGTTCAATTTGTTTTAAGAAATCGTGGCTACGTGAAGATTTAAGAAGCTTGATAAAAAAAATCCATTGTTTGTGCATACAGTACATCACCTGGCTGTTGAAAACGCAGAAGTCTACGACTAGGTGCAGTTTTGTAAAGATAGTCGTTTTGAGGCTTACCATACGATTGAGGATCGAAATGGACCAATCACAAATTTGAATGCTTCGGTGAGGTCCGCCAGTCTTATATTCTTATTCCATCAAATGATTCCTTTTATTTGAAATGTGTTTCTTAATTTTTTTTTTTCAAAAATTGGGGGGAGGGCGCGGCCCCTCCAGCGCCCCTCCTCCTCTGCGCGGGCCTTGCATGTTATATATAACTTCTGCCTCAAACCTGTAGCACAGTCTCATTTTATTGAATTTAACACTGTGACCATTGCAACTCACTCTGTTCCCTTGATAGCACCGCAATCCTGTGATGTTTCACTAGACGTTGCCATTTTAGTGGAATCATCCGCGAACGTTCCACCGAATAACTTCCAGAACATGAAGGACTTTATCAAGGACACAGTGAAATATCTCTTGGTCTTTGAAGGCGAACAACAGGTTTCAATCATCTTGTATGGCAGCCAGGCAGCAACACGAGTTGCGTTTGGCCAATACCACTCCGAGTTTGATTTTATAAAAATAATTGACAGTCTTCCGCTCCAGAAAGGACTAGCGAGACTTGACAAAGCCCTTCAATTCGTCTCTTCCCAAGTCTTTACAGCCAAAGGAGGTGACTATATGATTGCATTAGTGTAATATAACACCTTTAGAAGGTTTCTTGTGTGTTGATGACATTTGCAATTGAATCGTTAGTTACCTTAGAATTTCTCAATATTAAGGGTTCCTTTTTCAAAGAAGAGAGTCCTGTGGCTTAGCTGATTCCCATGTCTTATGGCCAAACGTTTCTCAAAGCAGGACGAATTCAATCTCTCCATTGCTACCTTCGGAAGGAATCCTCATATCCTATTACGAACCATGAGACATTAACTCGCGCTTTCGCAAAACACATTCACTTTGTTAGCCCTTTAGTAATTTTCTTTATTATCTAACCGTTTGGAATACGGAGCAAAATACAAGAAAAACACGAAATGTGAACATAGAGCAGAGGATTACAGCAGAGAGTGCAAGAAAGTAGACACCTAAACCCCTTGGCAAACTTAACATTAGAACAAATCACTTAACAAAATGAGAAGAGGGAGACTCGCCTAACCCCTAAGGGAGAGAGGCTTAACACCTAGGTTACGGCCAGATATTCAGGAAATAAATGATATACTTTCGTTCTTATTCCATTAATTTGTCGGCATGATTAGAACATTTCGCCGTGTTTTCATGTACATATTTGTTACCCTGTTATGTTTTCAGGAGCGCGACCAGGAGTCCAGAAGGTTTGTATAGTCCTTACAAATGAGCAACGACCTAGCAAGAGATACTCTGATGATGTTAAGACTGCCGTAGAACCGCTTCATCAAGCAGGGGTACGGGTCATAGCGATTGGGGTTACGTCGTTAGCGGATTGGAGGCAGTTACGCGTCCTCACCAGAGACCCTAAAGATGTAATTAGGTCACGTTCCTGTGATAGTCTTGTGGCCAAAGTCAGTCACCTTTTCCGGCGGACCTGTTATAAAGCAGGTAAGCATCTGATCCGTAATAGGCTGCACAGGATACTAACTGATTGCAGGAAAGCCATCATTACTACAAACGCGATGGTCAACATTTGTTTGGTTAAATCGTCTGCTAATGAGAAAGATATTTTGTTTTTTGTGAACATATCAGAGGGCTTATCATAATAGTTTTAACTTAATTTTGGAGCTTAGAAATATCCCTTTCTAAGATTTAAAAAAGTTAATCTAGTTTGTTAACCCACAAAGCCCTTTAGGGCCTTTTTAAGACTGATTTTGAATTTTGAACTGCTGGGTAAAACTAGAGTGTCCCCACAAAAGATCTGGCCCCAGTTGTTCAAAAGCTGAGTAGCGCTAACCACCGGATAAATCTCTATCCAGTGGATAGTACAATTAGCGCTATCCAACGTTTCAACAACAGGGTCCAGCGTTTTAGCGCGGGTATTAATAGTGAAGTTAACCTTTTCACGGCTTAAAGTGAATAATGGAGTCTTGTAAGTTGGTTCTAACTTTAACGACCGAGGAAAACACCTTACCCTGAATCCATTCAAATAAAAAGTCTTTGACAGCACTTTCTTATGGTACTAAGAGTGTACTATGGTTGTTTTGCTTTTTAAAAACTGATACTTTTTTTCTCCTTTTCTTTAAGCCTACAGACAATGTGATGGCATAGGAGACGTGATTTTTGCGGTCCATTCTCCTGATGGCCTAAGTCCTCTAAACTACCGAAAAGAAAAGGAATTCGTCAAACGGGTTGCAATAACGTTAAACATTGCACCTGGTAAAAGCCGGGTAGGATTGATTCTGTACAGTAATTTTGCCACAGTTAGCGCCGAACTTGGAGATAAATCTACCCTGGAATTGTTTAATAATCTCGTTGACGGCCTACCGCAGAAAAGTGGAAAGACACGAATTGACAGGGCTTTGAAACTTGCGTTTTCGCTCTTCCACACTACTGGTGCTATACGACGGGCTGTTCCAAAAATTTTGATCTTATTAGCAAGTGAAAAACAGACGTTAGTTCCAGAAGTATCGAATCTCAAAGACGCAGCACATCCGCTTCATAAAGCTAATATTAGGATACTAGCCGTAGGAATGGGTCAAGGGTTTGAAGAAACTGATCTACGCACCGTTACTCGTTCTGCTAAGGATGTTTTCCTGGCACCGTCATTTGAAGATCTCTTCAGTCTAAGCAGCTCTATTTCGAAAATCACTTGTGAGGCAGCAAGTAAGTTGTTGAAAATTCTCAAAATATACTTTAGGGAAAAATTGTATTACCCTAAGTGGTTCAAATACGAGGACGAAAAATTATTCGTCTTGTTCTAGCACAAAATAGTGAGCCTCAGTTTTCTTTTTGGTACATCATCAAGGAGTGACCCCTGCTACCAACGTGTCTATATTACATGCCTGACAGCGATCTTACAAGTATACCCAATTTGTACATGACTATGCATTCTTTGATTTTCAGAACCTCCCATTTGCTCTGAGCCAATAGATGTCGCTTTCCTAGTGGATTCGTCAGGCAGCATCGGCGCAGCTGACTTTGAAATGCAAAAAGCTTTCATTAAAGCGGCAGCCGGTACGTTACCAATCGAAAAGGGTATAGCTCATGCAGGATCAGTAGTCTACAGTGATATAGCAACGGTTCAGCAGTCTTTTGACCAATGCAACGGAACCAAGTCCGTCATGCAAGCTATAGATCGCTTGCCTTACTATGGACGAACCACACGAATAGATCGAGCTTTATCGCTGGCGAACACGGCCATGTTTAGTGCCGCGGGAGGATGCAGATCTCACGCGGCGAAGGCACTTCTGTTGTTAACGGATGGAACGCAGACGCCCGCGCTTGACTCCATTGCTTTGGAGCAGGTGGTTAAACCACTTAAAGGTAAAAAGGTGGCAAGACTGGCCTTGGGTATTGGAAAGAAAGTGAGCGCTTCAGAGCTACGCAGGGTAGTAGATAAAGATGACGACGTCATGACGGTTGACAGCTTTGACGACCTGCTCTCTTCTTTACATCTAGTATCAAAGAAAATATGTTCAAGCGCAAGTGAGTAATTAACCGTTTGCTCAAACCCTTGGAAAAAGATAGCCAAAGCAAAAGTCCGAAAAAGAATAAGAAATATTGTTTGTATATAAGTTGTGAGTGATGATATGAACACCTAGTAGCTAGAGAAACTTTTGTAGCAAGAGAAACCTCACCTTTTGTGCCGTCTTTTGGCAAATTGAACTTCACTGGACGCAAGAAAGTTTTACATTAATGTTGTTTTATTATCAGTAGTCAAAATTGTACCCCTAAAGACAAATTAAACCCTTATTGGAAGACTTACTCTTCCTCAGAATAAAATAATGTTTTATTTTAAAACTTTTCGTATATAAGTGAGCGCCTTAGCGTAATCTCACCAAATAAAAATGTATGACCCTTTTAACTCAAGTACTAGTGCCGTGTAACTTATAAAAGATTTATTTTGGTAGAGATAAAGAAGTGCTCAACACCTGTGGATATCGCTTTTCTTCTGGATTCTTCGGGAAGCATAGGAGAACGGAGCTACCAAAAGATGAAAGACTTTGTGAAAAAAGTTGCTGACGCCTTCGTTATTGGACCGAGTACAACTTGTGCAGGTGTAATAATCTTCGGTTCGAGCGCAACCACTGCCGTTCGCTTTGCTGATGCCACGAACAATACCGTTTTCAATGCAGCCGTTGACGCCTTACCGTACATGCGAGGTGAGACACGTATTGACAAGGCTCTTCAGCTGGCGTCTGCTGAGCTGCTTAATCATCCTAGTGGGGCTCGTGTGGGAGTGGCTAAGGTAGTGATAGTGCTTACAGATGGAGGACAGTCAAAGGCGCCGTATGCTATGGATATTCAAAAGGCAGTAGCCCCTCTTCTATCTGCTGGTATCCGGATTTTTGCCGTGGGGATTGGAAAGGATGTAGATGACAGACAGTTACGGCTGATGGTTGATGACAAAGACGATGCCATTATGGTTCCATCGTTTGATGGACTCTCCGTACACGCGCGTCAACTATCGATAGCCACTTGTGAAAGTTCAGGTAAGCATGTCATATTAGTCTCCTTCCCAGCCGCTCGGTTGGATGACTCCGGCCCGAACGGCTGCGAAGGAGACTGGTCACATATGTACCAAGAACTCCTTACTTCGTGTTAGCCTGTAAGTTCGACTATCTCACCAAACCTAAATCGAATCTTGGATTAGGTTATATTCTACTGTACTGCTTGCAGTCGTTCTTAGAGAAGACGAGAGACAGTCTGAACGGTTCTGTTAATCATCCCTGGCTTTTGTTGTGATATTCGCATCACATAATAGTACGAATAAGCATATATTTCCGACACATTCTCGCATTTCCTGGTATGACCGAAGCTGCTGATGTTCTTACAAGCATAGTCATTGTTCTCTCACTACACTGTATATCAGTCACTTTTTCAAAACATATCCTTATTAATTATCAGTAACAGGCCTAACGTTGCCAAATCCTCTCTCTCGAAACAATAATCACCTTAACCAAATCATTCGAATATCTGTCATCAACTTCTGCCCACAGAAATCGACCCCTGTGATAACACAATGGACGTGGCGTTCCTGTTAGACTCTTCTGGTAGCTTGACACCAACGCAGTTCCAACAGAGCAAAGATTTCATCGATCTTTTGGCAGCTTCGTTTCTGAACAGCAAAGTCGGAAGTCGAGTAGGTCTTATTCAGTTCAGCATTGTCCCCAAGATCAAAGTGTGGTTTTCGGACCAATTAACCCATGAACGGTTTCAAAGTGTACTGCGAAAAGTCCGATATCAAGGAGGGTACACGCGGTTGGATCGTGCTCTAATGCTGGCAGATGAAAAACTCTTTACGGGTAAAGAAGGCGTTCGAAAGCACATTCCAAAGATCATGATTGTACTCTCAGACGGCGTTAACACAGACGCCCCCGACGCCGTCGTATTTGACGCAGCAGTCGCACCGCTTCATCGTGCTGGGGTGCGTGTGTTCGTGGTTGCAACTGGAAACGAAGAAGGCAGGGACAATCTTTACTTGCTCACCCAGCGAAAAAAGGACCTGTATCGCACAGAGACGTACGATGATCTGGCTCTTCAGCTGCGTAAAATATCAAGGGACACCTGCGAAAGTGGAGGTAATCAGAGATGCGTGACTTTTGTACAGAGCAAAATAGGGGGAAACTTTTAACAATTCGGCCAGTAAGAGTGAGGAGGGGTGTTTGAAGAATAAACTTGGATAGTCATTTATTTGTTTATTTTTAATTTATTATTGTTGTTGCTGCTGTTGAAAACAAAAAACACAGAGCAGCGAGATTTGAAGCCAGTATATTATTGCTGAGTCCTTCCTTTAGCAGTGAACGATACGTTATCTTAAAAAACCAAGTCCAAAACCAAAAGAACCGGTAACTTTTAAGCGATTCCTTTCTCTGCTCGGGAAAGTGCTTCTTAGCGTCAAGTAGAAATGTGATTGTATGGAATTTGGTGCGACATATTATCGTCTTTTCTATTAAATGTTTGGTTGAAGTTATTGATATAAGCGGCTTTAAGTTATTTGTGAGAGTATGGGGCTATTTTCTCGCAGTCATCTTACAGTTAACTCATTAACTGGCTAAAAGTTTTGTATTTATCACAGTGGCGGATCCAGACCTTCAGATAAGGGGGGGCGGTCATCCAGACCCTGAGATAAGGGGGGCCTGGTCTCCAAAAACCTTTTTTTCGGCCCTTCGGGCCTCATTTTGGTCGAAAAATTAAGAGGGCGGCCCCCCGGCCCCCCTGGATCCGCCACTGTATCATTATTATCATTTGGTATTCTTACTGTATTCAGTCTAATCTTTTCCGTTTAATTAGCTCTTCCCAGATGTGAGCAAGTCATGGATGTAAGTTTCATAATTGACTCATCCGAAAGTGTTGGTTTGAAAAATTACCACAAGTTGCTTGACCTCGTTCGCAACATTGCAAAATCGTTAGAGATTTCACCAACAGGAAGCCACGCAAGTGTGGTCATCTTCAGCGACACCGCGAGAGTGCAAATAAAGTTGGACGACCACGAAGAAATCCTGGAATTTAATAAAGCGCTTCGAGACGTCCCGTATCTAGGCCGAAAGACGCGGATTGACAAGGCTCTGAGGGTTGCAACAGTCGGCGTGTTTAACAGCAGATCTGGTATGAGAGCGGGCGTTCGCAGAGTTGCTGTGATATTGACGGAAGGTCCCCAAACTAGAACGTTCGATTCTATTCCGCTCAGGTACGCGGTTGAGCCATTGAGACGAAAGCGTGTAAAAGTGTTTGCCGTTGGTGTTGGCAACGATGTGCGTTACGATGAACTGAGGTCGCTCACAGACAGTGATCAAAATGTGCTAATGGTGAAAACATTCCAAGGACTCTTCAGCGTTGCAGAAGAGCTGAGTAACAAGATGTGTCGAGGTATGCCTCTTACAGGGTAGTCAATAATCGGAATAGACGTTATATCCCCAAAGTCCAATGAGAACTACCACTATCTTGGTCTTCCCAGCTCTAGCTAACAGAAAAAAGCTTCGAACCCCAATGTGCATGTGTACACGTGAAGAAATTTTGGTGGGGATGTGCGGTAACAAAGGTTAACACAAATTTTCCGCCTGTACTCTTATTGACCATAGAAGTGTCAAAATGTTAAAAACTCAAGTGAAGCAGTTAAGTGTCTCCACTACTGTTTCCACCAAGTTTTAAAGATTTTGACGTCATTTCTATGGTCGAAAATAGTGTTGTCCGTGGAAAAGCTGTCGTCGATCTCTTTTCAGTAACACTGACAGTTTTCTCTTTCTCGCGAAAAAGAGAACACAAAAAAGAGAAAACAAATTGCGCCACCATCACGTCATTTCCATGGTCTGTACTCTTAATGACCATAGCTCTCGACCAATCAGAGCGACAAATCCCTCAGTCATTCGTAAAAGTTTAATTTTGTCTACCTATTTCTCGCCTGAACCGTTGTTCTCAAGAGACAAGTCAGCAAAGAAAACAATTCCAGACCGCGGTTCCAGAGAGCAAAAAGCTGGAGATGTGTCCCGGAAAAAATTCACGATGAATCCGTTTTGAGCGACGCATGTTAACGGAAAATGAACGTTTTACATTCTTGGGTGCGTCAAAACGGTTATTTTCCATCGTTTATACTCTTATCGACCATATAAATGATTTCTTAAAGTTTAAAACTTTGTAGTGAAAGCATTCGCCTGCGGCTCACGTTTCCTTTTGAGCCCTCAACATTTTGACGTCATTTCTATTATCTTGTCTATAAGAGTGTAGACCATTAATATGTGTTGTCGATTTGTTAAATGTTTTTCTTCAACAGAAGCACTTTCATATTGTGGGCCCCGTATCAATTCTTTAGAGGAGGCTAACAAGCCTAAATGGTTTTCTGTTTATAGTTGGAGACTGGGTTGTTAAATTTTGCGTTAATGTTTTACATTTTTCAGCGTAACAGTTGTATGCGCTCACGATGTTTTCTTTTCCTTTCAGGATAAAAGACGAGCTGTGGTCTCAAAATATTTATAACACGTAAACAAGAATACAAGCGAGCACTGTAGCGTAAACTTAAAATAACTAGTGCTTTGCAACAGACGAAGATACCACAGTGGAAACGCATAACGCGTATACACATTTAAGATGGGAATTATACCAAGACGACAAGTCTCAAACGAAGTCAAAATGGAAAGCTTAAACATTGCCATTTTAAAAATTAAAATAAATTATTAAAGAGTTTATTAAGTAAGCCACACAGAACCAACTAGAAAAAGTGCCTCTTAGAAGGTAAATTATATTTATAAGCTTTTTTGTTTTGCGATGTAAGCTTGAACCCGAGGTATTGTTAACTGTTATCCGAACAAACTAATTTTACATGTTGGTAAATTGAAGTAGTTGCTTACCAGAAGTTACATACAATGGGAAATTATGAATTATGAAAATAGCACAACTCATTGTAGGTAAGATTAACACTGAAGCTACCTGTGCAGTAATTGGGTCTTAGTGTTTGAATAGAGTCTGCGACGCTAAAGGGTGTGGTTTTGGAGCCCTTTAAGCTACAGTAAAACCGGGGCAACAAAAGACAACTTGTTTTGCAACTTTCCTTCAAAACAAGTTGAATAGCAATGTTGCACGTTTTACCCCCGACGTCCGAACCTGTCTTGTAACAAATAAGGTTCCAATTTTATTGGCTGCTAAGAAGCAAAAATAAAACCAGTCGCTTTTTTGTTACTCGTTTTACCGTAACTTCAAGCTTGAACTGGGAACCTTTCACCTTTGAAAGGGGATATGGGTTTGTGTTATCAAGAACACGAGTCATGGATTAGGTTCATTTCATTATTCGCCTCTTGTAAAATTCAGTTCTCATTAGGTTAGAACTGAGTTAGAATAAATTGCAGTTTTTGCCCGTGAAAATTTTCTATCACACACCACACCCTTGTTTTCTCAGAATGCCCCACCCCTGGTCCCCTCGAATAAGAACAATAACAGCATGTTGGTTTTTAAACATGATAATACCTTCAATAACGCCAAATACCTTCTTGAACCGTCTGACCTTTGATAATTCCCAAAGTGATGATATGTTATTATCTTTATGGTATCATGAACGAAGAGCTCTGATAGAAAACGTGTAAGGGGTGAAAAAGGAGTAAAATTTGAAGGTTTGTATGGGAACCGTGATAGCTGTAGATTTATATGAGCGCAGTAATCTGAATATTCGAGGGTATCGCTAATGATAAGCCACAAAAGATATCCCTCTCTCCCTTTGGTTGTTTCTTCCTTAGTGTATTCGGGGAAGGGGTGGTTCGCTTTCCTCCACTTTACTTTGACCAAGGTTGTAGCCGGCCAACAAGAAGTATGCAGAGACGAAAACGAGTAGACAATGCCTTACCTACCCTCTGTTTTCTGTTAAATTTCGCTTGCGTTTAATCATTTTTGCTTCTTTAGAACCCCGTCGGCCTCTATGCTTGTCTACAAACCGAGTTTGTAGGTTTCTTAACGAAGCTCGCGGGCCGGGAAGAATTTGATAAAATTTTGTGAAAAATTTAATCCTGACTGTGTCAATGTCTTTGATTCTTATGACCTCCCTGGTTGATTACGCATTGATACCACAACAAAAAACATGGCTTTATTCACTATTGGAGATTTAATTATATTAGGTTATAAAGAGGAGCGAGCACGCGATACCCTTTCCACCAGGGAGTCTAAATTGTGCAATAAAAACAAAAAAAAATTGTTATTAGTAACTCTCCTTTTAAAAAAAGAGGGCGTAAGTTTTAGGCAATGAAACAAGCATACAGTATATGTTTTCTGTGCGTGGTTATATGTTTTCTAAAGGTGCAGTGGCCCGAGGGCATAGAATAATCTTTTTATGGGAGGAACAAATTTCAACGCCCCCGTTTGAAATATATCTCGGTCACGTATTAACTTAGTACATAAACAAAATGTTTCTTTCTAATGCTCTCAACATTTCACGCCTTTAACAGCATATTTTATTCTTCCCAAGTAAATTTCATTCACTGAGTGGAATTTGCAAAAAATTATAGACTTCAAGATGGAAAAGAAAGCTCTCAGAAACACTACCTCGACACTCACAAACGCTTCCGGGAACTAAGATTTTTGCAACTCCCGATTTGCTAAATATTTTCGCCTAAGACATGGAATTTTTTAACTAGTATCTCCGCGTCCCAGTTTTACTCTCTTCGCGCCTCCTTTCGCGCTACGTTTTAGCCGTTAGTTCCATAACCTAAGCTGGGGATTTACAAAAACAAATTCTGACCTTTTTCTAGAAATATCCCTCATCCGTTGCCATGTTTTTTCGAAACTTCCTATACCTTCCAAAGCCCTAGGAGTCTTCGGAAGCTTAAAACAATTTTATTCATTTAGTAAATTCTCTGCTGAGGAAACAGATAATGCTTATCCCACTTATTCCGAAAATAACTGAACCGCTGTTAGTTCCGCGGGTCAGTTTTCTGGACTTTTCGGAAGCCATAAAACAATTTCAACACTTCAAACGACTCCCCAATGATCTCAACACCTCCTTCCGATTTGTCCCGAAAAAAGAGAGATTATTCTTTCCGACGATTAATTTTAAGTTTCTTCAAGTTTGTTACATTTGTTAAGCGGCTTTCTTACAGTAAATTCAATTATCACCGGACATTTAACCGTTCCTTGTCAACCTTAAACACAGCAAATGAACTTATATTAATCAGTTGTAACGGTCCAGTCTCAAAAGATCGAGAGAAGTTGGTATGTTTTTATAATTCTAAAATAAGCAACACTCGGCTCTTTTTGCATAAGAAATGACATAATATATGTATTTGAAAAAATACAGACAATCTACTTAACGCAGGAAGTGTTGCTTGACTTGGCTTGATCTTGTTTTATATACTGCTGCTCTTTTTTACTAAAAGAGGTAAATCTTGCAAACTTTTTCAAACTACTCAAGAAGCGCGGAAAACAAAGCAGATTTCAGACGGTTTTTGTGTCTTAGTTCCCATGCGCACTCAAGTATTCGTTTGCCTTAAAGATTCTTAAAAAAAAATTAATGATTTAACCTCGCTCCAAGCACAAAACACCTAAAAAGAACAGGTGATTGCGGTCGAGATTAGGGTGTGCTTTCAGACGGTCTTGTTGCTGAAGCGAGGCGTGGCCAGTAACTTATTGAACAAAAATATTTTTAAATCCGACCACAGGCGGGAAAAAAATTCGCACTAAGACGGAAACTAATTGAAACTTACAAAGCCATTTCTTACTTTTAAGGTGTTTTGTAGCCGACAAAGGAAATGTTCAAAATAGTAAAAATGTTTACTTTTCGCGACATATACGACGTAACAAGGATCGTATTTTTCTCCCCAATGTTCATCAAAAAATCAGATTTAACACTTACAGGTATTTTAACCTCGAGTGGTTTTAACTTTGTAACGTGACTAAATCAAGGACTGCAAACACGAGAGCCGAGAGCCTTCCTTCGTGTGAACTAAACAAATAAAATAATTGCGTCCTGTTTTCCAGTCGTGCGTGACATGCCATCAGTAAGCCAATCTAGTGCTGTGAAAACACCCCACGCGGAAGCCATTTGTTTTCGTCATTGACCAACCTATCGAATCCTATTTCTTTATTCCATGAATGCAGAGGGCCCTACCATTCTGCCCACATTATGAACTCGTGGAGATTACCCATTGGAATTTCAATCAAAGTGGGATTATTAAGTATAAACTGAAGAGTAATCAAGTTCACTCCAGCAAATGAGCATTGCACTGCAGAGGGGAGTAATGCGTATCAGCCAATCACCGGCAAACAAAATGACGATTTTAAATGGTTTTGGGCTATGTCTCTTTACGTTCTTCGCAGTTGTACATACGGAAGAGGTTTATAGAGGTAAGTCAAACAGTGCTTGTTTTTTGTGAAATGATAGTACGTAAGAACAAAAATAAAACAGATAACTCTCTAAATCTTTGATAATAATAAACTACATGTATAATAATTAAAACTGCCAAGTACGAGATCCTAACTTTACAATCACTAAATAAGCCCATTTATGTCGATCATACCGTAAGTATGTTTTTTTAGCCCTCAATCTAGTTCTTTATGCAACGTATGCAAGATCTTATTCGGAAACTGTTATTTGTTGAGTTAAAATGTTAGTGAATTATATTTAGTAATGCTCATACCTGAATAACTTTCAAGTAGTCCGCCAATAGATTTTATTTTTCAGGAGTCAGTTATTGGTAGCTGGATATGGATTTTATTAAGATGTGATCATGAATTATATCTTAATGATCTTCTTTTGAGTCACTTCACCTCATTAAATCAACCTTACCCTCACTGAAATTTCCTTTCGCATCAGTTTATGAAATAAGAATTTTTATTAATAGTGAAGTTCGTGAGAAAACCATGATACGAAAGACAATGAAATAATTAAATTTCAATAAAGGGATTAACTCAATAGCAGAAAAGAAAGAATGATGGCAATGACGACCAATCGAAAGATAATTTAACAATTTTCACAGCACGGACAATTCACGCTCACAGTTCATTGTTCTTTTAGTATTTTCTAAAAAAAAAACGTCACAGCTTTTTGCTGATATTTTTCCATGAATTATGGTCTCGTTGTGATCAACGGAGAAAAAACCCTCCGCAAGGAGATAACACGAATTTTTCTAATTTATTCGAGAAACTGAAAGCGACAATGTATAGTCTTTTAACTTTTACAAATTAAGGAGAGTAGAAATGTTTATTTAGTTTTGTAGTTTTTGTGCTCTGTTCGTAAAGTTAAAGGTGAAACACATGCCGATTTAATCCGCTCTTGAATGATGCCTTGTCTCAAGTTCTTCGATCCAATCCGGGACTTTCCTGAAATACAACTGTGGAAAACATGATAAACCTTCCACTTTGCCTCATTCTCACTTAACAAGACATTGCTAAAAATATTTTTCTAAATGATCATTATATCAGAACAATTAACCTTAGACTCGTTGATACGGTGTATCAATTGACTATAAGTTTCCCCGAAAAAATTTGGGTACTTTGGCAGTTTCAGTATTTCATCTTGACAAAACCAACTGACAAACCTTGTCGGGTTTAAACCTCAGGCTTATGATGGGTTCTCTGAACAAATAGAGCGGTTTTAAAAAGCCAGTCATAAAAACTAAAACGCGATTCAAAATCTGGTGAAGCAAGGAAAGAGATCGGTGCATGCGTGTTAAGCACAGTAAACAAAATCACTGTCATCATGGTCATAATAATGAATACAAAACTATTGTTGTGCACCAAAACGCGGCTTAGAAAATTCAGTGAACGCGTTAGGGGCTTTGAAAAATTGCTACGGTCCCGTCTAAGACTTAACAGTTTTTGGTTTTGCGGCTCACTAGTAATTTTAATTAACGGATGTGTGAATGTTCACGCCTAAAAAATGAACAGAAATACTTTTGTGCTAATAAGGAGAGGAAATGGAGAAAATGTTAAACTTTAACACTTGGATGAACTTTTTAAATTTGAGTGACTGAAGTCTGGACCCTCCCGAGTCTAGAATACCTGAGCTTCCCTTAGCCATTCGATACATTCATTGAACGTTTTGCTAAGTTGAATGTCTCACATGATCTTCTTGTCGGACATTTGTAGCTCTTTGAAATTTCCCACTGTTATTTTATTAATTGTATTCGCAATACGCGAAAACTCCGCCCTTTAAAAAAGTACGTTGTCTTTGGTTTGCAATATTCCCCTGCGGATATCCATTGTTTTGTTAAATTGACACGAAATGTAAGCATATATCAAAGGGAAATTTGCACTATTTTTGTCTGAGTATTGAATGCTGCGTGATGAAGAGGGTATATTAGTGCCTACGGAAAATTAATTACAGTTACTGTTTTAAAAAGAATTTTTGCGGCTCGTCGAATCACTTGTTAAGCAAGTGACAATTCGATCTAGCAAAATCACGCTGTTACTTCAGACTTCAGCTTTATTCTTTCCAAGTATTTGGATTTTTTTCGTTTTCCCTGCCAAACTCAATATTGTGGTTGTAGTGAAATAGTTGGACTGGATTTGAAATTCAAGCCTGCCATTTTCTATTTATCATAATTATACGCCTTGAAGGCACTATTCAGGGAGACATCCCGGGGAGACATCCAACGCGAGAGTCACAGAGAGTTAAAGTATTGAAACTAGAGTCGAAAATGAACAAACTGAAACCAGCCAGCGAGGTCTGAGGTCTCTTTTGGAGAAAAGCGGTGTTCATTTGGCTATATTTCTTACTGAAAATTTCTGGTTGATTTCACACTTTTCCGAACAAATCAGGAAAATTTTTTCATAAACTGAATTAAGACCAAGTCATTACACATGATATTCTATACTATTCAACTATAGCCTGCATGGTAGGCGTTTCAAAGGGAAGGAAAAAGGGGAAAAGGGGGTGCGGGAAGGAACCTTCCTCGCGTGCCTTGAGTCCTCATGCCCTGATTTCCCTCCTCGGCTTCAAACCCCTACCACGCAGGCTAAAATTTTGCTGATATATTATTTATGATTATTTATTCATATTCAGAACTACAATTGTAGTTTTTTTACTTTTAACATATCTAAGTCCAAAAAACGTAATTAAATAGAGGCAAAACCTCAGAGACAAACCAGTGAGATAGCCGGAGTTTATATGGACCAAGATCAGTAAAACTTAGTCTTTAAAACACTGAGTACAAGAACATAAGGAAAAATCAAATAATACAGGATATCTGCCTACTTTTTCATTTGATTTTTCTCTCTCAATCATCTTGCCGTAAGGATCAGTTTACTTTTTTTCTCTTCATAACCTCTGTCAGAGATGGCCTTCATCTGATCTTAGGTTACTGATTTGTATAAATGTATTTCTTCATTTCGATTTGTTGCAATTTTCCTCAGAACAATGTTCCCAGATATCAGACGTGGTCTTCGTTGTGGACTCCTCGGGAAGCATTGGAAGGAGAAATTTCAAAAGAGAATTGCAATTTGTCAAACAAGTAGCGTCCACGTTCAAGATGGGACCCAAACAATCACAGATTGCTGTAATCTCATACAGTGACGACGCGAAAGTGGATATCAGATTTGGCGAATACTCCAACGTCAACGACTTCAACGCTGCCGTGGACCTAGTAAAACATCAGCGACAACGAACGCGCATTGACAAAGCTCTCCATCTCGCAAACACCCAGGTGTTTACACAAGACGGAGGTGCAAGGTCTGGTATCGCTAAAGTTATGGTTATATTAACAGACGGCAAACAGACTGTGACGTCAGATTCTAAAACGTTAGACGTGGCAGTGCGTCCTTTGCAAGAAAAAAACGTTACTGTTTTTGCTGTTGGTGTTGGCAAAGCTATTGACATTACTGAGCTGTTGCTGTTGGTTGGAGGCAATGGGAATAATTTATTCAGAGCAGAGAATTTCGATGAATTAACTAAACACAGTCTACAGCTGGCTGCTCAGACGTGTAAGAGAATCAAGCCTCCCGCAGGTAAGAAAAATTGAAGAAAACCTTTTTTCTGGTTTTGTTACACAGTGGAACCTCTATTCAGGGGACACCCTCGGGACCAAGGCAAGTGTTCCCTGAATAGAGGTATCCAATGAGTGGGGTTGGGTTTATTTATTAATGATACACTGCGTTAGTTGCGACGTAATTTAAAGCTTTCAATTTCATTATAACCAACGACTGACGGATTCCATTCACATTTAGACCGGTTTTCTGATGAAGTTTTGCTCAGTTTTATGAAAACTCATACAGTGGTAAAGTTCATGTTAATCTGGAAATTCCAGTGGTGTGGCCGTTTAAAGTAAACCTCTAAAGCAGTGCTTTTATGCCACATAATTAAGTTTTTAATATTTTACAAAATTCGCTGTCAGTATTTTTTTTGTCCTGATTTCAGTAAAAAAAAGTATTTTTTGTTCTTCCCGTTCAACTTTTTTAATACTTTGACTTAAAAACGCGTCCTATCCCTAATTTTTGTTTATATTCCCCCTTCCTTTTCTCTGTAGTTCACGGCAACTGGTCCGAATGGGCAGATTGGGGTGCCTGTTCGCAATCATGTGGCACAGGCGTTCAAGGTCGCCGCCGAACTTGTACAAATCCAACTCCCCGCTATGGTGGACGGGATTGTGTTGGTGTTGCGACTGAGATTCAAAACTGTAACTTAAGAGGTTGTCCAGGTAACAACTTTTCTAGCTTTGTATGCTTATAATAAAAGCATGCACATATAGTTATTATAAAAAACACGGTTCAGCAAGAGAAATTTATCTCTCTTGAGTTCAGTAAATCTTCCAAGAGCAGATTTTTCCAATTTATCCTCTCTTGTTAAAACCTCTCGACGTCAACTTAATTTTTTGTATTGGGCTTCATTGTCAAGCTTCAGTGTCATTGGGCTGTTTATAAAAATAAAATAAAATGGACTTTTTCTGGTGTTCTGCAGTCTAGTTTCTAAGTTATGGAGGTCTCATGAACGTTAGAACGTTATAAAAACGTTTCTTCGCTTGCACAAAAATTGAACGAAGTGTCTATCTTCCAAATGCAGGAGATAGACCTGGTGGAAAGAAAACATCAGAGCCGTGGTCTAGTCGTTATAACTAGGGCAGTGAAGACATTAATGTAAGGTTTTAGCAGAGTTCATTGCCTACAAATATTTTTCTTTAATCCTATCGTCTTTTGGACTCAGATTAACAAAAATTTTTCTTACGCTCTGACAACAGCAGACAAATTTTGCAACACGATCTTCAAGTACATGCAAGCTTCATTTCATATTCTCTTTCTTAGTTAACGGCTCGTGGAGCGAATGGAGTGACTGGGGTTCCTGTGGTGTGACCTGTGGTGGCGGTAACCGTAAACGCTCAAGAACCTGCACCAATCCTTCGCCGGCCAACGGTGGATTGGAGTGCCCTGGAGCAAGCGAGGAGACTGAAAAATGCAACTCTAACCCTTGTCCAGGTATTTACCTTAGAGACCCGTTAAGGGTCACGTTCAACAGCGGAAGGGAAACGTCAATTTGTTCCACATGACCATTTTTTTCCTTTACTAGTGGTTTGCTATTCATTATATCCACATAAAAAACAATTATCATGCCCTGTTCATCCGTAAGAATAATTTTGCAAAATATTTATCTGTCCAATCCCTAATTTGAGAATTTGTTAATCTGTATCCTGCTTTTACTTTTTCCGAACACGCGTTTCTTAGGGCGCTTTCCATTTGTCTGAACTGGTCTGCCAGACCATAGCCAGACCGGTCATTTTCGTGCATACTATATAGGATTGACTGATCTGACTGGATGGTTTGGATTAAAAGTAAAATTCTCATTAGGACGAGAAGGTCCTGGCCGGTCAGTTCTAACAAATAAAAAGCGCCCTTAATCTCACTATTCACAGGAGCTTTTGGCATCTGCATTTACCTCGCAGACGGTTACCAACTGTAATTATTTCCATTTTTACCACAGTTGATGGAGAATGGGGTGCCTGGGTAGAATGGAGCGTCTGCTCTACCTCCTGTGGACTGGGCACTCAGAGAAGATTCCGGTCCTGTAACAAACCACGCCCAGCCTTCGGAGGACGAGAGTGCACTGGCCCGAAAGATGAAACACGCAACTGCAGCCAAGGTCCCTGTCCAGGTAGACATTACATTGCATACCGAATACGATTAAGATAGTTGAAAATTATTGGATGTGATGGAGAATATTGTGATGAAAATAAAAATTAAGGCAACGAATTTTGGATGTGCTTGAGAATATTGTGAAGAAATTAAAATTAAGACAACGAATTTTTTTTACTTACAGTTGATGGTCATTGGGGTGCTTGGGAAGAGTGGGGTTTCTGCACCGAATCCTGTGGTGGCGGAGTTCAAAAGCGAGTAAGGACATGCAACAATCCACCCCCTGCTAATGGCGGCAAAGACTGTCGAGGAACACAGAAGCAGACACGACGCTGCAATATACAGGCCTGTCCAAGTAGGTTATTAAGATATTCATCAATACTACTGGTTAATCATATTTTCCGTACTTTAATACAACTGGTATATCAGAAATAGTTTTAAATGCATAACCGTCAAAGCCAGTTACTTTTTCATATTGCAGTTGACGGTCAATGGAGTAAGTGGATAGACTGGTCTGCCTGTTCCCGGACTTGCGGCATTGGACAGAAAAGACGTTCACGATCGTGTACCAACCCACCACCAGCACACGGCGGCAAGAAATGCGCAGGAAAAGCTGATGAAACTAAAGAATGCAGTAACAGAATTTGTCCAGGTTGGTTTCTGAACCATCAATGAACTGATCGATTACGGTACATTGTTAACTCTATCTCCTCACGGAATAACCTTTGTCCCATCATTAAAAAAATCAAGGAGATTTCGACTGAAATCTATTCTTCCTCCGACGATCTCTTTGAACAACATCAACACTGAATTAAAATTTGTAAAGGGGAGCGATTATTGTAGTATTCGTTAAAATAAATCTTAAATTTGAGACTTAATAATAAATGATTTGTTGCTATTAGGTTTATTAATTAAAATTATGTTGTAATTTACTTGCAGTTGATGGTCAGTGGAGTGACTGGAGAGACTGGGAGCCATGTTCAACAACCTGTGGGGCTGGAAACCAGCAACGCACACGTTCGTGTACCAAACCACGCCCAGCTTTTGGCGGGAAAGAATGTGTCGGCCCCAATCGTGAATCGAGATCATGCCAAGGAATTCCCTGTCCAGGTAACAAATTTAGTTAAACTCTGTCTAAGACTTTTTCCATTATTATATGACGGCTCACATAGGAAAGTTGATAAACATTCTAAACGATCGCAGACCCAATCTACATCTAAAATTGTATTCACTGACTCTTGCAGTGGATGGCGAGTGGAGCGAATGGAGGGACTGGGAACCATGTTCAAGAACGTGTGGAACTGGGACACAACAACGTCTACGGTCATGTACCAGGCCACGCCCAGCTTTTGGCGGTAGAGACTGCGTTGGTAACAGTAGAGAAACTAAAACTTGCGAAACGAGAGCTTGTCCAGGTAAATGCATGCTTTAGATAGGTAGAGTGGCGCAGTTTACACCAATATGGCCCGTGCTCGTATCCCGTTGTCGACACCACATTTTGGTCAAGTTTCTTTTTGGCTCTTTCCATTGCTCTCCGTCCATCACCCACCCACCTCCCTATAAAAAATCCAATTTACAATTTACGAGAAACATTTCAATGGTTGAAAGTTAAATCATGCAAATCCTGCCATATTTCACTCCACAGATTTCTCAATTTGGCATTTATTGTTGAGAGATTCCACTCGTTAAATAATTATCTAAGATCTCGACTTCAGTCAGTTCAAACAACGAGACATCCTAAGGTTTGTGTTGACAGCATTCCATTTGTTTTTTATCTACAGTGGATGGTGACTGGAGCAACTGGAATAAATGGACAGCATGCAGTAAGACCTGTGGGGAGGGGACACAGATCAGGATTCGCACATGTGATGATCCCAAACCATTGCATGGGGGAAAGCAGTGTGAAGGTGCGGCACAAGAAGCCCGTGTTTGTAATACAAGAAAATGCCCAGGTATGTTTTTTTAAAAATGCTCTAATGGTCTTAGCTTTTACATTAGACTGACAACAACAACAACTTTTATTGACCCCTTGTACTAAAAAAAAATAAATTTACATGAAATGTGGGGAGGAAAATGCCCAGGTATGTTTTTTTAAAATGTTCTGGTCAGGTATGTTTTTTTTTAAATGTTCTAAAGGTATGTTTTTTTGAAAAAAAAAAAAAAAAAAATTTACAAGCTCTAAAACCAACAATAATTTTGGTCTTAACCTTCACGTTCCTTTAAACAGCTTGTTTGCAGAAGACTGACAACAAAACAACAAATAGCCCCGTTTATTTGTCACCCAAGCGTTTTGCCGTCCTCCTCTTCCTGCCATCCTGTTGTGTCAACTCACTAATATAGTAAACAAGAGAGGAGTCGTCACTTTCCTTTAAACAGATAGTTTTGTAAAAGACCAGAAAGCATTGTCACGTTTTCCATTACACGCACAAGCGTTTTGTCGTTCTCTTATTCCTGCCGCCCTGTTGTTAATTCGTCAAACTGGATCTGTTTTTGGTGGAAACCTTACTTATATTATCAGTTAATGGTCAGTGGAGTGGGTGGAAACCTTGGAGTGGGTGCACGCGATCTTGTGGCAGTGGAATACAAACTCGTGCTCGTACGTGTACTAATCCGAGCCCCGCCCATGGAGGACAAGATTGTGTTGGTCTAGGAGACGAGACAAGACCTTGTAACAATAAGCCTTGCCCAGGTAAATTATAAGATTTCAGCATCGGCATTGTCTTGGCCATCAAATGGTATTGCCTCAGATACATCAGACAGTTACTTAATTCTCGAGTTTACAATACTAGAAATTGCTCGGGTTTGTGTTTAAAGATTTGCTAATGGTTTTAGTTAGCAAGAAGACTCAGAATTAGTGCTATTCAGAAATTTAAGCTAAAGAGATACAAGATCTTTATAAAGGTCACCACAAACACAAATAGTTCTCTGAGACATGAAGTAATTCTAACGTATATAAATTCCGTTTTTCGACATGAGTGCTCTCAATTCATGGCGTTTTATCATCATTCCCTTCACTGCCAAACTCTCAGATCTTTATTCTGGCTGAAAAATTGCTTACTTACGTTCCCCATTTCTTATTTTACCAGTTGATGGTCAGTGGACTGCCTGGAAACCTTGGACTGAATGCACGCGATCTTGTGACAGTGGAATTCAAACACGTGCTCGCACGTGCACTAACCCGAGCCCCGCCCATGGAGGAAAAGATTGCGTCGGTCTAAGTGACGAGATAAGACCTTGTAACAAAAATCCTTGCCCAGGTGAATTACAATTAGCATGAGTAGTGTCTTTGACATCAAATCACAGTGTCTTAGATATATCAGATGGTTATTCAATTGCGTTTTGTGATGTGTACTAGTTGAACTTCCACGAAAACCTTAAAGCTGTAAGTCTATCTATTGTAGTCTACACCTTAAGCTGCTTGTTCACAAAACAAAAGTGAAATTGTAAAATTAGCTCGGAAATGTAATAGTCTTTGTCACGAGAAATCTATTTTATATGATGTAAAATTTCAAGTATAAAACTTGGAAATTAATTTTTCCCTCTCTCTCTATTTTGATAAGTTGATGGAAACTGGTCCGAATGGAAAGGCTGGGGAGAATGTTCGCTGTCGTGTGGCGGTGGATATCATTCCCGTTCAAGGTCTTGCACCAACCCTTCTCCAAGGCATGGCGGGAAGGATTGCTCTGGAGAAAACAATCAGACTCGTCCTTGTAACACACAATCTTGCCCAGGTATAAAAATATGCGTACCTACTTGCCTACTTCGCTGATTTTAGTTTGAGGGTCAAATAAATAGTATCAGGAGATGATAGTATCTCTAGTAGATAGATAGTATCTTTTTGTAATATTTCTAGAGCCCTTGATTTTGAAGTTGGTCTGAACCTGAGCCTGTTTTAACCGTCATCCTCTTCACTGATTTACCTTTACTTAGCTCGTCTTCGCCTTTCTATTTTGCATGAGTTTTCTTTTATTTAGAACAAATCAGAAAACGAATACACATGATAGCACATACAACAAGCAAGATGAGAGGAAAAAATCATTCACAACTTTTGGAGAAGCTTAATTTTTTTTTAATCATATGAGCCGTTCAGCCCCACGCGCAATTTCGTTGGAAAACCATATGAAAAAAAGTCCTGTGTGAAGGCCGTACGCGTCAAGTGATAGGGCCGGAAATACGAGTACGGCTCTGCTAGAAAAGAGTACTAATCGACGCGGGCCGCTCAGTCAGAAGAATTCAAAAACACAATAAAAAATGCTTATTGACTGAGTTAGGTTAGGCCGGACCGCAGGAGACTTGGCTCACGGTGAGGAAACATGGAGCCAAATCTTTTCCCTTCCGGCCTTCCCAGTAATTAAATAAGACATAGCATTGAAGCTGAACGGAATTCTTTCTTTCCAACAGTTGATGGACAATGGAGCAACTGGATCAAGTGGACGACCTGCTCAAAAACATGCGGCAAAGGAGAACAAGTGAGAACTCGCAACTGCACAAATCCAACACCACGTCACGGAGGAAAACAGTGTACTGGGCATGCTCGGGAGACACAGGACTGCAATAGCAAATCATGTGCAGGTATTTATCATGTGTTAAGGCGTATATTGCAATTGCTTTGAAGCACTGCATTGCAGACTTTCACTCGGCACTGTATATAAGATGAAAAGGCATTTGCCACAACATTTATTTTACTTTCTTCCCTTTTTTGTCTGCTTTACATGAAGTTTAGTCTACCCTGACGTTATTCATTTGTTATGAGCCAGTTCGTCATTTACAGAGAGAAGATGTTAGAAGTTTATTTTACATTTCTTTTTTACTCAACAGATTGCTCTGAAATCGCTGACATCGCCTTCCTCGTTGACGCGTCCGAAAGCATGACAGTGAAAGACTTTGCGACACAGAAAGATGTCATAAAAAAGATAGCTGCAACTTTCGACGTTGGACCAACAAAATCACACCTCGGATTGATGACATTCAGCAGTCATGCACAAGTACGAGTCAAATTTAGAGACAACTTAGACATGCGCAGTTTTCAAGAGACCGTAGACAAACTACCATTTGCTGCTGGAGGTACTCGATTTGATAAGGCATTTGAAGAAGCCGCTAAGAACCTCTTCTCGCCTAGTGGAGGTGTCCGCTCCCATCTTCCTAAAATATTTGTTATTCTTACGGATGGTAAACAAAGTGCCGATTACGACGCCGTGCCGATAGAACAATCCGTGCTTCAGTTGCGCCACCTTGGAGTTCGTATTCTCACTTTAGCGGTTGGAAGCCAGGTCGATATGAATGAACTACTACAGATTGTTAATGAACCCAAAGACATTTACGCCGTAAAGGATTTTAATACGCTTTTAGGAAATACGGATGAAGTTGGAAAACTGACCTGTGGCATAGTGAAAAGACCAGGTAAGTTGAAATACAGTAATTTGTATGTAAGTATCCCCTAATTACCAGGACCCGTCTTATTCGACAAGGCGCGCAAAACGTCTTCAACATCCTATTCCTTTCCAAAGGAGAATCGAAACGTCCCAAAACGTGATCGATCAACTAACGTAGGAAAATATTTATATTTTATTTCTTTTGTTTTTAGAACTTCTGTGCGTCGAGAAGGCTGACATTGCATTCCTCATGGACGCCTCTGAAAGCATGACAGAGGACGACTTCGAGAAGCAAAAGAACTTCGTAATAAAAGTCGCCGAATCTTTTTACATGGCACCAAAGACAACGCAGTTTGCTCTTGTAACATATAGTAGCACTGCTACTATGCATATTCGCTTCAAGGACCATCTTAAGCGGGACTCCTTTAATGCAGTGGTAAAGGGACTTCCCTTTGCCGCTGGAGGAACACGATTTGACAGAGCACTCAAGCTGGCCGCCGAGGAGGTTTTCACAGCCAAAGGTGGTACGCGTGTTGGCGTGCCAAAAGTAATGATCATCTTAACAGATGGACGTCAGAGTAATGATTACGACGCGGTTCCGATTCAAGACGCCGTACTTCCTCTTCGGCAACTTTCAGTTCAGATTCACGCGGTGGCCATTGGCAGCCAAGTAAATCGGCTACAACTACGCAAGCTTGTTACGAAAGAAGGTGATATCTTCAGTATTAAAGACTTTGACAGCTTAGTTAACAAGTCCCGACAACTCGCTACCAAGACATGCGGCACCATTACAAGTCCACCCTCAGGTAAATAACAGAAATAACAACCCATCGATTAATTTTTTTCCGCGATTACATAACTAAAAAAACAATAAAATGACATAGGACTCCGAATCGGACCGCGTCGGATATTGGCGGATAACTTTTGTTTTAATGCTTTCTTTTTTTTTGATGGAGCAATCTACACAGTAAGCCATTAATAGTTACAAAACACTTCCCTTGACTAGACTTTGAGCATTCGTTCCTTTTCCTCAGATTAGCAAGACACGTGACTTGCTTATGAGTATGCAAATTTACGGCAATAATTGAGAGAGAATTTTTGCTCTTCTTCTTTGCGGACGTTTTTCTCTTTTTATAAAAATACGAAAAGGAAGGGTCTTCTCACAGTCTTTCTTTCGCTAGAGAACAGGGTCCACAGTGCCACATCAAAGTTATGTAGAAGTTATGGTGAACAATTTTATTAACATTTGCACACATGAGTTAACATTTCTCCATTTTCATTACCTTTATCCCGCTGTAAACGCCATAAGGGGGTTGAGTTTGTTGTTAGTTCTCTCCCTTGCTCCGACAGGTTTTTCTCCGGGTACTCCGGCTATCCCCTCTGCTCAAAAACCAACATTTCCAAATTCCAATTCGACCAGGAATCAGGTAGACGAAGAAACACTATGTAGATATGCTACCTCCAAATCGTTATTTTATTTTATTTATTTACTTTTAATTAACAGTCTCGTTCAAAGGAGCTGCTGCCAAGCAAAAATCGTGTTTTAAAAACGTGGACATTGGATTTGTCATGGACGCCTCAGATAGCACCACTCCACAGGAATACCAAAATCAGAAGGAACTCGTCCAGCAACTCTTCTCATATTATGATATCTCCAGAGAGGACACAAGAGCCGGAGTAGTCGTCTACAGTAGTAACGCCTTCACCATTGTCGGCCTGAACAGCTACAAGGATTCATCGGTTTTTCGGCGGGCCGTGAATGCTCTGCCACGAATCGGTGGGGGGAACAGGAAAGACAAGGCTCTTGTAACAGCTAGGAGAATGTTCAAGGCTAAACGACCTCAAAATCTTGCTGGAGCTGAAAAGCCATCTCAACTTTTGGTTTTCATTACTAAAGGTGCACAGTCCACTGCTTCGGATGTACTCCCACTTGAGCGCGCAGTACACCCACTCAGAAAGCATGGTGTTAGGGTTGTGGTCGTGGGCATTGGACAAAAAGTAGTTTATCGGGAACTGAGGAAGATTGCGCAAGATTCTAAGGACATTTATCTGGCTTCCTCGCTAAGTGACGTGGATAAAGTATCACACGACTTGATGAAAGTTATTTGCAAGGTAAATTATCCCCCTCCATAAAGCGAGCATCTCTGTTAATGTGATGTACATAAAATGAGTAGATGCCGATTCACTTACTTTATTTTAATGAAGCATAGTGAGAAAGTCTTTACCAACAAATTAATGCCAGTTCAAACTGCAATGGACTCAGAATGAATTTGCAGCAAAACGTAGGATTTTAACTGTTATCAGGATTAATTATTATCATCAATAGTTTTTAACCTCAATATGGATTCCAAAACGTTTATAAATTTTATCTTAAGCGACTTCAGCTGTACAAACATTGGAAACTAAAGCTTTCAGGTAAAAACCGAATATGGTCACTTGGACATTGAAGAGTACTGCTTTAAGTGCGCTCTATAATAATTAAATTTCAGATTTAATGCTGCATTGTTCGCATAGATAATGTATAAAACAGTTGGTTCATGCTTCAACTGTGCTTATGTCAAGAAATGAAGCACTTGGGATGTTTGGAAAGCCTCTATTTCGCGCATGTTTCATATCTAGAAACCACGCACGCTGACGCAGGAGCCAATTGTTAATTCACTTATCTAACATTGTCTCAAAATGAGCGGAAGTTCTGCCAAAAGAAAATGTTCCGGAAGTTCATGGATCTGATGGCGTTTTCTTATTTTTTAACTTGCAGTCATGATGGACCTCACAGCCAAAAAGACAAATTGTTTGAAAATGATGGATGTTACTAAGGGAAAGAACGGCGTGATGCTTGCAGTGAAGTACAATCAGCACTGCAAGTACCAACTCGCACTGAACTCATCAGGTGACAAGTCAGTGCCCTCTTACAAGACGTATCAATTATCAAAAATAAACTTCATCAACTCGTCTTTTCACTCCCTTTGATTGATTTTTTTTTTCAATATTTTAGACGAAAATTCTTAGCAGCTGCGCAAAAAACATTGATACGTCTTTTAACAAAGCCAAAGTGAATATAGAACAATTAATCAATTTTGCTTATTCTTTATTTTGAAAGCCAATTGTAATAATTCCGTATCGGGCGGTTCATTTGGGCTAATTAAGTGATTTGAGCAGCTGCAAAAAGATTGAAAAATTAATTTTGTACAAAGAGAACATCATTAATAATATTTAAGAATGCAAAATATAATTTCTTAGAAGGAGCAATCTCTGATTTTATTTAAAAGAATTTTTAATATTGCGGACTCGAGAGCGTTTGACAATATTCAACTGCTTAAAAAAAATGGTAAGGTAGAAATTGCATGACAAAGGATGTTTGTAAATATTGTAATGTAAGAGCAAAAGAATAAAAGTGATCGTTTATATTACAAAATATGTGTACATGTTATAAAAAATAACTGCCCCTGTCCTTTCTAGCATCCTTCTGCATCGCATTCTACGGAAAAAGTAACACCATTACACCGCAGTACTCATCATTATCGTTGTCATTATCATTATCTTATTTTACGGCTTCAATAGTACGCGCGCTCCGATTGGCTGCTAAGCGAGCAAGATTTTCTCATAATGACCGGGCATTACTAACTAGGTGTCCAAGGCATATACAATTTGTTAGTGGACATCCATGTTATTGTGAACTGACAGCTGTCAAAAACGTGTATCCGGTGACCAGTGTCACATGACTGTATCGCGGACTCAAATGTGCAACTCAATGAGGTGACGTGTATTGTTTAAGTTAATTTCCCCTGACCAGTTATTGGTTTTAATTAATCGAAGGCTCAGGTCCAAACTTTCTCATTGTCAAAGAAGTTTCGATCGCATGGCCAGGTTCGTTTCTGATCAGTGAATACGTACTCTAATGACCTCTTGCATGCGGATGCTGAAAATTACTTCCGCTGTTTTCTATTGTATTCATTTTAAGAATAGCACTAAGCAGGCCATATTATCATCATTGTTATTGCCATCTTACTTAAAAGTGGCAGGATTCAAAATTAGATTTCTTGAAATTCTCACATTTGCTTTTTGCAGAAATATTCTGTAAATAGTTTAGTCAGGTAGTTTAGTCTTTAAAGCCCCTGAAAGTTTTCTACCAGTTCATTTTATTTTTTTTTTGGTTGGGGAGCGTTTGTTGTGTTTTTAGGCTCCACTCTTTGAACCTTTTAACTGAAATACGTTGCAGGATTGAAATTATGCTTCATACGTTTTTATATCTTTACTCTTAAAAGAAACATTGAAAGCAACAAGTACTTTTTAAAAGGAAATACTCTGCCAATATGTTACCGTTAAAACTCTTTAACAGAATATCTCTTTCGTTAGGGTTTTCTTTTTTTTTTAGGATACCCTAAGAGCCATAATGGGACTCTTGGATAGCCTGGCCGTGCAACTCAATTACAACGTCACAGTCGGCGGAGCCAGGAGGGGTTTGATAAGGGGGAACAAAAACAAAATAGAAACATCGAAACATCTATAAATAGGTACAGTGTATAATGATTGGGAAAGCTTTTTTAGCCTCCGTAAGATGATCTAATATCTGCAGTTCCTGAGCAGTTTCACTCTAGTTGGAAGCTTCTGAGAACCAGTCAGCCCTGATTTACCCCCGCGATGCCATTCTATGCGAAGAAGTACAGATGCTGATCTCGAGTATTGGTTCAAAACAATGTGCTTTTTGGAAAGAAACACGTCTTAGAAGAAATATCTAATCTCAGGAAACCCCGTAAATCTAGGGCTAGGTTACACCGCACAAAACGATGTCGAGACCTTTAAGTCTATGGCAGGTGTCGTTTGGCTGATTCAAATCCTTGGGCTGTAATGGAATTTAATTTTGACAGAAGCCGATGAATTCAAGAAAAATTTGATTTCGTATTTTCAGTGGTAACGCGAATTCCGATTTCCAGTGAGCGACGGCTTTTACTGCTGAGAGATAAGGGTGCGTTCGATTGGGAAATCAGGATTTAGATTTTAAAATCAAGATTTCAAAATTCTCAATAAAACGCGAAATCCAAATCGGATCAGTAAGCGTGCACGTGCGAGAACATGGCACTTGAGATAATACTTTTTCAGATTTTTCAGAAAAAAGCGAAAGAAAGTCCAAGAACAGATTCAGTTTGTCGGCGTTGAAGGCCGATTTAATTTAGATTTCGCATTTTATTGCGAATCCGAAATCTGGTTTCAGGATCCAGGCTAAATTCAGATTTGCCAAACGAACGCACCCTAAATGTCTTAACGGGCCACAGTGATCGCTCTCAAAGGTGACGAATACAATCAAATGAAAAAGAGAGACACACTGTATATCTGTACTGGTTGTAGCGAAATTTATATTTCCAATTAAGCGTCAAAACTTAGTGCCTTTTCTGCATACATACATTACAACAGAAGTTAAGTTAAGTAAACCTGAAAAGGGTTTTTTGAACTCCTCACAGCATTGACTTGTGGCGCCTTCCAAAAAGTCAAAACTCGCCGGCTAAACCGCCAATTTTGAAAATAAGATACTGTTTGTTTCCTCGAAATTTTCTTTATATCGTCACCACCGCCGATCAAAACAATTGTATAAAAACCAATTTGGCAGGATAGTAGTACTTCTTGAATGGTGGAATTTTCCTTACAAATCGACCGGTCTGGCCAGCCTGTTCTAACAAATGGAAAGGCGCCCAGATATCTTTACTCTTTGAGAACTTTTTATAAAAGTTCTACTTTCTTGTATGCTTACTGAAATTCTGTTCATGTGTCTTTTATAATCATTTATTTAAAAAATATAGTTAGATCCATAGTATTATGGAAGTTCTGATTAAAGTTGTTTTGCGCCACAAGCTTTAACAGCGGACAACACGTAAAACTGCACGTAGCATAGTAAACTAACGTTCTATGAACTTTCCTTTTATTTCTGCCATCTACCATCTTGTATTTCCCATCGTCTCTTATGATGGTAGTTTATATATGGCAGTTAAGCTACTGTAGCTCGAACTTCAGTATTCTCAGTATTCCACAATACCGAGCCGTCAGTCATTGTTTACTGAAGATCCTTCGTTCATGACCCTGATGATCTTGACAATTTTCTATTCCTTTTTCGTCTTGTTTGGCCATTAAGGAAAGGCCAATCATACCTGCTGCAAAAATAATAGTAGGTTATTAGATTTTTTAATTAGACTACATATGCATACATGCATACATTTGTATAACGCTAAAGACTGTGGAGGACCCAAAAAGTAGATGTGTTCGGACTTTTCTACGTAAAATACCGCACGGTACCTCCTGCAGTTTGACTCTTGTAAGCGACCACCAACTCTTCGCATTTTGGGTGATCGCTTACGGAAGGTTCGACCCAGATTTTTGTGCACTCTTTACTCAGGCAAAGGGCAGCTGCAACGCTCCTCAAAGTGCAGAAAGATTCCAATTTCAATCATAAACATGCGTAGAACAAGCCAGCGAACGTCAAGCTTATTTACGCTATAAAGTAGAAACTGCCACAAGTACACCGTAATTTTTAGGGAGTTATTATAACTCCAAAAATGGAGTAAAAAGTTTTTTTGGGGGGGGGGTTATTTTAACTCCTAATTTAACTCCGAATCTGGGGTCATTTTTACTCCTGAAAAAGAGTTCTTTTTACTCCCAGTCGGGAGTTAGAATAACTCCGAAATGGGGTTACTTTTACTCCTTACATGGGTTGTTTTTACTCTTTTTGGAGTCAATTTAACTCTGAAAGTGGAGTAAAAATTTTAGGTAAAGGATAACTCCTTTTGGGGGGTTATTTTAACTCCTTTATATTTGGGGGTCACTTTTACTCCCGAAAAAGAGTTCTTTAAACTCCTTTTTGGAGTTAAAGTAACTCCCCAAAAAATAACTCCACTGTAAGGAGTTAAATTAGCCCCACTAGAATAGTTATGATAACTCCTTGAAAATTACTGTGTAGATATTAAATTCTTGGGACCCGAAATAGACTCCGAGCGGGAGAGGTGTTATAATGGGAATCATGTTTACAGTGTTTGCCTGTTACTAGGACCGTGAATAAGTGTCCGCTGACAGTCAGTTTCCATCATCAAAGGTTCCACTGTATAAGGAAATGATCGTCGCAGTTACTGCAGTTATTTCATGATACTGTTAACCTAACAATATTCCTTAACATTTCTTTTAAAAGGGCAGGCGGTCACTCAATTTGAGTGAGGTAAAAATTTGAACTTACCCTGCAAATAATCTCTATCAGGTCACGTGACACTTTGTCGGCGTCAGCCAGTGAGGAAGTCAGATAAATATCACTGGGACGTTGTGCAATATTTCGCAGTTCCTGATACACCACTTTCCAACCAATCCCCACCAACACAACCCGAACACCATGCTTCCTAAGTGGATGAAAAAAGTGCTCAAGAGGAAGGGTATTTGCAGCAGTGGACTGCGCACCTTCGGTGATAAAAACTAACACTTGTGACGGCTTTTCGGATCCTGGGTGTCCTGGCGGTCTTTTTGCCTTGAACATCCTTCTAGCTGCTATTAGAGCCTTGTCTTTTCGGTTGTCCCCACCGATTCGTGGAAGAGCCCTCACGGCGCGCTGAAATATGGACGAATCCCTGTAGCTGTTAAGACCGACGACGGTGTAAGCGTTATCACTGTATACGATGACTCCGACTCTTGTGTCCTCTCTAGAAATGTCGTAGTAGGAGGAGAGCTGTTGAATAAGTTCTTTTTGTTGCTGGTATTCCCGTACAGTGGCGCTGTCTGAAGAATCAATAACGAATCCGATGTCCACATTTTTGAAACATGATTTCTGCCTACCAGCAGCACCTTGGAACGAAACTGTAAATTTAGAAAAAAACAACACAAGTAAGCGTTTGCTTCCATCTTTCCTTTTTGGTCATTTTTTTCCTTTTTTATTTTTTCTAACTTTTAACTGGTGCAGAATAAACCTTTCCACGGTCAAGTAATATATATCCCCAGATAATCAGAGAATGGAAATGTCAGAGGATACGCTGGTCAGAATGATTTCATAATATTTTGGTGATGATTTCTTTAACGTTACCTAATAAGAGTCACGATAAGGACAGAATGAGATTGCAATTCAAACAGTTACCTCAGCCGAGGAGAATGGGCGAATCTTTATAATTGTATTACAATACAAGCTCTTTTGAAGACTTCTCTTTAGTGGGTGGCTCTCATTTCTTTTTAGGAGAACCCCATTTTAACTCTTACGGTACAAACACCTTTCCCATAAGCGGTCAGCTCCTAACTGGGACAATTTTTATCCTGCAAGCAGAAGTTTCTTTACAGCATGGCCTTCAGCATTTACAGCTACGCGACTGACAAGCGAGGCGAACGACTTCGTAAATGCTAAAAGCTGGAAAGAACTCTTCTCACAGGTCATACAATCTTCCCATTGGTGTCCGATAACAGGAGCTTTGACTAAAGCACAAAATACTTTTGTGTGTTGCCCGTAATTTGTTCATTCACCTTTCGATCGATAATAATTCTTGTGGCCAACTTCTTTTAAATTTATATTTAAGTTAGTCAAACATGCATTAAACGGTCAACCTGTATAATATGGTCAGATGGTCAGTAAGGTGACTGCCTACTAGCTACAGGTTTCATTACAGAGTAAAATGCATGGAATTCAGCCTGCTTATAGCAGGTCCCTATTAAGTGTAAGCAAAGGAAATAAGGGACCTCTGCAAGCAGGCACTTTTACATACGTGTAGAAGGTGGAGTATCTACACAGGCAGCTCTGGCAATTTGATTAGATTTCGCCAAAAGTTCGTCAAAATTATCCACAGTAAAAATATCCTCGTCCTTTTCGACGATTAACCTTAGCTCATCTCGGGAAACATCACTTCCAATACCAACAGCTAACAACCTGACCTCGAGCTGTAACAACGGCAAAACAGCCTGGTCCAGTGAAGTAACCTTGGGATCTAAGGATTGATCCCCATTTGTGAGCACGATAAGTATCTTGGATAAATTGGCACGTTCTTGTTTGATGGCTCCAAAAAGACCATCAGCAGCCATTTTGAGCCCCCTTTCTATGCGCGTTTGTCCACCCCAGTAGGGTATCTTGTCGACTGCAGTTTTAAATTCTTCATTGTTCTTGTGTTGTCCAAACCGAATCCACAGGCTTGCCTCTTCGTTGTATGTAACGACACCGGTTTCGGTTTTTCCCATGGAGATTGAAAATGTATCTGCCACGTTCTTGACAAAATTTCGTTGCTTTTCGTAGTTTTTAACAGTGATGCTGCTCGACATGCCCATGACAAATCCTAAGTTGATTCTTTCTTCCTTGCACTGGACTGAAAGACACAAGCAAATAAACATAAAAACGTTTAAAGAAAAAGCAACTCCAACGTAGCCTTAATTCAAGCTCGCGACCAAAAAGTTTCATATCTTGGCAGAATGGCTGTACATAAAGTAACTTGCGAAACAGCAACTAAGACGTATCAGGGCCTATACATTTTCGAAGACATGGTTATATTCTCAAAAAAATTGAACACTAGATTCAATTCCAGTTCCTTCCATTTCTTTAGCACATTTGCTTACCTGAATTAGAACACTCGTAAAGGTCAAGTTAGAAAGAATTTTAAACTGATCTTGCATATAAAAACTTTTCACCCCCTTTGATATAACCTAAGTATTGCAATGTTCTAAATGAACTATTCTCTTTCGACGTTCCGGCCCCATCCTAACTTAGTGTAGAATTATCATTTTCTATGTCATTATCTATACCTTGCAAAGAAGATGAAACGTGACAAATCTTCTGCGCAGTGTCGTTCGCCATTTTCGCCAAGTCATCAAAGTCAATCACGGTGAAGACATCCTCTTCTTTCTCTGTAAGCTCATAAAGTTCTTTTAGGTCCAACTCACTGCTGACGGCCACAACGTAAATGCGAACACCCTGTTGCTTCAAGGGACGCACAGCGTCTTTTAGACGTACGGAACCTGGATCTTGGCTCTGCCTGCCATCAGTGAGGATAACCATCGTTTTCTGCTTCCCAGAATTGACTTCTCCATTGTCAGTGAATAGCTGAGAAGAGGCAAGCTTTAGTGCTTTGTCCAGACGTGTTCGTCCTTTTGTGTGTGTCATACGATCGACAACGTTTTTGAATGTCACTAGATCAGCTGAATCTTTAAAGCTGAACTCTATCTGAGCATTGGTGCTGTACGATATTAACCCGAGCTGATGTTTCGTTGCAGAAGGGTCGAACGCAGATGCGAGAGCTTTAACGAAGTCTTTCTGCTTTCTAAAGTTTTCGTTACTGATACTACCAGATGTATCCACAACGAAGGCGAGGTCGGCTTGCTTTGAACACTTAGTCACTGCGAACATAAAAAAGGATAAAAAGGATTGGTCCTTGTCCTCGCAAATTCATAACAAGATCAAAACTTTTGCTCTCCATCCGAGCCAAAAGTATGTGAAGTCACTACTCTTGTAATCATTTCTGTGGCGAATCTTCCGACTAGGAAAAAGTCTGCTCAGGAGAGGTTTCCACTTGGTAAGGGAGTTTAAAGCTGCATTGCCTGTATATCGCTCGGTCCGCTACTAAGGGCACTTAAAATTAATCAGAAGTAACCGGCCTGACCAGCCCAAGGAAATCCGTTGTTAATCGGATATGTCTGGCAACAGTGGTCTATTTCTAAATAATAAACACAGCAGAGTGGGATTGTTAGCTTAAATGCTGAACATGGCTAATTTCATTTTCAAGATGAATGGTCTGGTCGACCAGTTCCAGATTTGGGTAGAAGTTGGCCTACGGGAGATTTTCGTTATCGAAGGTCCGACTGTCGGCAGCTTAAGCAGCGTAAAAACCTTTAAAAGTTTTTGAACGACGCACGTGAAACAGAAGTGAGCGTTCTGGATTCTCTAGCTTTTGCCCAAATTATTTGTCATTCCCAAAAATATAGGAGCAAAGGCAATTAGCAATACAAATTTGGTAACGTCAAGGTATATTAGAGGGGTTTAGGCCTTACTTCAGGTTGACGTGCGTCCCTCAAAAACGCCTCTGCTTAGCTACCTTGTATCAAAAAGTAGAATACCAAATACTTCAGCAATTCAGGACAGAGATACTATTCTCATTGCATACATAATTGGTTCCTGACGCGGGAAATAAGAAACTCCTTAAACTCCATCGTGTTGGGTCTGCGCGTTATTGGCATGATGAATTGCGAGCCTTTTGCCCGCCTCTTGGCCAGTTTAACTGAGTTCGGTGGAAGTGAATTCAAAGTTCCGCGCCTCCCTCCTTCCCTGGTGGCGGTTTACGCCGCATACCCTCATTATTCGGCAGGCCTATTTTCCTGGCAGTAGCGGTTCCTTCCCATTACTTATTTCCCCGTGAAGGGAGAATGGGTATGTGGTGCGAATATTATACCATTGGGTCAGTGTTTGCCTAAACCAAACTTGTTTTAATATCACTTTTTACTTTTATTACTTACCTTTTATTGGAGCCGCAAGGCGACAAGTCTCCCGAGCAACGTCGTTGGCCATTTTTGCTAAGTCATCAAAATAACTTGCGGTGAACACATCATCCTTCTTCTCTGTCAATTGATATAGTTCTTCCAGGTCCAACTCACTGCTGACGGCTACAACGTAAATCCGTACACCCAGCTGCCTCAAGGGACGCACGGCGTCTTGCAGTGGGACAGCACCTGGATCCTGGCTTTGCCTACCATCCGTAAGAATGATCACACTTTTCCGTTGACCAGCGTTAATTTCTTCGTTGGGATTGAATAGCTGAGAAGTAGCAAGCTTTAGCGCATTGTCCAATCGAGTACGACCTTTTATATGCAGCATACTATCAACGGCTTTCTCAAATTCTTCTAGTTTGGTATTATCTTTAAAGCTGACCTCCATGCGAGCATTGGTGCTGTACGAAATAAGTCCGAGCTGATGATGGGTGATGGAGGGGTCGAACGAAGACGCGATAGCTTTAACGAAGTCCTTCTGTTTTTTAAAGTTTTCATCAGTGATACTGCCAGATGTGTCAACGATAAAGGCAAGGTCAGCTCGCTCAGAACACTTCATGACTGCAGAAAAGGAAAAGAAGTAAAGAATTCTAACGTTATAGAGGTTTGCCAAGTGAGCTTGTCAGTACATTAGCAAATTTAAAATAAAATCGCCAACTTTGTTCCATTTAGCTGATATAAGTGCTTAGTTTAAAAAGGCTCAGTCAAAAAGTTTCCGGACTAACACTATACATGATATATAGCAAGTGTCACATTTGGTTTAAGTTCGCTAGTAAAATATAAAAATTATATTATAAATTTAATTTAAGAAAAAACTATTCCCTGCAAAAAATATGCCGTTCCCATACCGGGAGTCGAACCCGGGCCGCCTGGGTGAAAACCAGGAATCCTAACCGCTAGACCATATGGGAGAGATGACGAAAACGGGGAAAATTTCAAAAATGATCTCACAGATTTTGTTCAAGCTTTGCCATCATAGACGTCTTTAGCATGTTTTGCTTTACCAATGCAGGTCATGTTTATCATGTCATGTGTGCCATACACTGCAGAACTCTTTCTTCAAATTTCATCTTATTCACGTGCATAAGCAAGCATAAGGGGCAAGCTCCTCTGCCAGATTTTCATTGGGAAAATTAAAAGTACAAGCTAAAGAGGTCCATTGAGGCAGCCATAAGAGATACAAGCTTCTTTATACGATTTTCAAAAATATCTCGTTACCGAGAAATACCAAGGTAAGCAATGGAGTAATTTCGTTTCCATGGCAACTCTGATGTGAATAAATCACAGATCATCACAAATGAAATTCTCATATTTATGCAATAAAGCCCTAGTGACGTTTTTCACCGCCTAAAAAAGTAAAAATCTAGTCGATTAACCTTAAAAGAAGGAAAAACCTTTCCTTGCAAAATAAATTTCGACGTTCCCATACCGGGAGTCGAACCCGGGCCGCCTGGGTGAAAACCAGGAATCCTAACCGCTAGACCATATGGGACAGACAACCTCAGAGAGGTTGAGGCTTATGAAAGCCTCTACCTCAGAGAGGTAGAGGCTTTCATAAATGTTTCATTCAAGAGAATTTACATTCACTTGATATTACTGTCACTGTCGCTTCTCTCTCAAAGTAAGCAAGTAAGTAAGCAGTAACTAACAACGACGGCAACGGCTACGAAAACGTCAGTTAAAAAGCGTGTTCGCGCTAATTGCACCTCGTTCTATTCATAAGATGTTGGCTTATTTTTCCGGAGTTGAATTCTAAAAGATTGTATTAAAGTTCACAAACGGAAAGAGAGGGTTGTTTTCTTGTGTTCACGTCCTCCACAAAACGTGAAATTAGGCAGTTTCACGACGGCAAACAAATGCACAACAAAGGCGGCGTGATGCACGTGCAAAGTTGTTGTTTTGCCAATCCAAACCTATTGCTCTTTTGCCGTTCTCATTGCCGTCGATGTCGTCGTTGTTTAAGCTCCTCAGTTTTACCTGGAGGTGGCCGCGATGTGATGTTGCATGTTTTAACGGCCGCTTGTCGTGAGTAATTAAACAAGCTGTTAAAGTCTTGAACACTGAGAATATCCTGCTCGTTTCCAACAAACTTTCGCAGTTCTACGTGGTTCACTTGGCTCCCTATGGCCACGACTTGGACCTGAACGGAAAGTTGCTGCAGAGGTACCATAGCGTCTTGAATGGGCACGGCATCGTTATCATTACTCTGCTGTCCATCTGTTAGGATGACCATCACTTTTGGAACGCCAACACGCGCGCCGCTTTGAGCCGTGAAAACATCCTCCGCGGCTAGCTTGAGCACCTGCGAAATGAAAGCCATAATTTGGTCCTACTAGTGCCTGTCTGGAAAATTCTATACCGGCTTCCCGGCAGTCTATCCGAGGTTAGGGGAAAAGGAAAAGGAAAGTACGGAATGGAAGACTACAAGTGAGTGCCTATGAGGAGCAGACAGAGCAAGACGAATAACACAGATTATTCGAAATGAGTACAGTGCTGTCCACCTTTTATTTGCTGGTCAGGAGTGGACTACTGATTTCCCTAACACTTATAAAATGGATAGCAATTTATAGCGCTATTCTACTAGGAACAAACAAGTGGCGCCTAGGTAGGAACTGCTCTGTGTCTAGTGGTGCACAAGGCCTCACGATCTACTAACCAAATTTTTCGTAACTATTGTAAAAATTCTACCCCTCACATTGATCAGTGACTACTCCTCGATATATTTGCGCGTGGATGATACAAAATGTTTACAATACCTCACCTTGTCAAACCGTGTTCCACCAGCAGCAAAGGGAAGTTTCTTAATCCTTGTTTTAAAAGAGTCCAGGTTCAATTGATCCCTGAAGCGAAAATGCAAATTAGCATTGCTACTGTATGTGACGAGAGAAAACTGTATCATATGAGGAGCCATGTAGAAAGACTCGGCGACTTTTATCACAAAGCTCTTTTGCTTTTCGAAGTCCTCCTTTGTCATACTTTCAGAAGCGTCCATAAAGAAAGCAATGTCAGCCTTTCCGAAACACAAGAGTTCTAGAAGGTAAACATAAAAGCAAAGCTGTTGAATACTATAACATTGTTCCTTTCCTCGAAAATTATTATTTTAGATGCTGATTGCAGCTGATTGCTTTGAACATGCAAGCCACCTGATATTAAAAGATTTCAGAACTACTAGTGAACGTCCATGAAAAACAGATTTTTTACCCTGCCATTATAATCTTTAATCAACATCCGACTTTTCAGCACGATTTCGTTGATAGACTTGGCCAACAAAGATGTTCTTACGGCCTGCACGGTTACACAGAGCGCATGTTTGCACACCGGCACCCCACGTTTTCTCAACCTCTACTGATAGGATTTTGGGCAATTTTGATGGCCTTGGTTTTTTTTATAAGTACCCTTCTTTTTTAGTATCACTAACCGTAAAGATTAGCTTTAGCTTTTTTGTGGGCTAATGCTGTTTTTCTTGATTTGTATGATTTCGTAAATAAACTTGAAACTTGAACTTGAAACTCACAAAGCTAAAAGGTGTGTTAAATGAGCTTACAAGAATCCAAGGACCTTTGTAAAACCACTGCATGACTTATGACTGCATGTACTCTTCTCTTAGCATTGCAAACTCTTTCCCTCAATGTTTTGCAAATTACCTGGTCTCTTGATGATATCACAGGTCTGTTTACTAGCTATCTTCGCGTTCTCTAACAGGGTGTTAAAATCTTTCACCGCGTAAATGTCTTTGGGGTCAGAAACGATCTGCTGCAGTTCGTTCATATCAATCTGATTTCCAACAGCCAAAACGAACAACCGAACGCCAAGATGGCGCAACTGCAAAACGGATCTCTCCACTGGCACTGCGTCGTAATCTGCGCTTTGCTTTCCATCCGTTAAAATGATCAGTACTTTGGGCAGATCAACGCGAACTCCTCCACTGGGCGTAAAAAGGTTGTTTGCTGCTACTTTAAACGCCTTGTCAAAACGGGTACCCCCATCAGCGAACGGCAGTTTGTCCACCGTGTCTTGAAAGCTACGCAGGTCCAAATTGTCTCCAAACCTGACTCGCACTCGAGCATTACTACTGAATGTAACGATCCCGAGGTGAGATTTAGTTGGTCCAACGTCGAATGAGGCGGCGATCTTTTTTATGACTTCTTTTTGTTTTTCAAAGTTCTTTTTTGTCATGCTTTCCGACGCGTCCACGAGAAAAGCAATGTCAGCGATTTGGGAACATTCTGAAGGTGTGAGGAAAACATTAAGTCAATTATATTCTAAAATCAATAACATTAATTACAGATAAACGATAAACACAAAGAGAAGGTTTGCTATCCAGACGATGACTACAGTTCGAGCTACCGATGTCATGATAATAAAGACCTTCTACCTTTACCTTTACCACAAATTACCTGCGCATGAAATGTCATTGCAATCCTGTTTCTGCTGAGCATGCCCAGTACACTGCTTTCCCCCGTGACGTGGTGCTGGATTTGTGCAGTTGCGAGTTCTCATTTGTTCTCCCTTGCCGCATGTTTTTGAGCAGGTCGTCCATTTGTTCCAGCTGCTCCACTGTCCATCCACTGTTGGAATAGTGTGAGTAAGCAATAGGCAGTTAATAAGCCCTTATAAACGAAGCTTTCTCGCTTTGAAAATTGTGGGGAGGGGAGATAAGTAGCCTTCCAATACCGCCGCTTTTCATCGCACCCGAGGTTGGAAAGCTTAGCGTTAGACCTATGCGTTTTGGACGCAAAATTACATACTGCTGACATTCTCTTTCGAGATGTCCCTTACAACGGTACGCCATGAGAGGCAGATGTAGTCTCAGACTGTAACATAAGTAGAAGTTCAAAATAGCCGCATGGTGTGCTCCAGTCAATCGTGAATTGCTTTTTTAAAGACGAGATTAGAAGGTTTTTTGTCAACGTTTATTGTATTGCAGCTTTTTCAATGTAATAACAGATCTTGGTTTTTTTAAAAAATCCCTCATCCCGCATCAGCACCAAATTCCGCTTCCTACTCACTATTCCGATCACGAACCTCGATATCTATTACCTCTGAAATCTCAAAAATTTGTCTTCTTGACAGAGGGATCTTTAAACATCGCAAAAGTCACCATTTAGTCCTCAGTTTTTATTTTCCGCTATAATTGTCACTGTGAGTATTGCATTCACTGTTACTGATTAATTAACATGTAGTACCTGGACAAGACTGAGTGTTACAAGGACGAGTTTCGTCGGGTTTTCCAGAACAATCCTTCCCGCCATGCCTTGTTGGAGGTTCAGTGCAAGTTCTGGATCGAGTATGTAACCCACCGCCACATGATCTTGAACATTCCCCCCAGTCTCTCCACTCCGACCACTTCCCGTCAACTGAATAAAAGACAATACGATTATAAGTTACATGGGAATTCGCCATTTCCACTTTTCCCATAATGCACCTTATTTGACCCCCAAAATTTTGCGTTAACATTGTTTTCAATTTCTCTTGGGACGGCTGTACCCAGGAGAAATGAAAAACAAAGGTTATGCAAAATTTGGCGCGGGGGGATATGGTGCATTATGGGAAATGTGGAAGTGGCGTATATCATCAACAAGGTGCCGCGCACAGTTCGTTTCAAATCACAGATTCAGCTTTAATTCTGAGCACATTGCTTAGTAAACCCTGATTTCAGGGGGATTAATGCAAATCCCTCTCAAGTTATGAGAAGATGGTTATTCAATCTTTGACTTTCTTAAAAGACACAAAATGGTTTTAAACCGGAAGTCACGCCATACGTAACGGTATGTTTATCTTAACGAAATACACCTGGACAATAATCGCTGTTACATGGCTTGGCCTCCTCTTGGCGACCGATACATTCTTTTCCTCCATGAGCTGGGCGGGGATTAGTGCACGTGCGAGCACGTGTTTGTATTCCACCTCCACAAGATCGCGTGCATTCAGTCCATGGCTTCCACTCACTCCACTGGCCATCAACTGGTAAAAGATCAGGAAACAAGCTCTCAGTAAGGCAGAATTAATCAGGAGGACGTGTAAAGTTGCAGAGAAACAAAAAAATTCGCCAGGGACTATTAGTCTTAGATAAATGATCACCTTACGAGGATGAAAGCATTCCAGTTTTCCAGTAGCATGTGTATGCAATGAAACTTTCTCTTGAACTTCTATCAACTTGTAATTAGCAATTATTCCACGAGTGCGCGTTGGATCTGAGATGGTAGATAGCCAACGAGTTGCGTTGCGCTCAGTTGGCTTTAATCATCTCTATCCAACAAGCGTGAGTGGAATACGGCTTTATTAAAAACGCCCACAAAATATCGAGAATTCCTTCCCGACTTTATTTGTAAAAACAACCGATTTTCAGCTTGTTGTTTTCATTTTGAGTAGACGCGTACAGTTACCATATTTGGAAAGCATGATATAATGGCTCATATACCATGATGGCTAAGCCAATAAGAGCTCTAGAGTTGCACTATCCAGTTTTTAATAATAGATAATAGTCAGCTGATCATTCAGGAGTTAGCTGAGGTGTCCCTGGCCAAGAGTTGGTGTTTCAGGTTTTGAAACTGTTTGGATATTTCAATATAATATAATACTTTAATGTTTTGAAAAATTAGAAATTTATCTTAAAAATGCGACTCTACCTGGGCAGAGGTCACTGTTGCAAGGCCTAGCCTCGTCTGCGCGACCAACGCAATCACTTCCTCCATGGGCGGGGCTGGGATTATTACACGCGCGAGCTCGTGTTTGTATTCCACCGCCACAAGATCGTGTGCATTCAGTCCACGGCTTCCACTTACTCCACTGACCATCAACTGGTAACAGAAAAAAGGCGAGCTCTTTAAGGGAGGATACTGATTAAAGAAAACGGCCATTAGAGAAGTGTACTCCTTAGAATAATTTTCTCTTAAATGATCTTGTGTTAGAAATACAAGACTCCTTGTCGAGAGATATGTTGAAGACAAAAAATTTTAAAACTATTAGTTGATGATGTAAACTTTACAACTTGTCCGCTTTATGAAACTTGTGGCAATTTGAAAAATTTCTCTTCCATTTAGAAGATTCTTGCACCTCGATAGCGTCATACAGAACCAAATAGGAGGTCCTTAAAAGAAGGATTCAAAAGACTATAGACAACTTCAACACCAAAACATTTCCATCAATTAATCGAGTAAACTTTGGTTTACATGACTTGCTTTCATTATGTATACCTTTTTGGCTCACTGAATCAGTTATTTTTAAAATATGGTCGTTTGTGCCATAATGCGCAGTATGCGCCACGAGCCTCGGAAAAGTCTCACCGACTGCTAGGTATTTCTCAGTTATCTTAAGACCCTGATTGTTGGTCTGGCCTAGCGAATCAAACCCACGATCCCCGCACTGTAGTCACGTGCTCCTGCCCCACGTGGGGCAGGAACGCGTGACGAACCCCTAAGAACGTCTGCGTGGGAGGCTAACCGCGGTTTAAAATAAAAAGGAAAATGAAACCTATTAATAAAATGTGTACCTGGACATAATCGTGTTTGGCATGATCTTGTTTCACGACTGTCTCCACTGCAGTTTTTCCCGCCAAATGCAGGTGCTGGTTTGGTGCAAGTGCGCATTCGTTGCTGTGTTCCAGTTCCACACGTCCTTGAACATGGTCCCCAGGCCCTCCACTCGGTCCAATTGCCATCAACTGCCCAAAACATTGTCGTAATTGCATTTTAATTCATGAATTTACCGATAACGGTTACGACCGGATTTCTGAGCATTAACCGTGTTATAAGCAAAAGTAATGTGTATTTTGTTTTTAATTACTTTCTGTACAAAGGTTTCAAAGATACCGACGTATGAATCTAATTTGAAGCACTAAATTGAAATACTTCATTCTGGTTTTAGGAGAAGGGAAAGATTATACTCATGGATTATTTCTTAGCAAGGAATGGCATACTTACACATATGGTATAGGTTTTAGCAAGGAATGGGTTACCAGACGTGGTTTTTTAAAAAGTTTTCTTTTCTCTCCGCATTTATTTAAGCAAAAAAAAAATTTACCTGGACAGTTCATTTCTTGGCATGATGTTATTTCACGATGGACCCCAATGCAATCTTTCCCCCCAAACGATGGGCGTGGTTCTGAACATGTACGCACGCGTTGTTGTGTTCCAGTCCCACACGTTTTTGAACATGGTTCCCAGTCCTTCCAGGTACTCCATTCTCCATCCACTAAAGAGTTATTCAAAGGTTTACTATCTATGAACGCTTTTCAGTGTTTAGATGGTGATCTTCGTGTCCTAATTTAAAGTACGTTAACAAACCTGGGCAAATTCTGTTACTGCATTCTCGAGTTTCGTCTTTGCTTCCCACACAGTCCTTGCCGCCATTTGCTGGTGGTGGGTTGGTACATGTTCGTGAACGACTCTTCTGTCCAATCCCACAAGTCCTGGAACAGGCAGACCAATTGTTCCACCTATTCCACTGACCATCAACTGCAAACACAAAGTAAATGAAAGAAAACATTAAGAAAACGATTTCCGTATAGATACTAATTGGTATATGTGTGCATCTTCACTGGTATATTATGAGAGGAAGCCAATCCATGAAATTGATGTTCAAGTATATGATTATTCACCTGGGCAGGCCAGAATGTTGCAGCGCTGTGTTTGTTCCTTTGGCCCACGGCAGTCTCTCCCACCATTAGCAGGAGATGGATTATTGCATTTCCTTATTCGCATCTGAACTCCACCATTACAGGACTCAGTACAGGAACCCCATTCTTCCCAGGCACCCCACTGACCATTAACTGTAAAGAGCAAAGCACCTGGTCTCAACAAAAGAGTTGCTACAATTTCGATTTAAACGAGATATAGACATTGCCCTTTTCGTTTTACCGGTTAAGATGCAGCCGGAGTACGTTGCATTTTCAAAATAAGGGACTCGCAAAATTTTGGTATGTTTGCCTGTGGTAGCCAAGGAATACTGATGCGCTCTTTATCACGTGTCTTCGCCTTTTCAAGGTACACCAATATGGCCGAAGTGGAGTCATCTTTAAAAGTCGGCAATAAAGGAAGAGTACACAATACCTGGGCATGATGCGCGGTTACAGTTGCGTCTGTCAAGTCTCGGACCAGTGCATGCTCGTCCACCGTAGGCCGGGCGGGGATTGTCACAATAGCGAAACCTGGTCTGAGTGCCCAGTCCACAAGAGCTGGAGCAAACGCTCCATTCGACCCAGGGGCCCCACCCTCCGTCAACTGTTGATAAAACAGGATTAATAAGTTTGATAACCTGTCTACAGAAGTCTTCCAGTTCTTTGTTTTCTTCAAGAGATTTTCCAAAAAACGTTAATAATAAGCTTAGTATTGTGGAGAGGCTGACTCTTCTCGGTTCAGTCTCTAAGTGATACTGGCGGATACTGGTGACTGAAAATACCATCTGATTGACTCAAAAACAATACCTTTCCCCTGGGGCCCGTTTCTCGAAACTCCTGGTAACTTTTCGGACGCGAAACCATTTTCAAAAACAAAATCTTAATGCAGATTCTAGCCCCTGATCAGTCCATTTTGTTTCCTTGACTCATAATTTATTACGGTTTTATCCCTTAAACTATCGAAAACTTAAGCCGGTAGAGACTCTTGTTTTTTGGTCATCGTAGCTTGAGAAGAAACAAAAACCAAACTCCGATGATGAAGTTTTATTTCTTTCCAGTAATGAGTTTACATTTCCTTATGTTTATCCCCGCAGTTTTCGGTGCAGTCTGCTTTTTGTCAGTCTTTCTATGGAAAACTTGATCTTCAATGTAAGCAAAGCAAACATAAAACAGTCTTCCCGGTACAGTAGTTACCGGGACCTTGAAAAACCGAGCAACTGGTGTAACATTTCTACGGGGCACTGAGGCAATAATCTCAAGCACTATTCTAGCTCTAAGCTACACTTTCGAACACAACTCCCGCACAGTGACTGTCAAGTCACACGACTCCGAATATTAGGCGCTAAGGAAGTCCCAGATGTAAGCTACAACTTACTTGGACAATACTGTGTATTGCAAGTTCGTGTTCTTTCACTCTCCCCCCTACAATCCTTTCCGCCATTGGAGGGAGGAGGATTGTTACAGCTTCTGGTGATACTTTGTGTTCCGCCCCCGCACGTCTTTGTACACTCCGTCCATCGTCTCCAGCTACCCCAGTTTCCGTTCACTGTAAGTTCAAAAAGCAGCGATTCAAGTGACAACAATTCAGTAGTCTGGTTTTATTGCGTTATAAGCTTGGCTTCCCGTAAGCCAGACGTGAATGGTTGAAGGCGCTTGCTTTACTCTACCGAGGCCCCTTTATGCTACTTTGAACCTGGGAAAAGGGGAAAAGAAGGCCCGAAAAACGGGAACGGAAACGAATAGAAGACATCTTCCCGTCCGCATTCTCTTAAATACGACCAGTATATGAAGTATAATATATAGAGAGCAATTTGCCTCCGTATCTACGCTACAACCAGTTAGGTTAGTTTTGCGAAGTAAATCTTTTCTTCCAGGGGCCTCAGAAGCAAAGCTCTCACAAATAAAAGGGATTTCCCCCCTTTGTCCGTTCAAAGTAGCAAGCGTTGAACACGATATTGGAACCCCGGCTCCCAATAACGGAAAAGGTTAATGAATAGCACGAAGTCTGAAAACCCCATTTTTGGTTTAAAAGTGTCTCCAGGATTTATGCAACTTTCTCTAGCATTGTGCCATTGTGAACCCCTTAGGCCTGTTTCAAACGTCGCGCTACTGCCATGCTAAGCTGGCTCGACTGTAGCTCGACTGCAGCACGACACTAGCTAGAACAACTTGGTTTCAGACCTCGAATTTAATTCAGTCGAAAAGAACGGCTGTTGACGAAAACAAAACACAAAAATAAGGAAAGGTTTAGCAAACTTTTAAATGTATCCTAATGTATTTATAATTTATGAATTGAGTTCGGCACGGCAATAGCGCGACGTGTAGCACCGCAAAGCTTGCTCTGTTGTTTGTTTGTTTGTTTTTGTTGTGCTACACGGCAGTAGCTCGACTTGGTTTCAAACGTCGCGCTGCTGTCGTGCTAAAGTCGAATTTAATTGGATCAATTTAGTTCGGCACGGCAGTAGCACGACCTTTGAAACGGGCCTTAGCTTACCTGGACATCCATTAGTATTACAAGAGCGCTTTTCTGCAGGTGATCCAAGACATCTCCGCCCACCGTGAGCTGGCCGGGGATTGGAGCATGTCCGAGACCTCGTTTGTGTTCCTTCACCACACGATCTCGTGCACACACTCCAGGATCTCCATTCACTCCAGCTACCGTCCACTGAGAAAAAGGGAGCAAAATGTTTCAAGAATGATTTTTTTTATGATGCCTCTTAGCATTAGGAAAGGGATGAGATAATAGAAGACGCTTGCTGGACAACCTTCAGGAATCCAAAGTTAGACTGTATAGTTATTGTATTATTACAACTAAGGGAGGGGGGGTTGCTGAAATGTTCTATCGCCCTGTCCTCCAATAAATCGCTCTTCAGCGGTTAAGGGTTAGGGAAACCAACCACGTTATCTAATGTACAGAGATTTATCTAGGAAAAAGCTTTCTCGACCTGTTAGGAAACTGGATATAACCCACCCTGTTGTTCTTGGCTAGGATTAGCACATTTCAAATGGTGGAGAAGAACTTTCCAGAAGTCACCAGCTACAGATTGAAAGGAGAAAGACCATTTTACCTGGACATGGATTGGCATTGCAGTTCCCAGTCTCCTCGCTTGGCCCTTTGCAGTGCAATCCACCGTTGGCCGGTGGGGGATTGGTACAGGTTCTCAATCGTGTACGATTTCCGCCACCACACGTTACACTACAAGAACCCCAATCATCCCACTCACTCCACGAGCCGTTAACTGACATTATAAACAATAAAAAAGATCAAATGACAAATATCTTTCCAAACCTTCTGAAACTATTCATTGAAAAAGGCCATTTCAATGTCCCAAAATATTTACCTGGACAGCCTGTCAAGCTACATCTCTTAATCTCAGATGTCTGACCAATACAACTCCGTCCGCCATTATGAGGCCGTGGATTTGTGCAAGATCTCTGACGACCTTGGACGCCACTGCCACAGGACTGAGAACAGGCACCCCACTTTGTCCACTCAGACCAGTTGCCATGCACTAAATGAAATGTTTTGTTTGGGTAAATAAACGATGCATAATATTTTAGTTATAAGTATGAATCTCAATTTTTTTCCGGTAGAATTTTACCCAGATGTCTCGAGAATTTTAGCATAAAATTTAAAGGGAACCTCCACTTCAACAAAAAGATAACTTTAAATCACAGGAAATAACTGTTACAGTCAAGCCAATCTAAAATATTTTTAAAGAAAGCGTTTGTATCCGAAAGAAATAACTTTTAGATTCGCCTATTTTTGTTTTCAAATTTTGCGGGCGTCGCCATCTTGAATAATTGTGACGTGTAATGGTTGCCCTATTGTTATCAAACAAAAGCTCTTTGTGTCAGAACAATAAAGCAACCGTAACACGTCACAATTATTCAAGATGGCGGCGCCCGCGAAATTTGAAAGTGAAAATAAGCGTTTTTAAAATTCACTTTTCCTGATATAAACACTTTTTTTAAGACAAATTTCGAACAAATTTGTTTATCAACATAATTTTATTCCATTTAAACTTATTCTGTAGTAAGAGTGGAGGTTCCCTTTAAGTTTGGGTGAAGTCAGCGTGGAGCTTATTGAGGATAACATAATGTGAACGTTTACAAGGAGTTTTGCTCACCACTTGGTAATATCATGTTGAGTATTCATGGTGAAATGCAGATCTTAAGCAATCACAGGAACCCTGGCAATCATCTGTTCTAGGCTTGCCTAGAGCTGTTCGCTTCACCATTTCGACCCTACAGGAGCGATGTTAGTTTTGGGCCTGTCGACTTTTCACACATTGCCAATAAGTATATTCCTTCTTATTTTTTGATAGCGATCGATTTCGACATACATTTTAAAAAGAAAAATCAACGATAAAAAGTAAAACGACTTTTCGATGACTCAATGTATGAATTGGTGATATATATATACAGGAAAAGAAACTGTCAGGAATATGTAAAGTTAAATTGAGGCTTAATGGAGCAAACTAACAATTGAATAAAACGTTTCGCCCGGATGGAGTCCGCTTGAGTGTTCAATGTAGGGTCTTTTGTTTCCGAAGATAAGCATTCCGAATTTTCTTCGCTCGACGTTCGAATTTCGCATTTCATTTCTTGCTTTTTACCCACAAAAGGTTGATCACACCGCTTTTCTCTTACCTACAGGCAGGTTGATTCTCTGGCAGGTCTGGGCTGCCAATCGAAGACTGTCCCTGGCCAATTGACTGAAATCTTCCGCTAAGAATACGTTATCTTCATTATCTCCTACCAACAGTAGTAGCTCCTGGATATCAACAGCCTTTCCAACACCAACAGCGAATACAGTAACGTTCTTTTCTTGCAACGGACGTACCGCATCGTCTAGCGTTTTGGAATCCGACGTCACGGTTTGCTTCCCGTCTGTCAATACAACCATCACCTTGGCAACGCCGGTTCTTGCACCCCCAGCGCGGGTAAACACTCTTGTATTCGCTACATCGAGTGCTTTGTCGATGCGCGTATATTGGCGCTGATGTTTCACGCGATTCAGCGCTGCGTTAAAATCATTGACGTTCGAATAGCTGCCAAAAGGGATGTCAACGCGTGCTTCGTTGCTGTATGAGATCACTGCGATCTGCGATTGTTTAGGGCCCATCTTGAAAGTGGACGCCACTTGTTTAACAAATTGCAATTCTCGTTTGAAGTTTCTTCGGCTGATACTGCCTGACGAGTCCAAAACGAAGACGACATCGGATTTTTGAGAGCATTGTTCTAAGGAAAAACGCAAGAAAGCTAGTTATAATACTTTTGGTCAAACATCAGTAAAGTTCAGACCTAATACCAGTAAAAACAAAATAAAGGTGAAAGAAACCACCGAAAACGAACAGGAAATCTTTTTAAATTGATTCATATTGGGATTTCATTTGCAAACTCAAGTTATATACAGTATATAAGTCTCCCTATCACAGAAATAGGGACAATTTTAAACTCTTAGGGTCTGTTATTTAAACGAAGTCTAACTTAAGTCGCGGTTTAACAAACCTTGGGACCTCCAGGTCTCTTAGTGGGTTATTTTAAGAAAACAAATGCTTTTCTGGTATATTCTATATACTTTCATAAAACTTTTCACAATAAATGGTGCTTAGAGAAAGCCATTGGACAAATTGACAGTGGCTTAGAAAGCGGTTTTGTTAAACACTGGCTAAACTAAGTTTAAATAACTAGCTCTTACAGTTTAAGTTACCACAAGAGGACACTGAATAACGGGACCAAGCAAAGACGTCCACTTACGAGAAGTTGGAGAAACTTCAAAGTCTTGGAGGACTGAGTAAGAAAGAAATTTTGACGCCTGCGTAACAGCACAGCTTCAGTACACCCGGTTTTTTCGACTGTGTCAATTACTTCAATCAGTTCATAAGATATTTTTTTTATTGTCCAGTTGAGGTTGTTACTTTAGCTTGTACGGATCCTTCTTTGCTTACGGGCGGGAGATTTAAAACAACAGGGTTTCACTTTTATTGAAATTCCCGGAAAGCAGCAGGGCTGGGTTTGTCTGTGCACTCATTGAAGGTTGCTACTTACGAGATCCTTTAACAGAAACTAATCCTTCTGACTTTTGTATTTTGTCATATACCTCGTGTAATTCAAGTCTTCGAGATTTGTTTAGCTCTACTTCACGTACATATTGTGATATGGTAAAGTGGATAAGAGATGCTCAGGGGATACTGGCCAATTTCAGTGTTGTGACTGACTGAGATCAATTGGTTTTGTTCTACTGTTTTTATTTATATCAGCAGCTACTTGACACTTTCTGTGAACAAATTAACTTGGATGAGTGTGTAATAAATTCATCAGAACTGTCACTCAACAAAACTGTTATGTTTTATTCCTTATAAATAATTCCTTTGATTTTCTAAGAGAAACTGATTTAAAACGTTGCTTTCATCAGTCAACTGCATCCAATATTTCAAAAACACATTGCTTGCAAAGGTTTTCAAATTCAGTGCATGTCATTGTCACTCTTCTCGCTACTATAGCTTTTTTCTTGAGGTATTAGCAAGCTTTGAAAGTCTTCTCCCCGCATATGACGTAGACTTGATCATGTCTTGATCCAAAGCAAGGAAAAGAACGAAATAAAATTTCTTGTGACGGTGCACACGGGGATAAAAAGTTGGATCGAGTCTGAGAAAAACAGAAAGTGCGAGAAACCACGTGCTGTGCTTTGGATGCATGTAGAAAATTTAGCGTTAAAATCTGGGCCGCATTTAATTAGCCGATCTTAAAGAAAAATATGTATCTTGTCAATAAGGCAATTATCAGTTTTGGATCAGTTAAGGGCACTTCAGTTTATTACGATGTTTTAGCAGACATTTTCAAAATGCTTATGCCACAGAAAACTCACAAATCCTTTGATTAAGACCTCAAGTGGTTTTTATGTCACCTCTGCCGCTTCCAGAAAAACCCCGGAATTTCATCATTTTGTGGATTTCGGAGGGAGCATGTAAAGGTGCAGTTGGTTTCACAGGTGAGATCCTTACAAATTTTTTCGCTTATTCTAGAACTAGTCTGAGAACTAGTCTTAGACAAAAGAAACGACCCAATATTCTAATGAGATTAGTTTGTACAAATTTAATTAATTTCTCCGTCTTTTGAATTTCCTTCTTTTTCTCCCCTTGGTGAGAAAGTCCCTTATAACTAGAAAGTTCAATGTACTTTCAACGGGGGCCAAAATGATTAAAAGACAAAATAGAACTGAACATTTTTAATGAAGTGTGAAGAAAGAATGAAGCCTGGAGGGGTCTCCAAAAAAAAGAAAACACCAACCAATATCTACTTCAAGTGAAAATCGTATCAAGGTCAATATCTCACGGAAATCACTCGACTGATATTTTGAGAATTTTCAATAATTCCCACCGCCAGCTTATAAATTCACGCTGTTGGAGGCCTAAGCCTTTTCCCCCTTGCCCCTTGTCTTCAAAAATTTTTAGGATAAGTTTTCTCTTAATTTCTATGTAACGTTTATGTGAAAAAGTACAATTATTCAACAGTGCTATAGTAAATTCTAAACCAAATGCAGAAAAGCGTGGACTTCGAAGAACTGACATCATTGTCGAGTTAAGGATTAGAAACTGGGTGAATCTTTTGATTTTGGTACAGTTACGTTCTATTAAAGCAGTTCGCTTTCAAACCGCTTTCACATCAAGGTTCCGTAGCTTTGTATTACACACTGTAAAATAAAAAAGACATAGTGTTCAACTTACTTCTAACAATATCTTGTGAATTAACAGCCACGAACATGATGATCAGAAGAGGCGAAAACCCATTCATGATCTTCATAGTCACTTGGTCCTGGTGATGTTATTATACACAGCTTTCAGTAGTAAAAGTTTGAGTATCTTGTAGAAGTGTCTGCTTCTGTACTTCAATTTAGACTTTCTGATCCGAGTTGAACTGTGAATTGTACGTTCATGTACCTCTTGTGATAAGAATGTATCATACACTTCAAGGGCTGGTCATTGACACAAATCCCACAACGAATGATCTCTCTAAAGCCTATTAACATTATATTGGATTAGTCCAGCTAAGTAGCCTTTCTCAACGAAACAGTAGTCAATACGATTTGTAAGGTGTCACAAAACAATGGCTATTGGTACTGGAGGCAAACGCAAAAGCCAATTTAATACGGTCTGTCAGGGTCAGTATGGTGTCAAAAAGCGACCGTTCATAAAGTGGTCTAAAAAGCAATACGAAATTCTAGGCCGTATGATCTGAAAACGTTCGCTGCCAGATTCTACCACCGACAATCTCCTACAAAATTTTTGAAGTACTTGATTCCCTGATTATATGATTTTAACCCTGGTGAACAGAGTGAGGACGTTCGAGTTTTTTTTATTACATCCTGAATCGCTCGGAGTCATAGAAATCCTTCTTCTCCCAACATGAGTTATTAAACATTCCCAGTAGTACGTAAGATGTTTGTCATGTGGACCTGTTGCTACCTATCCCACGAGTCTTCGATAGCTGACTCCTGCAGAGAGAACTGAGTAAACAACCGACATTTCCGCATGCTTTTAACACGGGATTTGGCATTCCAAAGAAGAACGGGACCAGGATTTGGAGTCTTCAGGAATCGGGGTTGTTAGAATTGAGCTGAATTTTCTAAAACATCGACAAAATACTTAAAAGTTGGAAGTTGCTCGTGAAAAAAAAAAAAAAAAACAATTTATAACGCTATCGACCATATAGGTTAGGAACCTGGCCTTTTGGGGATCTAGTTTGAAGTTGACCTTGTGCCTGCTTGTTACATGAAACAAGTTCAGATTGCAATACATTAAATAGACTGCTTGCAGTCCGCCTTTTCTCTTAAAATCCGTCTAGTTCTTATCTCATCCAGCGCGATTGCAAACCACGACGTTATTATTGCAGAGACGAGACGCCCTCGTTTCTAGCGGCTCCCGGCTTCGCCGCTCGCGTCCTTAGGTTTCGCGTGCAGTTACAAGCCAAGAACAGGAAACTGGGCTTTTGGGTTTAACACAACAGACCTTAGACAGTTTTGAATAAAACAAGCATCACGTTCCGGGGGATCCTCCCCACCTGGGCTATACATGGGTGTGCCGTTGGACAGCGTCAAGCTCCTGACAGTGTATGGTTTTCACCTTCCTGTACTAAACACTAACAGGCTACATAATTTCGTGTGATTCTCTCTGAAGGGTATTGCTTGCACGATTGATTTGATTTGCTGGATCAATTTTGTTTGTACTCCAATTAAACAAAAGCAATTTTTGTTCTTTTGCAATTGCCAGTAGACGGCTTTAAACAAGACGGCGTGGATTTTGACCATTGTCCTAAACAGGGTAATAAAATTGAGGGTATTGCTGTAAACAGGGTATTTATTTTAGGAATTTTTTGTCCTAAACAGGGTCAGGGTTTCAAACCCTGAGCGGCTCACCACTACCCAAAGATTGGTCGAGTACTCCCCCCCCGGGACATAACACAAGAAACAACATTTACTATTATGTTTTCTGCAATAATGTTTTATTATAAATTGTATTATACTTTTTCTTTTTTAAATAAGCAATTTGCGTTGAAGGGAAACCTTGAAATGTATATGACAAGAAATTTCTTACATAACATAATTATATTCTTTAAAAAAATTTCAACAATAATATTTTCACTATTGCTGGCATTTCATATTATTCCATTGTAGCAGCCTCAAAATTCATAATTTTAGTGTACAATATTGCACACCTGATAATTTCGACAAAATACACTATACCAACAGAATTATTTCGCCGATTAAACCAAGCATTAATCCATTGACACAACAGAAGATTTAACCAGGTTATTTCCCATAAGAACAAACCAGATTAAACAATGGGCAATGCAGCAGCATTATCTTCAGTGTTAAAATTTTAAACCAGTTCTAAAATAAAGCAAGTACATGTACAAAAAAATGCCTTACCAGAAAGTTAATCAATTATCAAAGAATCATCTTGGCTCACTTTAGATTCTATTTAGTCTTTACATCTAAGCACTGATTTAACAAAATTGTAGCATTCATGTGGTATTGAAGTTATTTTTAATACTTCTAACCACACTGACGTCTGACCGATAATAAAAATTTTGAACTCTGTTCTACTCTTAACAAATTTTAGGGCAAATAATAACCTGGTTAACTCACAAAAAGTGTCCCAGCAAATGGGATCTGTATAAGAAAACTACAAAAAATTATAGGTAGATAAATCCTTGGTTAAGAAGGGAGAACAGCAGGTT